ACTCACTAATTGCGTTCGTGACATGGCCCAGAACTAACAAACGGTTTCTTCGCTTGGAAAGTGTCGACTATTTTTTTTTTCTTCTCTCTCCTGCCGTCTATATACACGTCCTTACATTCGACGCGAGCATTGTTAAACTGCAAACGACGCTTCTATAAACGGAAACGCACAAACGCGAGCGGAATGTTTCCACGCGTAGCTGCATCGCGATCCTTTTATGGAAACGCGAGAATACGCTTACTATACGCGACTATTAGCGGATCATAGAGCGACAACGACACGATCGACTTTATTTCGGAAGCAAAATTAGACCTGGTTCTCGAATGAAACGTCCGATAGACTGGCTCACTATTATTCTCTATTGTCCTAATGGGGGATAATCGTAAGACTCTCCTTGAGAGTCTCATTACGGACCAAGGACCCCTTAATGGCTCCTATGAAACTCATTGGCCATTTAACGCCGAGGACGCGCCGAGGAACGCTGAAAGATTGACGAGCTCGAGTGCGAATTTTCTCGTCAATCATTCTCGTTCCCTGCTGCGACGTTTTCCATTCGCAGTCTCGCGAATTATACCGATCTGCAAACGTAGAACCTCGATTTTAAAAATTATTCCAAGGGTCTGTTGTAACGTTTTCCAAAGTTGATTTGCACCTCACGGAAAAGTTTAAATTATTCATATGTTTCCGCATTGAAAATTTTCATCCGTGACGAAAAGGCGTATTGTATCACAACTTTCTCGTATTATGTCGGCGAAATAACTGTTGTCTTTTTCCATTTCTTAGAACGTTTCTTCCACGGGTACCAAAACTGGCCATTTTCGAACATTGTCCTTTCTCGGAGCAACTTTCCTCAGTGCTTCCCGGAAAGCATTTGCCAATTCGCGAATAGTGTCAAGAGCGTCCTCGAGGGCTCCTTTTTTCGAGTTCTTCGAGTAATTTTAATCATCACGCGGGTGCATTAGCGCGAAACTTTACCAGCCTCTGTATCTGGGTTGTATACGCGTCTCGACTTTTCAAATACAAGTGCAAGTACATAGCCGAAGGAGTTCTTCGATTCTACTTCGCCTTTGTCAGACCGAGTAATGCGCCTCTCCATTTTGTCATCCCCTAGCGGGGTTTCAATGTTGTAACCATGGAGACGTCGCGTTTCCGCAAGGGGAACCGTATAAAGGGTGTCGGGCGTACGTAGGCAAGTATGGTGAGGCTGCCATTGTTAAAATTCGAGGCTGTACTACGTGTCCAATTTGATGATAATGAAAATACGATACAGTTGTGAGCGCGATGCGACTGACGTCCCTCGAAGGCACCCAATACAGTTACGTTTCAAATTTTATTCTTCCAGTCGACGATTAGCTATTAACTGCGAGATTACCTCCTTTTCATCTTGTCTCGTTTAACCGTCGACTCTCCATTTCCAGTGCTTCTTAAAGCTTTTAAGCCTACGACAAAGTTGATATAATATTAGTAATTTCTATACTTGGCATTGTGTACAAGGATGCTAGAAATTATTACGAGATAAAACTTGAACTTGAATAAATATAACAAGTTGAATGGATACTGACGATCGAAGCAGTGGTTTGAGTGTTAAACAACGCGCCAAAGAGATGTTCTAAAACGACCATTGATCGAAGCAAGACGTTGGAGCCTGGCGGTAACGCAATTGAATTGTTTCCGCGACAAAAGGTGGCGAGATGACGATCGCCGCGTGTTCACACGATTTGCGTTAACGCCGTTCAATGGCGCCCGCATTGACGCTATCTGCCATCGGAGACCCTTCGAACCGTGGGTACCGACGAGAGGACGTCGCGTTTGACAAACGCTCAACGATGGAAACGGACTTAGCCCGAAGATCGTATCTGTACGTTTCCCGATGGATGCTCGAGGTTCAGGGCTCGATAGACTACCGATGATTCCAATACGGCGGTTGCCACTCGTCGTCCCTGAAACGGAGAAAAGAAACGAGTTAGAAACAATGTCTACGGCTTCCCCGTAAACAAAGGAGGATCGCCGGGGCAAAATGGCGACTCGATGCACGGGCGTCTAATCCCGGATGAGACGACGGATGTGACGGTTGCGGCGGAGGATGACGGTAACGAAGGTGGAAGCGGGAGGCGACGCAGACACATCTCTCGGATTACGTCTTAACAAGCTCCACGACGTTCATTTGTCTTATCCGCTCTTGCTAATGCGACAGCAGCTGTTGAAATGATTAATTCACCGCGAGGATGCTCCTACGCCTTGTTCAGCGGTGCGCGCGAGCGCGAGCGCGGTCTCGATTAATCAACTGCCTTATCGTTTCTATAAATACCGACGAATGTTTAATTAAACGTCGTCCGCGATGGCATTCGATCGACGCGAACGTATCCAGCGAGCGTCGCGGTAACTTAATTTCTCTTACGTGCAATATATTACACTTTGGAATTAAAGTAACATTTGATTTAGTCGAAATTTCGTTCTTCTCTCTTTCGATGCTTAGGCGTCATCGACGATCAGTTAGAACCAGTTAGAACCAGTCGTGATGATCGAACGGTTGTTAACAATTCCAATTGAAATAATTCCTACACCCGATTTTCTTCATCTTACTAGTTAAGGTACTTACTAAGAAATAAATGTACAATTTATAAAACTTGAAATTGTAATTAAACTTTTTTGCTAATATTATTATTGTAGGAGAAGTAATAAGAAATATGCTTTTAACTTATTTCTGCGCGAAGAATCAAGAAACCTATTCGTTATCGAGAAATTTTGACTCCTACTCGCATTTCGGTATCAATATTTCAAGATGGACGTACGCGGAAAAATCTACATGCTACGCTGTGTCATGAATGCAGACAGAGAAACCTTGCAACAACTCTTAACACTTTGTCAAAACAACGTTTACGGCGCAGCACGAGATCTGATTGGATTAACTTTCGATTTCCATTAACCACCTGTCATCGACAGGGAGGTAGATCGGTAATTGTTACCGATCGATGACTAATCCGCTATGGAATAGTTAGTATTCGCTGCGTAAGGGCGCTAACTGACTCGATTATGGGTCTGAGCTCGCGAGAACAAAGGACCACCAGCGTGACAATTGAACTTCATCGCGCTGATATAAAGTTACAGATGCGAAGGGAGAAAATGAGAGACGAATATTAAGTCGGCGTACAAAATGGCCGTCCCGGAGCGCGAAAAAAATAGGGATGCGTTCGTTCCTCTTGCTTCTATGTGCCACATGCTGGTTCACAGACTGAGGTGCGCGTGGGGTAGAGTGGTAACGTATTGCGCATGCGTTCGCTACGCGCGGATCGAAGCCCCGCCCGGAGACTGCCTTTGTTTAATCCACGACACCTACGCCCACGACATGTGGCCAACAAACTACGAATTGTCTCACGGCGGGATCCTAATCTTCCACTGCTATACGCTACAGATGCTAAAAAGCATGCTGCGAGGGGAAACTCGATGACGTAAAGTATTTCGAAAAGTCTGACGTTACATTTGGCTATTCGACTTTAACCAGCGTCAAACGATGACATGAGGAATGAGAAAATAAACGTTACTTTTACAGAAATTAAAGTAGTAATTTCGTATTAACTACAAATAGTAAAATAGTTGACAGCACCTTTGATAAAACATAAACAGAAATATGCGATTAACAATGATAAACATTCGTACTGCATACATCGATATAGATTGGTTATGACATGGGTTATGTTCACATAAAATGTAAATCTTTTTGATAAATTTAGGTGTTTGAGCAAATATACTATGATAATGTTTGATTTTTATTTGATGTATGTACGCATTTGTAGACAAAAATCTAAAAGTAGGTAATACGAATGAAGTATGTATACGGAAATGAATAATGTGAGAAAACTCCTGACAAGAGGTAGCGTGGCCGAGCGGTCTAAGGCGCTGGTTTAAGGCACCAGTCTCTTCGGGGGCGTGGGTTCGAATCCCACCGCTGCCAATTTTTTTTTATAAACTTAATTATTAAATTTATAATTGTATAATATGCTAACAATAGATTCCTCGTATACATTCTGCAAAGTATAAAGAATAATCACCTTGTCCGAATTTCTTTGCTTACTATGCAATTAGATTGTAACAATGAATTTAACCTCATCAATACGGCGATTGTCCACTGCGTAGTACTAACCGAAATAACCTTAATAACCGAAAACAAGCGTAACACAAAACGAGTGTCTTTACATCGCTCACAAGTGGTTCAACCCTAACAGATTACACGAACTGAATATTTCACGACAGTAACAAAGTATGTACTTACTTGCAATGTGAATTGACAATGACGTAATGAAACAACTGAACAAATAAAAAGCAATGGACTAAAATCAACAAACGTCCGTATTGTACATTTTGTAGACGACTAAAGTTGGCGTACGTGCCAAAGAAATTAAAAGGCGAATTTAAAAAATTAATTTAGAACTTACGACTTACACGACAGCCTGATCTCTGATTTCGTTTGCCTCCAAAATAATGTCTCTCAATACGTAGTCTAAATTCTAAACGCTAAGAGTGCTGAAGTCGTATTCCGACCTCAACCGATAACATTAGAAATCATCGATATCAAATGCACACAATATTAAAAGTTCTATAATTTATAGTAATTTATATTAAAACGATTATCGTACAGAAAATCAAGTAAATAAATAAATAGAACTACACATATCGAACTATTAAAAAAGATACACACAAATTTTAAGAATTACTTATTGCATGCATGAAGCTGGAAATAGTATGCAATCTAATCTAATATTTTGATAAAAATACGAATCATTGATCATTTAGGAAGCAATGTAAATAATTCTTAAGCGATGTTTTACGTTATAACTCACTCTATTTCATTGGAATTTCACGTGCAACGCAAGCTCAAAGTGCAGAACCGTATTATGACTCAAATGTATCATATTTCCTGGAGATTCTTATCAAAATAAAATATCCTACAGATGTCGTAATCCTGTCGGGAAATAAGATTTCAAAGAAGGGGTACCTGATCGCAGACACATTGTTGAAATTCATTTTGACGTAGGCCAAGATAAGGAGGTACCTCGCTTCTCACGATGACCTCTACGATCGTGTATATCCAGACGAAAGCAGTAGTCAGTGGTACATTGTCAGTTTCAACGAAAGCACAGAATTCACGATCTATATTTGGTTAACCTTATAAACGATATCGATCCACATCTTTTTGATCGGACACGAGAATCGTTCAGTCGTACTTCGCTCAGATCGTGAAAGATTCGCGTGCATTTAAAAACATATGTGGGTATGTACGCACATATGTGTGCGTATCAGAATTAGTATAAATCTGTTTGGCTTACTATGTGGATCGAGTAAATTGAATATAAAGAGGCATTTAAACATAGAAAAGAAAAAAACGATCTATCATTCTTCTCGTTAACAATTATGGTTACAAACGACAAAATCGTTCACATATCAACGTGGGAAATAGTTAAATTGCATTTCTTCTCTTTTGCATACGGCTTGTATCTAATAGTGAAACGATTTCTTAAATGGGCCTGGGACCCCACAAGATTCTTCATGATGCAACAACGAGACAAACCCCCGCCGTGTCTAGTAGACAATAACTTAGGGACGCACTCTTACGTGAAAATTAAGGTGAGTCAAATGTTATAGTTGTTTGTATTAAATCAATAGTATGTATAGTCCGTAGTTAAACCTCGATTGAAAGACCAAAAAAAATATACAAGAATAATCGACCTCTGATAACTCTACGACATAACTGCGCGGTGCACACGTTCCATTTCGATTAATGAAGTGATTATAACGTGTTTTTAAGGGACTAAAGTATTTTTAGATCCGAACTATCTATTAATTTTCAATTACAAAATTATATCAAATTTAAGCCCGAATTGTCTTTAATTGATTAAATAAATTGAATATTCCGAGGAAAATTGAAGTATTTTAAAAATGGAATTCAATTCAAGATTCTAAAGAATTTTTAAAGATACAAACGTGTATGTAAGTAGGACCCTTCGCGATATTAATAAATCATAGTTACATAACAATTATAATAGTTATACAATAAAAAGAAATGAAAATCAAAATTTTTTGTTGAGTACAAAAATTTTTCTTTTTTGGGTAGAGTATAAAATTTCATTATGTAGAGGCTGGGGATAAAGATAAACCACTTATTTTACTTCTGCATGGATTTCCTGATTGCTGGTTATCCTGGAGAGAGCAAATACCATGCCTCGCTGAACATTACAGGTGTGACCTAGCAACATTTTTGTAAAATCATTGGAACATTTGTCTCCATATAAATAATCTTGTTGTTTAATTAGGGTAGTAGCAATAGACTTGAAGGGATTCGGTGATAGTGATAAACCATCGACCAAACGTTCCTATAAAATAGAAATTTTAATAGAAGAGTTAAGACAGTTTATTTTGTCTCTTGGAGTAAAACAATGCAGCATAATTGGTCATGATCTGGGAGGACTTTTAGGATGGTATTTGGTTGCCTTACATGGAGACATGATTTATAAATTTGTTATAATATCATGTCCTCATCCCAATTTTTATTGGAACAGGATGCCTGGAGATTCTGTATTTGACTCAAAGTGTGTGCATTGTGTTGAATTTTGTAATACAGTATGTCCATTATGCATATCTTTTCATTAATATTACTATTTAGATGGATACACTTCAGTAGGTTACCATTCCTTCCTGAAATTGATGCTCTCAAAGAAGATTTGTCTATTATAAATGATACATTTCAACATCTACAATTAGATCAAACAAACACTGGGAAAAATTATGTAGAAGCATACAAATATGCATTTAGTAGAAAAGGTAAATCAATTTAGTTTTACTTAGTATTTTTTTATATATACACAAAAAATAATGGAAATAAACTTGTTTTCTACAGAGGATTGGACAGGTGCAATTAATTATTATCGTAATCTTCCTTTTATAAGACTTAACACAGAATCTTCTGAGCAGATTTATACAAGAACATTATTTATAATTGGAAATATGGATCCACTTATAACAATAGAAAGTATTGTACAAAGTTCCGAATATGTAGAAAAGTTTAGTGTAAAGATAGTCTCCGGGGCGCAACATTTTCCACATCAACAAAAGCCAGATGTGGTAAACAAAGCAATTTTAAAGTTTTTTATGGGTAAGTTATTTAACATAGAATAAATTATCCATATGTTTGCGATGTAATAAACAAGCTGTGTTTCAGGTACAACAAATATCATAGAAAAAACACCATCTAAGAGTATTATGTCCTCTTGGCTGGGATCTTTAAGTAACACTGTTAAATATAGCAACCATATGTTTGACACTGTTCATAAAAAGACTAGTGGTGTAGTAAATGGTTTACCTAGTAAAGTACTATACTTAGGTCAAACTACAAGTTAGGTTAAGCTTACCCAGCAGTGCAGTTTCTTCCAAACTGTATCGGTGAACTCCAATAAAATTTCAATTTTTGTACGTATTCTAAAACAGAAACGTCTACATTAGCCATGAATACGATGTGAGCCGTAAATACGAATCGTTTTACTAAAAATCGAATGATATTAACCAATTAAGTTAAGTGATCAAGTACTCGTTTACTTAAATAATTAAGTTACATAGTTTTTATATTTTAAATTCGCACATAAACGTTACAAAGGCTGACTTGTCGCTATTTATTTTTACATAATATGCATGTCTAAATAATAGGTTAGTTTTATGTAAAAAAGTTTTACCATTTTTCGAACAAACATTTCACAAAATAGTTAACATATGTGTATATTCTGTCTATTGTTTATTTAATAATGTATATACATAACTTTTTGACGTAGTATTAAATCGCATAAAGATCTGTTTTCCTATATAATAAAGCAAATGATCTGTAGTTAATTCTTTATACAAGCTAACAAAGTGATCTCTTAAAAATATGTTAAAACATTTATCATATTACGTTTAATAATACTGTAAATAGACGATAATTGCAGAAAATGAAAAAATCAATGTATATATAATTCATGATCATAAATAAGAACTTCATATATTGTAAAATGTAACATTTATACACACATACATACACATGAACAATTATACTGTCATGCAATTTCTATGTTTAATAAGTTTAATACTTCAGATCTGATTTTTCAATAAATTTAATCTTTTATATTTACAAAATATTTTCGTTATCACAATACAATACGTCTTTAGAGATTGTTGATTAAGCAATGGATACAAAAGATACCAACATTTTTTTGTGGCATCTATCATCAAAAATATATCAAACCATTCATTAAAAATATCTTTATTTTTAGATATTTTTTACTTCTAGCATAATCTTTGTCATTATGTTTCTTCCACTTATTTTGTTCTTACTTTTCACAATCTACTTTCTGCAACAAACATCAGAATTTGTATTATATTTTTTTAAACTGTTCATGTAATGTAACAAAAACGTAATATTTTATTTTTTATACGCACTTTCCAAAATTTTCGCCATCCTCGATAGTTTCAGGTAATTTGCAATTCATTGTTTCTGGTAACAGTAAGCACAATACAGCACCAATTAAAGGCCCAACTCCAAATATCAGTGGTGGTAACCAAGGTTTAATTTTTCCCTGAAATTTAACAAAATAAATGAATGTAACATTAATATATTTTATAAAAAATGCATGGACTAACTGTACGACAAATATAGAAAATATTACCATAGTTGCAATGTAAGGTGCAATCATGCTCCCTACTCTAGCACAAACACTTCCTAGACCAATTCCTACATTTCGAATTACAGTTGGAAATGCCTCACTACTGTACAGATACACTGTTGGAAAACTAATTGCCATCCCTGCAAGACCTATTGTAGCTAGAAAAACTGTCAATGTTGAGTTTGATATCACAGTTAGTAAGAGCAAGCTCAAGCCTGATAAAATATTGCCACTCATTAAAATCCTTAAACGAGACACGCGTGATATCAAACATAATACTATTACAGTTCCAGGCAGCTCAATTGCGGCTGAAAATAACAGATTAAATCTCGAAGGTAAATCTTTTGATCGATAATTTCTCATTAAATAAAAATAAATATTCTAGCATACCTGATACGGCAACATTTACGAAAATGTTACCATCAAGGTAGCCCATGTATTGCGCTAATCCAAAAAAGCAACTACCACAAACAAACCAATTAATACATATACAAATGGTTTTTATTCTTAAATTCGGTGTCCTAAACAAATGTGTAATATTATATTTCTCTTTGTTTTGTTTACACCGAATTCTCGCATTGCTTTCGTATGTTTCAATTGCTGTTTTAACATTCTCCATTGGTATTTTGTTTCTACCAGCTGCCTTAACTAAGATTTGCTCTGCTTTGGATAGTTTGCCAACAGCAAGTAACCATCGCGGTGATTCGGGTATGATCCTGTTGTTAATGAAAATCAATTAAAAATAATCTAATTTCAAGCTAATTTCAAGTTAATACGATCGATATTACGTACCAATAGTACGCTAGTAAAAAAATCGATGGTATGGAAACTGCCATTTGAAAACCATCCCATGTGCGTGTCAAATACGAAATTAAAGGATTCATTAAATGACCTAACAGGAATGGTACATGAAAAAGGACTGACATGATCGAGCGCCATTCTACGCCTACGATCTCCATAACTGTAATTCATTCATAAGATTACCTTGCCATATTAGTACGAATTTCGATTGCAAGAAAATTAATACTTACGTAAAACAAAGCTAACAAGCATAGTGCCACCTGTAGCTACAGCAGAAATGAATTTGAATATTAAAAATAATTCGTACCATGGAACAAACGCACTTATAAATCCAGTTAACGACTGTAATCCTATTGCGATCATCAAAGGTTTTTTCCTACCAATTCTGCAACAAGATTTACGTTATTTTTAATAATCTGTCTCTGTTCATGACGATATATATGTGTATATATACTTTTTTTTTTTTTTACTGGTTTTTTAATGACATTTAGCATACCGATCAGCCATTATACTGAACACTAAATTGCCGACAAGAACTCCGAACATTGTGCAGGACTGTGCAAAATTTGCTAATTGTTCTCTGTCGCAGACCAAGTCCCACTGAAAATAATTTGTTTTTGAGTCGCGGCGTATGTAACGCTGCCTTTCATGTAGCAAACGCGTTCAAAAAGTTGAACTCACTTGAGTTATGATGCTTTCTTTAAATATGCGTTTGTCGTACTTAAATTTTGTACACTTCTCCATAGTACCGTTTCCTACGTCCACGTAGCATTTCATTATCGTTGATTCGTTCGTAGCCGATATCGGCGCGGCGCATGAAAAATTAGTTGGGGGTGCGAGAAATATAATTGAAAGTTGATGCCAAGCGACTGGAAATTTGACCAGAGAAAGCGCTATAGCTATTACAATGTGCCATGGGCCCATAACGCCCATGGCATTTTGTACCACATCCGATAGCGCATGTCCTGAAAAAATATACGATTATGAAAAACAATTAGGGTTGCATATGGACGCTTTTTTGATTTGTGGGGGTAAGTTTTCGGTGAATTTCGCATGAGGACAGAAAAGGAGAGGAAAAGCGCTTTTTTCGTCCAGGTCTGCTAGCATCTAATATCTCAAGTAAAGCTTTCTAGCAAGCCCTGTCTTAGACGACTGAAATACTGGGAAATCGGTCGCGAGGATTGTATATATAGCAATCGAGGGGTCGGCGCGCGCTTGTGAGAGCGCGACCCCTCTGGTGGCGAATATTGGAAGCAACGCTACAGTGGTTCTACAATACTGGTGTTCGATTACTAATACATATTTATCGTTTCAAGTCGTATTCATACAGGCCAAAATATAACGAAAATTAATTACTGAAAATACGCGAATAAACTAAAATTTAATTGGTTTTTTCTTTATTAAAAAAGATATATTCAGCCATTAGACGCGATCCAGATTAAAGGGCAAGCTAGAGAGGTTGCAATACTGGACCTCACCCTTCAAGGGGCCTCATGGTACGAGGCCTGGTATGAGTACGAAACTGAACTTTATAATGTTAATGAAACGTTAACATAATCAACGCAAGTACTCTTAATTAGCGAGAATTTTTGTATCGTTATCGACACGACGAATTATGACAATTACGATGTATCAACGTAATTAATCACCATTAATAAATTACCGTCGCGTAGGTGTAATTATACCGTAACTTAATATCAATTACAAAAGTGTCGTTTATCGATAAACATATCCTCTATATTGCAACATATTTCGCTTGGATCACGTTAAAAAATTTAGAGAACAGATTAAGTTCAAATGGGTGATATAGGTCACTCATTAATAGATTGTAAATACTGCAGTAAGCGATAAAGATGTAACTAAATTGTATTAAAGAATATTAGAGAATGCAACTGAAAGAGTATTGTATATTTCGATACTGTTCATCTCATTTTTTTTTTAGACAATACAAAGATCTTATCCTTGAATCTTAAATTACATCCGTCGAAAGAAATCACTAGTTACACACGACACACGACGTGAAGTATTACAAAAGTCATGCGTTTAGTTCCGGAAGAAAATAATTACACGCGTTCGATAAATGAACAAATACATTGTCACGTTTAATGCTAAATATTAAATTTGTTAGTGGAAACTATTTAATTGTTTTATGTTCTTTTAATAATACGGTTTATTTTAAAATAACAGATCGCAGTTTCAGTTACTTCTTCAAACTCCGTGCCAAAGTGAGGCTTCAATTGTTTTTTCGCATGCGTATCGCAGTGATGCAATTCAAGCAGCGCGATCAGTACCGCAAACTCGAATGTATATTTAGATACGCTCGCGTTTCAAATGCTAAAATGAACAAATGTAGATCCACGCCAAATATATCGACTTACCTTTCATCGCATTTTCGAGCATTATACGTATGTTGTAACTTTTCGTCTGTATGTACAGTTACTGTCGCTTCACAACGTGCCGCATAACTTTCGAAACTTTCACCACTTTCGCGTCAAGCGACTATCAAACCGAAAACAGTTTCGACTCAGCTGTTCCTGTCTGTTTTATCGATCTAGAACATGAGATCCCAGAATAGGCGAGATATTGGATCACAGACGAGGTCTAGGATAGACTGAACAATCAATAAAAGTTTGTGTCTCAAGAACTGAAGTACCGATCTCATGAAAAATCAGTGGTTTCGTGGCGCGCTCTACGTTTCAGGATGATGACTCTGGAAACTATATGCAAGAGATATTCTATTGAACTTATCAATCTCTATATCTCGTCTATGTAAACATCAAATTCTCCAAATATTGTTCAATATAGCTTTTACGACTGTAACTGTAGTTAAATTACAAATAAAAACAATTAACTGCATTAAAACTAGATATTTTGATTTTATTTGTTATATTTAACATTCGTAAAAATAATTATGTTGACGCGAAGTCAATAAATAATGCTAATTACATAAATTAAAAAATATAAAAACGTTTTCTATGCTACAGGTAGATGTTTATTTTGTAAATGCAAACGAGCTGAGTAGTTTACTCGAAGCTCGTTTCGGTTCATTGTTTTGCTCATTCTCGGAACTCAACTTCCTTTTCTTCGATTCCAAAGGGCTACTGTTTTGAGAAGCTGCATTTTTTTCCTTGTATCTTGCTAAAGCCGTTTTTGTCAAATCAGCGGAACTTAATTCGGGAAATTCTTCCTGTAAACTTTTCTTGTTCTTTGCGTACCAACCAATAAATGTCTCTCTTTTTAATGCACTTTTTGAATCTTTTGTCTTTGGTTTTACTGGAATTGGTGTTAACTTTTGCGACTTATCTGGGGTAATATCTAAACCAGCCAATCCTGTTGCACAAAAATTTATAGTTTATTTAAGGAGTATCATAAATTTCACGCAACTAGAATAAATAACGATAATACCTTTTGATGCTGGAGAATTTCCACTCTTCAAAAATGGATTATTTCTTTTCATTGATAAAGCTTCGGTCATTGATAACGGCTTTATCTCAACATCTGGCTTTTTCTGAATATTTAACGACAGCGTGGGTTCTTCGATGTCATTACTTAAAAACTCGTCGTCACTTTTGATATCATCTACATTAGTGTCTTCGTCTTCTTTTTCCTTCTCCTTTTCATTTTCCTTTGCGTCAATAATTGATTCTAATTTGTTTGACAAAGCTACTTGATTTATTCTTCGTGCATACTTGATTGCCAATTCTATGACTGTCTCGGATGCAATTTGTTCGCACAGTTCTACCGCTCGATATTCCAAATTACTTCGACAAGCAAGCTAATTGAATAGAATCGGTAAATACAGACAGTTATATAAATTTTACACGTAAATGTAACAATTAAATGTACCGCGAAAAGAGCCAACACTGCTTCATTTTCCTCCGAAGGATCGCTTCTCAATTTCCATAATTTTAATTCGTTTTTAGACTTTTCGCTTTCGAGTTCACAAAGCGGCGGAATTAAAGATACTTCCGCAACTACAGGACGTGGAGTAGTTGGCGGATAATGACTTCCTTTACATAAAACGTAGCGAAGAATACTTTGTTGTTCGTTTATCCCAATTAAGAAGTAATGATCTGCTTTACCCTTGGACTGATTTAAATTCATTAATTAAATATACAATATACAATAGATATAATACAATATGTTACCTGTTCATTTATGTTATTGGTAACTTTCCATAAAGACGAGCTTTTACTATACACTTTGATAACATCATCAGTATCCATTACAACGGGAGATCCAAGATCGGAAAGCCCTAACCACATAAGTTCGGACAAAGGTGACAGTGGAAGAGATAGCGTTCGACTATGTAAAGTTAGTTTATGAATTTGTATCCATAATAAACTCATACATTGATCGCCCGATGCTCCTATTTAAATATTTTCATTTAATTATAAAGGTGTTAAACAAAATAAAAGAAAAAGGATCATAAGTAAGTAAAAAAAAAAGGCACCTATTCCATTATGATAAGCAATTACCAAAGCATTCCCAAGTCCGTTCATTGCAACTGTAGGACCGGGCAAAGCTATGATTTCGCGTTGAGTGCCTCCCGGTGTAAAAAGTCTTAAATTTCTCCTAGATGTTGAAAGTGCTACAAAGTTATCACCGCACGCAATACAATGTCCTTCCTCATCTTCAGCGAGATCTACAAACCACTCCTTGTTCCCGGAGCCCCAGCCTATTTTTTAATTAATCATTTTTAATCGAACTAGCACAAATTTATTGCATATAATACCAACCTTGCAATGTTATTACAACAAGCCTGCTTTTTGTATCAGTACTCGTTGGACAGTTTAATGCAAGTGCTTGTGGTGATAAAGCTGCTATCGTATGTCTTAAATAATTACTAATGTGCATACTACGGTGGATTGTTACATCATGAAATTCAACTTCAATACTAGATTCGCTTCCATCTTCAGAAGTAAAACATCTCACCATACCAGTATCATTCCAAACCTACATTTATACAATTATTTAATAGTTATAATTTAACAAATTTTCTACATAAATACATAATACTAGTATTCTAAAAAAATTTTACCATGAAACGAGATAACAAGTGTAGTGGAGAGGAGCTAGGTTGAAATGGTGGTTGCAAATGAATTTCAGGACCAAAGACATTTGCATTTTGCGGTTTTACAGATTCTGTATCAGAATAACTTTGTTGATCATCTTCAAGATGCACAGAGTCTTTAATTTTATTTAATGATATAACATTTTCCCCATCATCATCATCTTCATCTGGCATACAAACTTCATTATCTTTAACATCTCCATTTGTTTCTAAACTTTCTTCGATACTACTTGCAGGATATTCACATATTATCTAAATAAATAAATAAATAAGTAATACTGAAAATTACACGCATGTTATTAATATATTTACCACATCGACGCATCCTAATTGGCCTAAAAAATCACAAAATGCAATTTCATCCGGCTCATCGATACTCCAGCATAACGAAGTAATTTTAGCATTTTGTTGGTGTTCCATATAGCCGATCAATCCTTTGCTTTTTACATTCCAAACAATTATTTCTCCATTTACAGTGCACGCAGCTAGGAATGTACCACATTCAGAAAATTTACAAATACTAACATCCTATATTACAAACAAAAACGTTAAAACATATTTAACTCATTTCCCTAACCGACGAACTTAATAGAAACACTCACAGCTTTTATATTAATACACTTCAAATGAAATAATTCTTTCCAAGAAGATCTTTCTACTACAACTACATCTTTCATATATGGATATGCAAGGCAACTTCCATCTTTAGTTTGAAACGAGGGCATACAGTAAGCTTTTGCTGTAAAAAATGAGTTGCATTTGGGTACAATGTTATTCCAAATATGCGCAACACGTTTTTCTTTAATATTCCATACTCGTACTGATCCATCTGCACTTGATGATGCCTAAAAAAAAATTATATTGCATGATGTCACTGTTAACTTTTACTGCTAAATAAGTTAAAATTATGAATACTTTACCACAAACTCCTCTTTAGGATCCAAGGATAAACCTAATATAGGAGCTTCATGACCTAAGAGCTCTATGTTATGTGATGTTGTGATATTGGTGACTTGTATTCTCATATCACTTTAAAATGTAATATGTATATATTAAAAATAAAAAAATTTAACATATTAATACACCATTATTGAAAAGAAACATGTATATTTCATACCAAGATCCTGATACTATAATATTGCTGTTTTTTGTTGTTGCTAATGCTGATACAGGGGCTGAGAATCTAGTAACTATCCCTTCTTTCTCGAGATCTGGATAATTAAGTATTTGTACTGTATTGTTGTCATTGCCAACAAATATTTTTCCATTCTAAAATTATTAAACAGTTGATAAGTAATTGTTTATGAATAACCTAAGAGTCCAATATACTTTTATAACTCTATATCACTTATATTATTATACCTTTGATATTACTGATATAGATTGTTCTGAAACACAACTTGCAGCTGGATCATCATCCATTAAATTTAACCAGGATCGAACATCTCCATCAGATCCACAAGTAATAAGGCCTTTCCTAAAATATAAATACTAATAAATCATATTTTTGATCTGCAAATATACCTTTCCTTTTCTATTCTTTATATGAATGTATTAAATTCATCAACATTCTTCTATTTGTTGCTAATTCTATTATTTATAGCACAGTAACGTAAATTTATATCAACAATGTCAATGTTTATACTTACTTTTCACCGGTAAAATAACAAACGTCCGTATGTCCTTCTGGATGTGCATATCGCATAGGTTTTTTTATTAATGGCATTTTTGATACAAATTTCTGTAACACGTACTTATACAATAACCAACTTTCTTTGATCTATCATTGCGAACCCGAGTCCCTTTCTGCACGTATTTTGGCGCGCTTTCTCGGTAACCCTTCGATCAAAGCTTGAACAGACCCTGTATGCATTAACTGTCTCATAATTTCAATTTTCATTACAATTATGTTTTTATACTTCATTTTATTGATATTTAAAGATAAATTATATCCCAAATTGTTAAACTATATTTCTGCTCATAAATTGTACATTTTAAAGAAATATATTCTAACGATTTTGAAACAAAATGGAAAAAAAATTGAATTCTGTATTGATAAATAAAATGTATAGTAATATTACTTTTTACATACACGAGCCAAACATAGTCCAATGCAAAAGTTATAATTAGTATATTTTCAATAAATTTAATAAAAAACTTTTATCGATAAAATACGTAAAAATATATTCATTACTTAAAAAATAAATTTAATTGTGATAGTAATATATCTTTATAATGCATCTGTAAAATGGTTTCAGAGAAATCGAAATAGCGTTATATTTTACATATTGATATACAAATTAGGTTAAATAAATTGCGAATATCTTAATAAGACAAAAAACTGTAAAAATGCATCTGAAACGGTCGCTAATCTAGGGAATTTCTTGATGTTATAGCATCGTTTTTAAGCACATGATAAAATTCTGTTTTTGTTGCTATGTTCTGTTCGTTTCATAGCAGACACGGCACGCAGCCTTTTCTAGGGTGGCCAAAGCTGCAATGAGGAGTTTGTAAATTTCGTCATTATAAGATTTAAATTTATATATTAGAATGACCATGATTTCAAAGGCTGCAGTCGGCATCGCCGTTGGCATAGCCGGAATATTCGTTGGATATTGCATTTATTTCGATCATAAGCGTCGCAGTGATCCAGATTTCAAAAATAAATTGCGAGAGCGTAAGTCATATAGTTTTCTTAACTCGTTAGAAATTACTCCGAACCATGTGATGCATATTAGATTTTATGTAAGAACACGTGTAATATTTATCATTAATTTCGTTAACAACGAATATCAATAGAAATTAATTAACGTTACTTAATGCTGCAAAATCTAAGAATAATATCGTAATTTGTAATTTATTTAATGCATTGTTGATGTGTTACATTAAAATGCTACTATTTTATACTTCTAGGTAGGAAAGCTAAAAAGCAATCTGAAAAAGCTCGTTCAACAATTCCAGATCTGAAAGATCGTGAAGTTATACAAAAGTTTTTCTTACAAGAGGTTAATATGAAATATTATACTTTGATCATGATATATTAGTGTTTTTTACATGTTTCTAAAATACATTCTATGTGTTATGTAGGTCCAACTTGGTGAAGAGTTACTTGCACTAGGTGACATAGAAAGTGGAATTGAACATTTAGCAAATGCAGTTGCAGTTTGTGGACAACCTACACAATTGTTACCAATTCTTCAAAAAACACTGCCACCACATATTTTCCACCTTTTATTACAACGATTACCAGCTATTGGCCAGGTATATATTTAACATTAATTTTCAATAGGGAAACAGATGATGGAAATGTTTTTTTTTTTCCCCCACTTATTGTTACAGAAGCTAGCAATTCATAATGCAATGGCTGAAGAAGATGTTGAATAAAACAATATAAAAATTGCATTGAGTAATTCAAAATAAAATCTAACCATTAGTAGAAAGTGTATACTTTTTTTTTGATAATGTAGACATTTGCGTGGCTTCAATTTGAACTAGCTTTTTAATTGTATCTCTTGTTTTCCTTGATTGAACTTCCATATTCCTTGATAATTACATATTAATGATCAATTTAAATCGTGATATATTTATATGCATTTAATTTTCAAATTGCAAAAAATTTTATATTAATTCATTAATTGATATAAAATTGTTTAATTAAATATAAAGTGCTCGTTTAAATAATATGTTATCAACTTTAACATTATGACTGCCACAATAAGTACTCATACAGATCAAATATTTTAGTAACAACGGCAGCCAAATATATATACATTACATAGAACATAGAAAGATCTCTAGTCACACAAGATTTTCTTCATCACATTATTTGATATGACTACTGTGAATTGATCATATTGAACTGTTTCATGATTTAAAGGAGAGATGTAGTAAAACTAAACAAAGAGTATATTCGAATATACTGATGTAATAATAATTGATCCAATTGTAAAATTAATATTGTGTTTGATTTTATAAAAATGTCACAATAATTGTATGTATCAGTTGTAGCTTGTTAAAACATAATACTTCTTTAATAAGGAATTTGTGTAAAATGTGATCTTGAAATCGTGTATCCTTTTCCTGGAAGCATTTACAAATGATTACAAAAATACTATTATGGCAAAATATATTTTATAGAATTTGCAAAAATCTATGCAAATATATATTCTACCTTGTGAATATGAAATTGATATCCTTGTAATAGATGTATCATCTTAAATGTAGATACATATATGACATTATTTTCAATGGTACTCACTAGCATACTAAACTGTTTATAATTATTTTTTTTTATAACAAATAATCTATTCTTATAAAACTAAAGGTAATAAGTAAGAATCATAGTTTCTATTAAACAGAAACGGTTTTCTTAAAATCTGTATTATGTGAAAACAAATTTGATGTTATTAATGAAAGAAAAAAATAAATTCAATAATACTTTATTGTGTTCACAACTTTTCATATATGCTGTGTAATAATTAATTTGTTCACAGAAAAAGGTTTCAATATAACAATATTAAAAATCACAATTTATTTTATTCTTTTATTAATGTAATGTGGAATCAAAAACATCTCAAATAAAAGATATGTAGGTTTTGAATTTTAATTCAATAAAGCAAATCTATTAGTGTATTTTTTCCAAATCAATTAATAATATATAATATCGTTAGTCCCTTTAATTCCCCTTGCTATAACTAGCAACTGTAACTGTACACAATATTTTGATATAAGAATATTTTTTTTATAAGTCATCAACATATAAATAATTACTACAATAGTACAATCAAATATTAACAAATTTATATATATTCATTTTTATGTATATAATATTTATAAACATATTTCATCGTAATACTATGTACTGATATAAAACAATTAGTTTTCTTGACAATGACATTTGGCTATTTAAAAATAGATCTGTATATACATGTATGGAATTGTTTCAAACATTATTGTTACGTTCATATTTTTGTTAAAAACGTGAAACATTCATTCTGAACTATTCTCTACAGTTAGAAATTTTTTGCACCATTTCAAAATTAAAATATGGCAGTGTATAGCATTTAATCAAATTATGTTTAACATTAATAGATCCTCTACAGTATATTTATATTTACAGTAAATGTAGGAATACATTTTTACAGTGGTGAAAGGAATCAAATTTTTCAGTTTTAAATACAACTGTCATAATGGAAGCAATATTATGAAATCATAAATAATATGATAGAAGTGATAATCATTAGGCAAAATGTATAATAATGCAGCGTGTAGCTTTCATACACTACAGCACTTTATATGCTTCTTATTAATGATGAAATATAACTTGAATAATTATAATTACGATTTATATCGCAAATTAAACCAGTCGCTGCAAATCACATTTATAATACAAGATGTACTTTCATCATCAAGAAAAACTAATTTTTGCTTGCTCTACTATTTTACCAATCTTATTTCGAGTTTAAAATTTCATTTCTAGCTTGTGTCATGATATCGAGAGCATTTTTCTCAATAAGACTTTCTGCAAGATCCTTACCAAGTTTTTCAGCACCCAACAAACTTATACTGCTTACTTTACCAGGTGCAATGCTGCAGTAAAGTTGTGGTTCCCGATATGGACATTTCCTGTAATGCAAAAAGTGTATTAGTAATATTGTTTGAAAGATATTTTATTTGTAAACATATCTAAATTCATTTACTTACTTTGGAGGTTCTCCATCATCATCAGGTATATAAAGTGTACTCTTAATAGTATTTCTGACAAGTTCTTGCCCATCTAACGACCATACTGCACCAGTAATAGTTAGATCCTTATCCGCTAATGTTGAGGAAACAGCAACTGGTGCAGAACAACCACCACCTAATGTTTTTAGAAATGAACGTTCACATACACATCTTATGGTTGTATTTACATCGTACAGTGGTTCCAAAAGAGATAATATTTTCCAATCCGACTCTCGACATTCAACTCCTAATGCACCTTGCCCAACAGCATACAATGTTTCCTCTGGTTCTAGCAACTACGAATATTGAAAAACTATTTTAAAAAAATCCATCAATTGCTGTCCAATGCGCGCGTAACTGTATGTACCATGTCAGTTAAAAAAAAAAAAAGAAATATGTGTTGTAATGAATTAAATTTAATAGGTCTATATACAGTGTAGCAATGAATATGTGGGACGAACATTTTTTCAGAATCAATTCTTTCAATCAATTTTACAATTTGAGACTTTGTTATCAAGATATAAGCAATTAAAATTTTTATGAGTATGAACGCTATTAACTGAATGATAAAAATATGAATCACATGTACTCCATCATGACAAATCAAACCAAAAATTCGACAAATAATCCCCATTTTAGCTGGCATATAAACTTTTCTTTATACCTAAATGAGGAATATTCACCTTGCAACAGAATAAAGAACATTTCGATTTTTTTTACAAGGAATTGATTCTGAAAATAGGTCTAAAGAGATTAATAATTAATAATTTTACGCAAAACTGTGAAAAAAATTACCTCGCTTATTCTGTCTTCCCACTTCATTCTTTTTAAACCAGCAGCAGCCAAAATAATTGCCGCAAAAGTTTCGTTCTTATCATCCAATTTCTTTAATCTAGTGTTTAAATTACCACGAATATTTTCTACTTTTAAGTGTTTCATGTTTCTGGCTAATTGAGCGGATCTGCGCAATGAACTAGTACCAATGACACTACCTTTTGGTAGGGTAGCTAATGTCTTATCCTTGTATTTTTTAGACATAACAACTGCATCACGCGGATCTTCTCGTCTGTAAAAATATTTTTATTAAAGTATTGATGTATAAGAATAACTGGCAATTTATTATTTAATAAATAATAAATAAAGAAAAATGTTCAAAAAATACTAATATCAAACATTAGCTAATAAAATAATTTTCGTTTGTATTTTAACTGTTATATATAAAGGGGTGTTTCAAAATGAAGAACACTAAAAAAACAGAATAGATATTGTAGTATTAAAAAAATAGATAAAAGTATTCTGTAGGACATTGTTTGACAAACAAGTTACTGCGTCAGTAGTACGCAGGTTGCATGCACAAAATATTTCTTTCATGAATATGATAATTTAATTGCAAATTTGAATTACAGATATGCAGTCCACCATTTTAAAGTTCTAAAGCATGGATAGCATGTTAAATCACACTAAGTTACTTTTATCAATTTAATTTCATACTCACTTTAATATTGCACCTAAAACCATTCCTTCTGGCAGTGATGTTGGTACATCTTTTAATGAATGTACTACAAAATCAACACGACCATTTTCCAAAGCAAGTTCCAATTCTTCTGTAAATAAAGATTTTTCTCCAATTTTAGGTAAAGACTGGTCTAAAATTTTATCTCCTTTTGTAGACATTGTAACTGCAAATCACATATAAGTATATTCATTAGTTGCTACATAATCAAAGTTTAGTAAAAAAAAAAAAATAGTGAATTACATTTATTTTTAAATAAAAACATGTTAAGAGCTAAATCAATTACATTTTTGTAGACATATAATTTATGAATTATATAAGACCATTTGTATTAATGATTTTTAATATTGTAGCAGAAAAATATTTAATATTTATAATAATCTCTTTTATTCAAAATATCCAGCAATTTAAAAAGACAATATTTTATTTACCTATTTCAAACTCCTTTGATGGATGGTACTCCTTCAAACATTGTATTACATATCTTGTTTGAATTAGAGCCAACTGAAATAATTATATGACAGTTAATATAAAGTCATGAAACTTCTTCTAACACATAATTATATAATTTTAACATTGCAAGTGTTTTAATTAAAAAATGCTGAGTAATGCAGAAATAATAAGTGTCAGTATAGAATTCTACAAATCATGCAGTATATCAATCACACATGACATCCAGTTTCTCATATAATAAACAAAGCAAAAGACGTAATACTTCATAACAATTAGAGGAAAAGTGTTTGATTTCATATCTTTTAGATTTAATTTAGTAACACGCTTATCTATTTACTACTATTGTTATTATTGTTCAGTATATGGATATTTGAAAATTACAATATACAAGTAAGAGAGTATGGACGCAAAGAAACATATTTCTCTTAAAAAAAAAAAAAAATAATATTCGTACATTTACCTCGCTTTTCCGAGATCCGACTCGAATTACGTCACGTGTATCCGTGCTCGTCATAATAGAAATTTAAATTTCTGTACCCTTCATACACAGAGTGCAATATGCGATACTCAATAATTATTATATAATGAGTTTTTCTTATTTCGGAATGTGTTAAATATACATGCCCAGAAGACAGTAGGAATTGAATTAGGTCAAATTACGAACAACTTTCACTACACTTACAAGGCTACGAACTCTATCACGTAGCACAATATCTTTAAAACATAATTGAACAAATATATTTCAAAATTCGTAATTGTTGAATGACAACTTGATACTTATTTCACAGTTACTGACACTGCAGTAGAACGTGAAATTAGTTATGTTAATGGATGTGGACGATATTACATCCTTGTGCACGCCATTCTCTTGAGACGATATACCCCGAAGCATGGGAACAAACTAATCACTATACCGACGACCGACCGAAAGCCTTTCGGCGAAAGGGACACCATATAACAGCATATTTTTTGCGCATGCGTATCCAAAAACAACTACGTATATAGACAGTATTATAGGCGTTAATGCTGATGGGTCCCAATAAGTTGGTAAACCAAGTAAGGATGATGCGTCATCAACGTAATATTATTAATTTTAGTATCACACGATGAATTTCGAATCAAAATCTCTTTTTTACACATTCGAAAAAATTTTCTAATCATTTTTTAAGAGTCATTAAAAATTTTATACAACAGACAAATAGGGACCCATACGGTACCAGTTTTTACTTGATCAGGGTACTATACTGACGCATAGAATATAGTACATATTAACTATATTATTACAGATAATACTGAATTGCTATCACTGTACGTCAATCATAGTATATGTTATATATAGCTTTAAAATTATTTACTGCGCATGCGATTTAAACACTCTTACTATTTCGTAATATTCAAAAGGTGTTTTCACTTTGAACAATCATAAATTTTCGATACAATTATACATTAAAATCTAAATTCAGCGAATTTTAGGTTTAATAGGTAGAATTCTACGATTCTATGTCGATATGTACACATGGAGGACATTGAATCTGTCGCAAGGTTAAGTCTTCCGATTAATGAAACGACATTGGTGATTTCCAATTGGTAAAATGTGATGTTTTTAGTATCAATACACCAATTGGAAGTCATACTGCAACTTTACGACAGATTCAAAATTCAATGCCGCATTTTATGGACATTTGTCTTTTCTCTATTAGTTCGCTAAATAAAGGGTTTATTGTAATTCGATTTTATTTTATATACAAACTGTCTTATAGTAGTATAGCGCCACAATTATTCGGGATGAAAAATTTTTCTTTATATTTTAAAATTCCTCGATTTATATTTGTAACACTCCATATGAAATACATTATACTTTTTAAAGATTGACCGAATATCAACACTTTGGTTGTTAGTATGCATTTTTTATTTGTGAATTTAGCTTTCAATATTTTAAAAATAAATACATAACATATAATTTACATTTTTAAAACGCATATATACAACTAGATATATTGGTCGATTCTTAGCACATGTACAAATTAGAAGTAAACATATTATTTTCATATTTTGTATAGCCTCAACAAAAATAAAACGCAATTTCAAAGTACACTTCTTTATGTACAATGTTATCGATATATTCTGAGTATAGTATAAGAATTTCGTTTGAAAAATATATCACATACAAAATTCTTTGTAAAAAAAAAACAGTCACGTTTTTCCATTATATGCACAAGTATAAATTTAAAAACGATTGCACTCGATTTAGATTTAAAATACTTTTCTCCTAAATACTGACTAGTTTGTATAATAAAAAATGCTTCTTTGCTTTTTCCGAAAATAATACAATAACGAAAATAACATCATACACATCAAATATAAAATACAAAAGGTGATATGTAGATCATATGCATAATATCTACATATTTTATATATTGCACGGACGTTAAATTATACATACTGTTTTATGTATTTGAAAATAAGTTTACCTACGACGTGTTAGCAATTTATTTTAAATGCGGCTGCAATTTCTGTTGCAGTTTTTAATTAAAAGCTGGAACTACTTCATATTGTACAGCGGTATTTAATATCAGCATGATAAAAAAAGCAACGAATTTAATTTACTACTTATATTTTTGTATTGACAAGCTTACTGTAATATACAGCCGCTTTCATTTTTTGGATCCTTAGTGCTCTGATGAATTGTATCTTCTTTAACAGGAAGTAAATTTTGTTCTTTTTCTGACTTTGCAGGATTTAAGCCAGATAATGTTTTATATGTATCTAAATTCCATACAGGATGAAGAGATTGCATTTGAAAATCAATAGGACTCACTAAACCGAAAGTAGCTTTTGTATCCAGTACTGGAACTTCTCCTGGTATTGTATGATGATAACTTTTAAATAAATATTATGAAGATTAACCTTTAGGTAAAAATTTTATTATATACATTCACTTATCTTCTACCTTAGATATATGTAATACTTACATTAAACCGTTTTCTCGATTGCATTTATCAAGGGTTAGTTTCACTATAGGTGCTAACTGTTTAAATACGGCATGTTCATCTGGTTTTGCTTTAGGTGCTGGTCCATTAATTTTTCCATATTCTTGACATAATGTTTTAGCCTTCTTTAAACAAGCTTCGCTTTCTTGTAAGGCTTTAATTGCTTCTCCACACTTATCCATAGTTAACAAATTTTCACCACAATAATTGTAAGCCTAAAAAATCACATTTTCAAACAAACTGACTTTAATCCTTCGATGCTTTCCACTAATTCGCTTACGTATGATTGGTAAAATGCTGCTTTAAGTTCTAAGTATTTAATCCACTGAGCCGAAATGTCAGGTTTAAATGAACGTAGTGTATTAGCAGCATCCAAAAATAATTTACTTGTTTCGTTAGCTAACGCTGATATCAAGCTAGCATTATGCTTTAATTCCACTGCTCTGGCTACTGTCACTGTAGTACAAATACGAATGAAAATGTGCATTCATAGAGAAAAACAATAAAATAGTATTATAAATTTATACATTACATAACCTTCTTGTGCTTCTGCTGTACACTGATTTACATATGCATTTAATATTCGTGGATCTAGGTCGCTTCCCAATGGTGGAGGATTTGCTAATTGTGGCAAAAATTCTGTTTGTACAAAAGTAAATATTCCAGCAGCTCTTCTAAGCATGGTATGTACATCTTTTGCTTCGTTCATGCTAATGCTAAATTATAACATTACTGAATGATACTTTTTATAATAACATTTATTTAAATATTTAATTAATTTATATATTATTTTTTATACTTACTCATCTTTAGCAGCAATCATTGCAGCATGTTTCATAAACCAAAGTCCTACATTCACGCTTATATTAGCTGCTTCGTAAACAGAATCATTGCTTGAACTTTAAATAAGAAAATAAAAATGTCATTATAAATTATGCTGAATACAAAATGTTTTCGAAATAATACACATGCATATATAAAGTATATTAACTAGGTGTTTGTTCCCAATAATGTATGCGTCCACTTATACACAAGAACATTCCTAAGTTTACTGGGATTGGGTCTCCCAACATGTTGATCTTGTACAGCGGAAGAATTTATTTCCCATATAAATCCATATAACAAACTTAAATAACTGTGAAAAGCCGGCTCTATGGTATCGCTAGAATTATTTGGATTTTTTATCAAATCCAAAAGACGATATCTTGATAATTTTAAATCACTGAAATATAATAATAACAGGTAAGTGTATGATATAAAATATAATAATTATTAATTCATGAACATGATTTAACTTTTTTTTTTATGATATAACAATGTTTTATGTTTCCATATTTATCATGTTACATAAATTCTTTTCGAAATAATGACCTTAAACGTGTATGAAACGTGAAAAGAAGTAAATGCGTTTGATTTACTATCCTTATAAATAACTAACCTGCATAATTTTCTTGTAGCATCAGTAGAATTAGTTACTTTCAATTCGAATTTTTGATTTGTCGTTGCCTTTAACACATTACGATGAAACCAGTGTGCCATTTTATTATAAAATAAAAGTTAAGTGATCTCAACTAGTAATATCTAAACACTTAACTTCAGCCTGTCGATTTGACAGATAAGGTGAATCAAGGTAAAACGTACAACACAACACAGCCTAGTAAGTAACGCTATAGCAACGAAAGATATTCCACTTTTTGAAAAGTATGAGTAGTCGCGCAATTCTTCGCACACTTCCGTCTCGCGTGTAAGCGTGTAATCAAGTGTCGATCGTCATTATTTAATATAATTTAAAGGTAAAAAACAAAAAACCGTTTATTTATTGTTACATATTAAAAAAATAATTAATAAATTAATGTCATCATCAATGTGACACTTTTATCATGATAAAATTAGCATATTTGTTATTTAACCTATATAATTCTAGTATAACGGACGATATGTTTAAAACGTTTTTTATGTTTAAGCGCTTTTATCTATATTTTTAAACAATTTATGCCTCGGTTGTTTGATAATTCTTTTAATTTAGTAACGTTAAAAAATTCTTTTGAAAAGAACGTCCTTGAATGACAGCAAATAATTTATCTATAGATTAATTACGTTATATTAGATAAAACTAAAATTTAATCGAAAGATTATTATTACACAGTTTTATCAGTACTGCTACATAGTAGCATAGTGATAAATTTTTAATAATTTAATAGAATTATTTTGCAACGTTTAATTACAATTTGTTAATGTTCATTTCAGATGGGTGAACCTTCAGGATTAACAAATAGTGAAGCACGGGAACTTTGTAAAGAACCTGATCCTGTAACAAATGGATATATTATGCAACAAACAATGTACCGTATTAAAGATCCAAGAAAATCTTTACCTTTTTATACTGAGGTGCTTGGTATGCATTTATTACAGAAAATAGATTTTCCTAAAATGAAATTTTCTTTATACTTTATGGGATATGAAAATCCAAAGGATATACCTGTTGATAAAAGAGAAAGCATTGAATGGACATTTAGCCGCAAAGCCACTATAGAACTTACTCAGTATGTTGAAAAATTATATATAATCATTATACTTTTTATTTCATACTTTAATAAATCTGCTATGAAGAGTAGAATAAATTTTCTTGTTCCCCTTTCAGTAATTGGGGAACAGAAACTGATCCTGATGCTAAATACCATAATGGAAACACAGAACCTCAAGGATTTGGTATGATACTTTAAATATTACATAATAAAAACATAAGATAAAAGTACTATTTAAATGAAATATAAAAATAGCTATAAAATATATTTCTTTAATACATAGGTCATATTGGAATCACAGTACCTGATGTTGATAAAGCTTGCGAAAGATTTGAAAAGCTAAATGTAGAGTTTGTGAAGAAACCTAATGATGGTAAGATGAAAGGAATTGCCTTCATTAAAGATCCAGATGGTTACTGGATTGAAATTATAAGTCCATCAGTTGTTGCAAATGTAGTATTAAATCATTAATGTATTTTACATGAAGTAATTTTTTGAGACCCCTAAAATGTATTAATTTTATTAAACACTAAACAATTAGAGGCAAAACGAAATCATTAAATATACATATATGTATACATAGATGTGTATATATATATATATGTATTAAAATTGTAATTACTGTTATTTATATACACTATATTGTATAGCACCTGTACATTCTTATATTACATTGTGCAATATGTATAATTTGGTAAATAAAATCAAAATATTTATTTTTCAATTATTATTGTTTTTATAAAAATGCATTCCTAAACGTTAACACATTGTATGTGTAAATATATGTTTACAATTTCATTCACAACTGTTTTCAGCTACATATATATATGTATATATGTATGCATACAGTGTGGCGAAAATAGTATGCACTATTCTGCAAGTAGTGGAGTATCTTGTACTACCAACTACCAAGCACCTAGGTCTTTTTGTAGTATACAACAGAGAAATGTCATATTGCCGTATATGACTTTTAATTTTGATAAAATAGTGTATATCCATTTGTATTTCTTATCAACATTATCCGGAGTAGTACAGAGTGACAACTGTTTCTTACTTACAACAATAATATTTCGTTCGTCTCATAAATTTCAATGATCAACTATTATATTGAGGTTAGGTTTCAGACCGCAACACGAAATATACCACATTTATTAATTATTTATTTAACACTCGAATGGATGTGGCAAATGAATGTACGGTCATTTTGATTTGTAGTAAAATTTCCATTATACGCAGATTTTATCTCCTACCTTTTTCAAGTAAACATTTATCTATCTTTCAGCAATGAATATGGTAACAGCTATAGCTGAGTCAAAATGACCCTGCATTCACTGTTAGAACATTAAAAATTAATGTTTGAAATTGTAGTATCATCTTTAATAATATGATTTTTAAAAAATTAAAAAAAAAATTGATATGTGATATATAAATATATTGCATTGTGAATATCATTTAAATCTTTGTGTTTAGCATGGTAGAAGATAAAAAATATGAAATTGGGAGCCGTATTGAGTGTGATGAACATCGAGGTACATTAAAATATGTCGGCCCTGTTAGTGACACAAAGGGTCAGTGGTTTGGTATAGATTGGGATGACCCAGCTCGTGGGAAACATAATGGCACGTATGAAGGAATAGAATATTTTAAAGCTAGGTAAGATTTTAAAACCGTGTAAAATAATAATATCATATTATACAACAATGAAATAAATAAAACATATTAAATCTTTTGTAACAGGTATCCTACTTCGGGTTCATTTATACGTCCAGGTAAAGCAAAATTTGGAATCTCTTGTCCACAAGCTATTAAGACTCGTTATGGTCTTATTAATGATGAATTGGCGGGCATAGATAGAGATACACTGATAAGCTTGCAAAAGGGAATGAATGCTCCTTTTTTGGAAGTTGTTGGTTTTTCTAAAGTAAATAGGAAACAAAGCAAATTTGACCAATTAAAAATAGTTTGGTTGAGAGAACAATATGTCAGTAATGCTGGCAACATTGGCGAATTGGAAGAATTGTGTCCAAATTTGGAAGAATTAGATATATCTAGAAATTTAATAAATAGCTGGCAAATTATAGCAAATATCTGTTATCAGCTTCATTCTCTTGTTCGTCTTAATGTCAGGTAAATTAATTAAAGTTTATTAATTACAAACTGTAGTTTATATTATTGTTATATATTCTTATTATTTTATTTAGTGAAAATTATTTACCAATTGAAGAAAATATGGAAGAACTAAGTAATTCGTTTTTAATGGTTCAACATTTAATCATGACAAGAATGAATTATAATTGGCTTGATATTCAGCAATGTATGCATATGTTTCCATCTCTTCAAGGACTTTCAATTTCTTTCAATATTATCAGTACCTTGCAAAAGCCATTAGAGGGTGACAACTTGATGAAAATACATACATTAATGCTTGAAGGAAATTTGATATCCAGTTGGGATGAAATTCTTAAATTGGGTTCACTTTCATGGCAAGTTATTACTTTAACTACATGTAGAGTTTATACATAAAATTTTTTTATGAAATTTATCAATATATTAAAGTATACAGAGTTAATGTGAAGGAGGGACTTATATTGAAAAGTTTCATTTTACAGCTTAGAATACCTAAATTTAAATTTAAATAAGATAGACAAAATAAGATTTCCATCTGTTGAACCAACAGCAAAAACTCCAGCCTTTCCTGCTTTACGACAGTTGCATCTATCGCAAAATAACATATCAGAGGTAAGATATACATTTACACTCTATAAGTAAATGATTTAAAGAAAATAATAAATTTCATTCAATTTATAGTGGCAATCTGTGTCCGAATTAGAAAAACTTAATAATTTAGAAGATCTGAAATTTAAAGAAAATCCAATTTTGAGAGATGAAAGTCTAGAAACTGCACGCCAATTAATAATAGCAAGAATTTCAAAACTACGAACTTTAAATGGCACCGATATTGAGCAACATGAAAGAAGGGGTGCGGAATATGATTATTTGAAACTGTATTTACAAAAATGGACTGAAACTGAAAAGGATTCTGAAAAAAGAAAGGAATTTATCATCGAACATCCTCGATACCCGGCATTGGTCGAACGTATGTAAAAATAATATCACAGTTATCAATAATATTGATAAAAGCTTGAAAATTGTAATCTTTTCGATAATAATTATCACATGTTATCTGAAATTATTTTTAGAATACGGAATTTCTGATATCCCGTCATCCAAACCGAAAGTGGAAATGGTTTCTAATGTCATAACAGTAGAGTTTATGTGTCCAGATAATCCCGACCAACCTAGGGACATTAAAAGGAAGCTTCTAAAAGACATGGAAGTTCAAAAAGTTATTGGACTTACACAACGGCTTTTCAGAACAGGAGGAAAGATACCGTCACTATCATTTATACAACACAATGTAAGTATTATTAATCTTTGTTTTTAAACAATATATATGTATTATAATATTTCGATGTATTTTTGTAGCTTTCAAAGGATGAAATTCCATTAGATAAACCGCTTCAAGAACTGAGATATTATTCGATACAAGATGGAGATCAAGTTCTTGTGAGGTGGTGATATGAAATGAATTGTTCATAGACATAATTGTATTTTGTACACTGTTAAAATTTCACCTCCGTACTTTGTTATTAAACTTTTTTAATTGCACAAGTATATTTCTTGTCCCCTGTTTATAAAGTTTCACGTTGCATTAATTTGTGCTGGAAGCTGGTAAAATTTAAAAAGTATTAACTTATTCGATTTGAAAAAATTGTATATAATTGAAAAAAATATTTCTTATTACAATATTTATGCAAAAATCATTGTGTTTTATACTTACTATAATACAGATAATATATGTGAAGTACAAATTATAGTATGTTTTTACACACTGTATATCATCAAATTATCTATATTATCCATAAAATATAATTAATATAATAATATATAAAAGATTTATTACAAACGTAGTGTTCAATTTTGTTGCGACTTTTCTTCAATTTTTCTATATCCTTCTTTCTCAAGTTGTTCTCTTGTTAATAATGATAATCCTAATTGATTTTCACGTGTAAACGGTTGAGCCATTTGTCGCAACCAACGTTTACTTATCTGAAAATCATAATGAACGATTACCATAATTTTCTTTTAAATTTATCGTTACTCTGTTTTATTTGTTAGATTCTAAGATTCACCTGTACAGCTTCTTCGGTTGACAGGTTACATAAACTATCAATTAGATGCTCCTGTATCCATTTTGGTAATTTGCTTCGTTTATCTATTCTCGAAAATCTCTAAGAAATAAATATTATAAAATTGATTAATAAAAACAACTAATGTGATCTGTAATAATTATTGTTACCTTATCTGCGAACACCATAATACCATAATCAGTCTTGCCTCTAATGGCTCGCCCAACACATTGTGCAGCGTGTCTCATAGCGTCAAACGTTAAAAAATCATTTTCCCTAATCTGAAAGAAATAATAGAAATTCTTTTACTAACACTGATACAAACTTTAAAATAAGTTATAATATAATATAATAATTTACTTGGAATTGATCACGAAGATATTCTAATCGTGCTTTTAAAATACGCGATTGGGTATATACGTAAGGAATTCCAAACATAAGAACAGCTCTTCCCAAATGATGGTCAAAATCAACACCTTCTGAAACTTTTCCACGCGCTACCGAAAGAAGAACAGCGCCTCTACCATTCTCGCAGGCTTTAATATAATTTATAAGAGCTAAACTTGTTTCTGCAGAATCCTGAGTTTCGATAAATAGTAACTTATGCCTTTGAAGTTGATCTACAACACCTTGGTCGTACCTACAAAAGTAAAGTATAAAAATATGCTTGTACCGATAATAGTTCGCTAAATACAAACCATGCAGCCACGACAGATTCCATGTAGAAATACGAGGTAAAGAAGCAAACTAAACCATCGGGAACAGTAGCTGCAAATTCAACTAATAGTTGGCCATAGTTCCTTATAACAGCAACGTCTTCTCTTGTTTCATATCTTGACGATATCGCAACTTGATCATTACCTTTTGATACGATCTAATATTAAAACACATTTAATTTGTCAATAATTATCGTATCGCCATTTAGACACGATGCAAACGAGCGATTTATTTACGCACGATCGTGTGTCTTTCCTTATTTCTCCATTTGAAAACAACAAAGGTAGATGTATAATCGTGCGGCAAACAAATCACTCGTCTGCATTGGGCCTTAAATAGAGTCGGTATTAGACTTACCATAGGCAGAAGACATGGTCTTGCCAACGTCATGGTAAAGGATGACATTATGACTGGATGAAAATTCAAAATTTTTGGGTACATATCTAATGGAGACAACGTTCCTGAAGTGATTACTACCGATTGAAATCTATCAAAAATAGGTTTCATTGCAATCGACGAATCTAAGCAACTGAACTGAAGAATTGGATTCAAGACATTAGGTGTTTTGTCATCAAATGGTTCCACTATAATAGTAAATCCTTTTGTATAGGTAGAAACTAATGTTGCAAGATGTGTCACCAAAATTATTGGTGAAAAATCGGTTAAATCAGATATTTCCATAGTACGTAAAAGAGAGGCCAATCGTTCAGCGCAAAACCTTAATGGTTTACGTTCTATCGAAACTTTTGTTTGAATATCCCTCAAAAATGCAGCAGGCGATTCCTGTATTACGTGCTGTACACGCAAACGTGTTTTTAAGTATTCTACAAAACGTTTTAAAAAACTAACGAAATGTTCTGCATTTCTTATATTACCAGGTACCACCTCTGAAATAATATAACGAATAAATAATATTTATGATCGTTACATTTCGTCTGGCATTGAAAATTAAGAATTTACCATGTAGAATTTCAGTCGGCAAAATGGGATTAGCTAAAATAATATCAGTTTCCCTTGCAACTTGTGCATCTTTCAATCCTTCTACTAATCTATCATATTCTTCCTTCAATTTATTTACATCATCTTCTCTCATCCTAAATTACAAACATTGCTAATAATTATCATAATGTATGTAGCACATAAAATTTTACTTACTCTGCTACTGTCTTTTCAAGAAGTTGTATATTAGCAGACCCTCTTTCCAAGAGTCTTCTGTTTATTTTTACACTCATTGAATCGATGCACACATTATCTAAAATTAATTAAATGGTTAGAATTTCTTCAATTTCTATTATATACAGCTAAAATATAAGATATAGTGTACCAATATTGTGAGCTTCGTCAAAAACTACAACAGATGTTTTATTTAACTCTTTTGACACAGTTTCTGCAATTTTAGGATCTAATAAATAATGATAACTGTATACCACAATTTGGGCATGTAAGATCTAAAATTGTATGTAAAAGTTAGTACATTAATTAGTAGGCAAATATGCAATTCATATTTATAAATACTTACTGTAAACCTTGCAAGAAAGTAAGGACACCAATTACGGTCTTTTCCATATTCCTTTAAATCATCGATGGAATATATGCCTGAAGGCATAATTTGTTCTTTGCCTTCCATATCAAATCCTTCATAAAAGTTACAGATTGGCGTGGACTCATCATAATTGTGTCTCTCACGAATATACGACGCTGTAAGAGAATGACAACGTCCATCAACAATTTTGCCTTCTCGTTCTCTGCTCACCTATTCCAAGGTATAATATAAAAAAAGTTGTGTAAGCATAACTATCTAAAATGTAAATACAAATAATACAAATTACCTCAGGATGAATACACATATTTTTTCGCGAACTAAGCACAAGGCCAACAAGTTTAGGTTTACTTTCAGTTTCTTTTTCATAATAATCTATAAGCTTCTTCAATTCTTCTATAACTTTTTCTATTTCCGGTACTGTACGAGAACAATAAATTAATTTTGTAATATCCAACGGATTTTCCAACATATATGCTACAATTAATGACAACAGAGTAATTGTTTTGCCAGTGCCTGAGGGCATTTCCAATAAACTGTGCCCCTAAAAAGTTATGATTAAAGTTGTAGTTTAATCATTGCGACGTTAATTCAAAATTATATTAAATAGATACTTTTGCATCCAAGCCCCGCTTGAGTTCAAGCATGTATGCATATTGTTCTGGATAAATGTAATCGTAAGGGAAATATACAAGTAAACCGTCAACGCTGATTCTGTAAACATAAACAAGTGGTAAAATTTTTCGTTTAGGAACATTTAAATATTTCGCTGAATGGATGTTAATATTTACTTCATATTTTTATATCTCTTCTACATAAATCTAAATTTGATGCACAATAATATTATTTATTTATTAACGTAACGATTACGATGTGTTTTGTATTAGATTACATGTGCAAAATGATGCAACACATGTATTTATCCGATGGTACAACATCAGACGAACCGATCGGAACGCATAAAATCACATAAGTAAAAGTAAATACGATTGATTCATGTGTTTTACGGCTAGCAGTTACACATTTCGTGTTCCTAAAATAATTTTTTTCTTTATAGATAAGAAATCGATGTCATTTGTAAGAAATTAATGTAATATGTTCCTATTTTATTTCTATGACCTATTATATATTTAAACAGTGTTATATTCAAAACGTGGAAAATAACTTCATTACTTACATTATTTTGAAAACGTATTAAAATGTTTCGTGGAAGTCGATTATTTGTATCGATATAAACTGAATCGATATACAACACAACCGGAAGGAGATATTTGAAAACGTCTACAATTTCCGTAAAGGTTTGGCTTCCGAGATACACGTGCATGGAGAGTTAAATTGATATAAATTAAATATAAACATTTAGGCGTTTAAAATTCCAGATGGGAAAGCCAGGTAATAATGATTCGGTTATTAGATATTTTCCTTAGTTTTTTGCAACATTAAAATATTCAACATTAGTACACGAGTTTCTGTAACCTCAAAGGTGTAAATAATATTCAGTATTTGTTTTGCATATATACGATTTCCGTATTATATTTTTATTGAATATATATGTTCATTGAGATATAATGAATCATTTTTTATATAAACAAGAAGATTGTTAAGTTAGATAAACAATAGTATATACCTTTATATTAGCATTGCTCTAATCTAAGTTGAAAAATGTATGTTATTTACTACGTAACGGAATCATATATTCATAAAGCTGGATATAACGAAAAATTACTTTAAACTATTGTTTTTTAACTTGTTAATTTTATAGAATTTATTCAATTCTAGGATTTTCACCGGGTGGAGGAGGTGGATTTAAAGGAGGTAGGGGTGGAGGAGGAGGAGGAGGTGGTGGAGGAGGAGGAGGTGGTGGAGGAGGAGGAGGAGGAGGAGGAGGACGAGGAGGTGGTGGTAGTGGTGGTTTCAGAGGAGGTAGGGGTGGAGGAGGAGGCGGCAGAGGTGGTGGTGGTGGACGTGGTGGAGGAAGAGCAGGTGGTACTCCTCGTGGACGTGGTGGTGGCAGAGGAGGCGGAGGAGGAAGAGGCCGTGGAGGTGGTGGTTTCAAAGGTGGCAAAACTGTTATTATAGAACCACATCGTCACGAAGGAGTTTTTATAGCTAGAGGAAAAGAAGATGCATTAGTTACTTTAAATTTAGTGCCAGGTTCAGAAGTATATGGTGAAAAGAGGATTAGCGTAGAAGTATGTGGATGAACTTATGTAATTCTTATTGTCTAATTTATTAACTACACAAAAGCTAAATGTATGCAACATTACAGGGAGAGAATGGTGAAAAAATTGAATACAGAGTTTGGAATCCATTCAGATCGAAATTAGCTGCAGCTATACTTGGGGGTATAGATCAAATTCACATGCCACCTGGATGCAAAGTTTTATATTTGGGTGCTGCATCTGGAACAACAGTATCACACGTAGCGGACGTTGTTGGTCCAGTAAGTCTACAAAAAATGTTTTCCTGCATCTAGAAAAGTTATAATGCATACATTAGAGCCAAGTTGGTGCATTATTGCTAATTTGGTGTCGAAGTTATGCTATATAAATCACATGCCCGTTTTTTCAACCAGTAAGATGTATTGTATTTTACTTTTAAAAAGCGCGTGTACAAATGCTTATACGTTTATACTGCTTGCATATATTTTTAAATGCATATGTACAAACTTTGAATATATATTGTATTTCCTTAGGAAGGGCTAGTTTATGCAGTAGAATTTTCTCACAGATCAGGTAGAGATCTTATAAATGTTGCCAAAAAGAGAACAAATATCATTCCTATTATTGAAGATGCAAGACATCCTCATAAATATAGAATGCTTATTGGAATGGTAGATACAATATTTGCAGATGTGGCACAGCCTGATCAAGCCAGAATAGTAGCTTTAAATGCTCAGTACTTCCTGAAAAATGGAGGCCACTTTGTTATTTCTATTAAGGCGAGTACATCGATAAGGATCTTCAGATAAAATCAATACAATATTTATTCTAAGGGTATCATTTTCTTTTTAGGCCAGTTGTATAGATTCTACGGCTCAACCGGAAGCAGTATTTGCGGCGGAAGTAAAAAAACTTATATCTGACAAATTGAAACCACAGGAACAAATTACATTGGAACCATACGAAAGAGATCATGCCGTCGTAGTTGGTGTTTTTAGGCCACCACCTAAGAAAGTTACCTAAAATTATGTATATGTATATATGTATCATCTAATTATTAAGATCATTTTAAATCGTTGCTAATCATCATCCCTTAAAATATATGTAATATCTTTTGATTGGTTGACTGCAAGTAAAATTTCCAGACTTTTTATAAAACTTGCGAAAAGATGGAATCAGTTTGTAATATAATGTAAAGTATATAATTATTATGAAGATTGTTGAAACGTTTTTCCACAAAAGCAATTTTCTTCATTATTGTACCTACACAATCGGTACATTGAAAGAAATATACGCGTAGGATTTTTTAATACAAAGTTTATATTTTCAATATCTTTCATCATCATCATCTTACTAATACTTTCATACAAATAAAACATTTTAATAACATACATAGTGTATTTAATTCAAATATACCTATATTTCAATATTTAATATTATGCAATTTCTAGAACTATTTCTCTGTAAATTTAAAAACAAATGAAAGTACCGTAACATCCATACATTATTTTCGTACAATCTCATTAAAATGAAATTTCAAAATTTATGTACACGTTAATTAGTCAATTGATCTTTTGTAACTACTTTTCAGTATGATCTTATTACATATTCATTAAATCAAAATGCCCCGTCCATTATTGAATTCGTCTAAATGCGGTAAGATGTGCAAATTTTGATCAAGCAACGAACCGGTTAACCATGATTGACGATTACTTGTAGCGATCGACGAAAGTCGCAAACCGTCGAACAAAACGCTCAAATTTAAAAAGTCGATAAGCACAACAGGTCGTAAATCAATCTCAAACATGAAAAGTCAAAGTCGTTTAGTGGGAGGAGCGGATGTGCCGGAGGTAACGGGTGAAGTTGATGTACCGAAGGAGGTTACAGAAGTTACAGACGAAACAATCCCTACCGTGGTGGAAGAAACGGAAAATGGAAAACCCGCAGCTTCCGGTGGACCATGTTGTTTTTGTATTGCAAAAGTGCCAGGATCAACTGGGTACAAATGTTGATTGTTTGTTTCATTGGTCAAAGATTCTATAATATTGGTATTATTTGATAAAAGTATAACAAGAAAGTTTCATTCAATTTTTTTCTTTTAAACTAAAGTATGTAAAACGTATTATTTTATAAACGCAGAGACAGGAAGGTGGACGAAATGATCGACTATGTGCATAAAAATTTACAAGAAGCCGGTAAAGCATTGGCCACTTTAAGCGAGAACTTTGAGCACGATTCAAAGGTTGAGCCCTGCACGCAAGTAGAATCATGAAATTGGGACGACTTAGGGGAGTGTATAGCGAGGGTACAGCAATTAAAGTCGTTCTATAACAAATTATACGTATTCTTTCGAACAATAAAGTAACGAATAAATGTAGTTGCCGTTTAAAGCTCCCAATTTCGTAGAACGTACGAACCGTTTCCTCGTCGAAACGGAAATTACGCTTTCCGTATAAAAATATAAAACATGCGTGTAGCATGTGCACTGAATTTCTTATGACAAACAACATTCTAATTTTTTTTCTTTCTTTTATTTTCTATCTCTTACGCGAACCGACACGAATCTTGAAAAAGTTGATGTTCGTCGATATACTTGGCCGTATACAAGAATGGACTAATCTGGTGCAAGATAAGCTGAACAACTGTAAAATGGACCTCGAAGCTTTGCGCAAGGAATTAGAGGCGCGCGCTTGCGAGATCGAAAATTTGAGGAAGCAGCTGGCAGAGTGCGAGGAACGCGAGGCAAGTTTCTTGTTTGAAAAACACGGTTTGAACGTAAACTTCAAATACGAAATAACATTGCTACAGAAGGCGGCCGCTCAAATACGCGCTGAACACGAAGCAATCGCTACAACGACGGAAGAACCGAGTATTGCCACCGCAAAAACGGAGACGGACGACGTAAAGAAGGATGATGCTACAATTACCGCCGTACAAGAAACAACAACGACTGGTCATTCGCCAGAAGTTGAAACGAATGTCGTGGAAATTGTCTGTACGGACGCAGCTATTCAGTCGATCATGAAGGACAGAGAAGCAATGAGACGAGAAATTGAGGTACGATAAACTCTTGCTTCTATTGTCCACCTGAATATCATATTGTCATTATACCGAAACACTGTTTATTTGAGAAGCTGGAAGCTGAAATAGCGCGGCTCCGTAGAGAGAATCAGCGTATCATAAAAGAACGCGCCGAATACGAGAACGCGATACAACGAGCGCTGCTGCGAGGCGTTTCTTCTTTGAACGTCGAGGCTTTGAGAGTTTTGCGCTGTCCCCCCATTCCGTGCTGTACACCTTGCGCCCCTTGTCACACCACTACTACGTAAGTACCCACGTTTCATCTGTTCCAAGATGATCTCTTCAGCTTCTTAGTATCATTTATCTTGTAACAGTACCAAAGTATTAGAGGTAGATCTTTGCAATTGTCTGTCTTGTCACAAACAAGCCTGTTCCACGAGTGAATCTGGAAATCTTATTCGTTATTCGCGAATAAAATTTGCCCAACTCTGTCCGCGAGTGAAACTACAGGTGAGTCAGTATCGGTCTCGGTTCGATATCGATCAGTAAAACAGACGCTCTTTCGTTACAGCACCGCGAAGGACACGAACTGGCAATGGGCGTCCGAGCGTGACGGGACCATTGCCATTGAATTTCTTACGTTACGTATCCGGTTCCGTCCGAGCGCGTGGCAATTTCTCACCTCGATCGTTCATTCGTTTCTTTGCAATAAAATCAAGCCTACTTTGTCTAATCTCGCAGGGAATCGATCACCGTGTGCAAAAGAGACGTCGTTTCGACCAGGATGGCCTCGGGTTGCGTCACCCAACGTGCCGGTAGCGGAAAAGGTTGCGTTCGCGAGCAGCAAGCTCCGTGCATCGTGAAACGACCCTGCGGCAGCCCCTGCTGTTCCGCGGGAAAGAGCCGGAAGACCACGTCGAACAGCAGCATGGTTTTCCTTCTTCATCAGGGTGACGCGGATGGCATCTGCGTCTCTCACGAAGCGCCGGTGCCGCGTGTCTGCGGCCAGCCAGTTATGAAGAAGATCGAGATACCTCCGTGTCCTAGGTTCAGCAGATAATAAGGTCACTTTCTCCTTCGTTAAAGGACAATTAACCCCTTCACTGTTCCGTGCGCGCGGAACTAAGCACGCTCGTGGTTGCGTGCACGAAAGGAAAAAGTTGCTGCACTTGGCATTCCGAATTGACTTTTGTATACTCGATCGTATCTAGGCGGTAAAAAACTTTCTTAAAAGAATTTCGATGGTACTTCCGAACAGTAATAAAATTTGCTCTGTCGTTACCCCATGTTGAATAATTATGTTCTGGCTGTACGTTATAGGAGCACGATCTTGATGACGTTGTAGGTCTGTGCAGAATACGTCAGCGACACTGGTCATGGCGTCATAATCTACAAGAAAACGGAAAGGTTGTCACTGGGGGAGTTGCAAGTAGACTTCGCGCGATGATGAAAGCGTTAACGCAGTTAACGAAACGCTTTCTCGGATTTTCTGGTTTCTCAGAAACGTTGACTCATACTCGTAAATCTCACGACCGTTCTTGAACCTTGCTCGTCCGCTTCGTGATGTGAAAATAATAAATAACACGACACTGAAAGTATAAATATAACTTTATATAACATCGTCAGAAAAATATTATAAATATTAAACATTCATTCTCATAAATAACATTAAGATTTCGTTTCATTGTTTAATGTTACAAAATAGAATCGAAGGCTACACCAAAGGTCGCGAGATATCGTCCGAACCTTGCATTCGACACACCTGTACCTGTACGTTTTTCACGAAAGCTCAATGAATGCGCCATGGAATTATAAAATTTTAAACACGATTCGAAACAATACCTTAAACCCCTTGTAACGTATTTCGCATTCATTGATCTTCTTCATTCGATCCGTAACGAGCAGACACGTAAAATGAGACTACGACTGGATTGTCAGTCAATAGACGGCGTGTTAGTAGACAATATTAAAAGTAAGATACGTAACGTTACACCTTCTTAAGTACTGGAATTATTTTGTCGAGACTTTAGAAGCGTGACTGCGTTTGTACGCCGCGACGGAGTTACAGGGGGAAAAAAGAGAACACGTGATCGAAGTTTTCGCGATACGAGCACAAACTTGTTGCTTATTCTTTCGTTTTCTCGCTCGATTCAAATGGAATGGTTGGGGGAGATTGTACTGATAAAAAGTAATAATGTAAATTGCACGACGGTCAAAATTCTGCATCGGCTTATTTAATGCTACGACCAATTTTGAGAGCCGTTAAATACTTTGCGACGCACAATGTATGGCTGGAACATTGTACGTTGGACTCTTACTTTCACGGTGAAATTTCTCGCCATTTCGACGGATCGCAAATGTAATAGGTCATCCCAGAAGTAGTGCCTCTTGTCTTACTTTAAATGGATACTTGACGTAACAGCAGATATCTATAGTCAACAACTTGATCGACTACGAGCAACTTTAGCAGAAAAACGACCATCATTAATGAATCGTAAAAGGAATACCATCCATCACGATGACGCTAGACTGCACGCAAGGACAACGATGGAAAAAATTAAAAATTTTAATTGGGAACTTGTACCACACCCATTCGTACTCTCTGGATCTTGTACCGAGCGATTACCACGTACATTTTTAATTAAGTATTCATTTTTTGCAGCAAAAGTCAGTGTCAAAAATGGCATTATTCATAGGACGACCTAATACGTATTGATACTTCGTTAAAACCGCTCAAATAAGTGACAATAGCGGTAAGAAATATTAATGGAACGAGGAATAAGAGACCAAAGTTGCAAGCGTTTCGTGTTGTAAAACGTATGGCTGGAACGTTGTACAAGTAAGAAACGGTAACGAAATCGAAAGCATTATCGTACTCGGAATGAGCATTCACCTCCACAATTATAATATCCGTAATTTCTCGATCGGCACCAGGAATCACTGTACAGTATAGATTCTAAAATACGTATTGTCGCGAGAGTTTGTTTACTGGAAAGTGTTCCAGGTGATCGTTCGGTCGATACCGATCGGGAAACTTCGTCGAAGAATTTTCTAATTTTTTCTTTGTCTCGTTAATGAAAACGCAGTCGCCCGACGAAAGACGTTCCGAACGTATGGCGCGTTTCCCGAATATATTTATAACATTGCAAATAGTATTCATAAAGCACAACAATCAAATGGTCGTAATTACAGCTGGTCCAGCAGCGCGTTAATGTTACCAATATATTTTCATAACAGGGACGAGCACGTTCGAATGATTTTGTAAGTGAAATACATCTGAAATAGTGCACATGTTCATCAGTTCGTAGAACAAGCGACGAACAACCTAATATATTGTACTCTGTGGTGATACAATATCGACGACAAAACAGAATACAAATTAGTAATGTGTTCGTCGCTCGAATACTGTCTGAGACACATTTTGCCCTGTTTCAGAAGCGTCAGATACCCGACGGCAGGTACGTAATTGATACTCTTTCTCGGGCGTCGTGCGTCGTCGACTCGCGTTTTGCGAAACGATCCGTAAGTTCTAACTGCTCCCGCGGCAAGGAAAAAAAAAAAGAGCAACGCTTTTTCTCTGCTCTTTACCGAGAAGGCGTTATTATCATTTATTCGTAAAACTTACGTAAAGTTCCTGCAATTAACTACCATATTGTCTCTGTGTCATTCGATCAGCAGTTTAAGAGCGTCCTGTTCAAGACGCCTTAGACAACGTCGTCCAACCTTGATACCCGTTCTGTCGCGACAGCCCGAAGGACTATTTTGCCCACGCGATCAAGTCGTCGGACAGTGATTGTATTTTTCGCCTTTCGTAACGTTCTGGCGTGCGTCGAGCGATCGTTATGCTCGCGAAACAATAATAGGAGCGTTACAAACATGACCACGCCATCGAAATCAAACTTCCTTTTGGACGCATTTTTTTTTTTTTTGTAGTGAGGTAGCAATAGAGCGAAACGCTGGGACAAATATCGTGTCTGGGGCCCCCCGCGGATACGTGGCCCCTTGGCCAATGATAACAACGACATTGCTGAGGAAGAAAGTGCAAACAGGCGTTTACTTGTTGTGGACCAGATTGAGGAATTCTTCGCGGGTCTTCGGATCGTCCCGGAACACGCCCAGCATCGTCGACGTGACCGTCTTACTGTTTATCTTCTGCACTCCCCTCATCACCATGCACATGTGCCTGCAACGTAAAAGACATTATTTTGTACTTTTTTTTTTCCGTCTCCGTACTTGTCACGCGTTGAATAATTAATCGCGCCATTAGAATCGAGATCAATTAATTCCCCCACGCACCGAGACGCATGTCAATGGTGGAGAATCTTTTTTTCTTTTCTATACCGGGGCTCGCGCTAACGAGAATACAGTTATTTCGTATGCAAGAATCAAAGATTACTGTAATTAACGCAAACCGCGACGTATATCATTTAATTAAACAGGGAATTTGTCCATAATGACTGGTAACGCACGGCCGCAGGGTTAGAAGGATAAGACGATTAGCATCAAGGACGCATTCCAACGATCGATACTACATTTTTGTGCGTTTTTAAGGCGTTGCTGAAATTACCCAGACCTTCGTAACCGAGGCAGCGTCTCCGTTTCCCGGCGAACCTGTTTTCCTCGCCGGATAAGCGAGTTTCAAGCGACGATTAGAACAATTACACGTTGAATTAGTTAGCGACGCTTAGTATTAATAGTATTCGATCGATAGCGATCCCGATCTTCGCGTTAATACGACATGTTACACCCTTGCGCAAGGTCGTCGATAGATTTATTCAATCCGTTTCCGCCTCTTTGCGAGTCACGCGACAAGCGACGCTAGAGTAATTAGTATTACTGGACTTCCATGTGGCTATAACTCAGGAATGTAACATTCCCCCGCTTGGAGAATGCACATTAATTCTTTACCAAGAGATAGCACCTTATTAGCACAAGGTTGTGTTCTTACATGCGATTAGTCCTTGCGAAAACTATTACTCAAGCCTCGAGCGCGTTCGAACGAAACCGAAGGGAGGCGCGAAATTGCGACGCTCGATACGCGATTTCAGTCGTTAATCCGGCGTTTTTTTTGTTTTGTAAAAATGCGTTTCGTGGCTTGGTAACAGCGTTTCTCAAACTTCACCTTCCCACGGACCACCTCGGCTAAGACGAACGGTTGAAGGACACCGCGGAGTAGAATACGAATTGTTATTAGTAACAAAAATCAAAGCTTTTTACGAATATCTACAGAAAACTGTGTGTTAGAAATATCGTCAAACGATAACTTAATTTCTTAAGATATCCCTGAATCAACGTATTGATACGTTGTGTAAATTTTATCCTATCCGTTTCAACTCTTGGTACAACAGTATTGGGAAAATATGCATATTTGCTAAAGCGCTCACGTATAGTTTGCGGGAGAATTATAGCGAGGTATATACATGTGCGGTTTGTTAAGTGGTACCTTTGTTGGCTACAAGCCGTCAAATGTGTTTTTTCTTACTGGAAAGCCTGTCACTTAACTACAATGCCATACTTAATGGATCTGGGTTAGGTTCACTATTACTCTCTATAAATAATTATATGATTTTGTAAGAGTCATTTTGCCCGTGTTTTTGTCTTATTTAAAGAAACAGAAAACGTTTGTAAACGATATGGAGCTGATTTAGAGTAGGTAAAAAATTAAGAAAACGATCTATTTTCTCAAGTTCCTGAACTGTTGACACCCTACGCTCGAAGCTACTATCGTTTTTGCTCTCTATAGTTTGTATGATCTCTTCGTATTTCCTTAAAACACAAGGATACCTACACTCCCTCGACAACCACTGCCACTCCTGCCGGTTGCACAGCTTTGGTAACCGCCACTGCGATTTGCTTGGTAAGTCGTTCTTGAACTTGCAGGCGGCGGCTGAAGATTTCCACGATTCTGCGGAAAACAGAAACGAAACCTGGTAAGTATTTGATCGTAAGGGCCGTTAATAATTAACACGTCGACCGTTGAATCAAAATAGTCAAATTTTCCACGGGATTAAAATAGTTTACGAAATACGTGCGGTTGAAAAAGTGTTAAGGAAACCACGACAAGGATAGCGTTCGCTTGACATTGGATTCGAATCTGGGAAAATTCTACAGGTGGCCTACTGTTCCCAAGGCTAATGTTAAGCTCACAATGGGATCGTTGTTTTTAAAATCACCGGAGGCGATGTTTAACGAGTAAATGGACGCTCGCCGATCGAACGGCGGTGCGTGAAAGTGCTCGGCGTGCCTACGATCAGCACAACGCCGCCGTATTCTTTTTTTCTTGCATTAATATTCCTTTAATCAAGGCCGTAACTACTGCCGATGCAATTTGTTATCTTGAAGTTGTGAAACGCTGTATATCAGAATGCCCCGCGACTGCACTCGGCTCATGGCCGCTTTGGTAAAGTCTATTCTAAATGGGAAGTAGCCTGCGAAAAGAATCGCTCGTATCAAGATAATTTTAATTGACCGTCCATGTTCGCGTTGCATATCCATATTTTTGTCCAATTACCGTGGACATTGAAAAATTCGCGATTACTCGAGGCACGGTGCTCGTGTCATTAATTCAATTGTTCCGCCGTCGATTGAGTCGTGTTGCAATGAAGTCGATAAATACATTGTGAATCAAAATTCGAAGAAACGTAGCCTGAACAAGCACAGTTTATGTAATAAGTTGACTGCCATGGTGGTCAGTGACGACAGACGCTTCGAGCTTACAACTTTCCTTTACAATAAATTTTTAAACAATTCTAGCGTTATTAGGAACGCTGTATAATTAAGTACACCATCGAAAATTTCAAGAAATTTTTAGTTTCGTTAATTTCTTTCAAAGTTGATGTATAGATTCGCTTTTAAATTGTTGATACGAGCGTTCGACGAGGAATAAAATAAATCCGTGGTACGATTAGGCGGGAGCATTGGTCGCGGGTCGTACGCGATAAAGCAGCTGGAATGATGACAGGTCCGATCAAGCGGTCTAATTGAGCGTTGGCTAATAGCTGGATCCAATTAATTTCCATTCCTCCACGAGAGGATCCGCAGACAATTCTCAGCCGGCTCTCAAGATTTAATTGCACCGCCGTCTCGAATTACGAGTGCTAATCCGGCCCCCAGTGGCAGTGCTTGCAGTAAAGTAAATTCCCCATTACCTGGCTAATTTGCTAAGACCGAGGATCTTCTTGCAGGGCAGGTAACCGATCGAGACTTTTCCATAAAACGGTACCAAATGATGCTCGCACATGGAGAACATTTCGATGTCCTTTACCACGACCATCTCGTCGTGATCCTCGTCGAACACGGCGTCGTTTAAAACGTCTGAAAATAAGGGAACATCAGTACATATTAATAACAATATTTTCGCTACAATTTTTTAGAAACAGTTTATACGATCGTTGACCAATCAACGGTTGAAATAGTAATGTATAAGCTGGTTCTTGTTCATATGTTTAGAAGACTCGTATGTATTGTCTACGAGGAACAATAGACACAGTATCTTATTGTTTCCTTGACGGAAAACTTTATTGTTACTTAAAGGAAATCTAAAGCAACGGTAAGATTTAAAAGGGAAATTTCTTAAATCCTGCTTTCGATTGTTCTGCAACCTTTGGAACTGTCAAATAGAGAAAACGAAAACTGGCATTTTAATTGTACGGTTTTGGTCTGGCGGTCAACGGTGTTGCAACCTTATTTGAGCGACTGTCCAATCGATCAAAACGCAGCACGTTGTCTTTGCCCGTGATCCTTTATTCGAATAAAATTTCACCCGCCTCTGACCCAGTATAAACATACGAGAATAGCTAAGCATTGTCGTTTAAATTGTTCCGCGAAAGAACATCCTGCGCGTGGGTTAAGGTCCTCGCGATCCTGGCTGTGATTTACTCGATATTGACCTACTTACTATAGAGTCGATACTAGTACTGGTGTGTAGGTATAAATCAGTGGTTGGAAGGTGTAGGTGGGTAGGTATAATGGAGGGTGCTCTTCACGGTTTCCACGGCAACCTTAACAAGAAACACCTTCACAATGACCGACAATGGTGAAACGTGCCCGCATTAGACCAACTGTATTTTTCCACGAGCGAAAGAAGACATGATAACGGTATTAAAAAAACATATATATACCGAGTATACTTCCACAAATCTTCAAGCAAATGCCTCGTAATTGGCTGAAGTTAAAAAAGAGCTCAATAAAAGAAATTTACTGCGATTTAAATCAACTACGAGCAAATTTCTCATTTTCATTCGTGACAATTGATTTTTGTCCTATTCGAAAGTTATGCTCTGTATTGTATATGATTCTTTGAATCTTTTAATACAAGTTCCGGATTCCTACAGTGGAAATTCGTTCCTAAAGCTTTGCTCCGCGAAATACTGAGTGCTCTTACCACTCATCCACCCTACGCCAAGTCTAGGCAATTTCCTGTTCTCTATTTACTCCCTTTGTGCAACGTGTGCTCAAAGCGAGCAGTTTAATTTTTCGACTCGGTGATTTAATGCGATCGGGTGTCGATCACGGTTCGATTAACTCTTTCAATTTCGTGTATCGCGAGCCCAACAGTATTTTCAATCTTCCACTTACTAGGCGTTAAACCAATCACTGGCAATACCATTGTCCCAACAGGGACGTTATCGAATCGTGTTATTTCATTCATTATTTAAACCTCTTCTATAAAGGTATACTATAAAATATGAAATATCGAGCGTCACTGAGCTAAGAAATCATTTGCTTATGCTATTCATTAAAAAATAATAATTACATAGCCTTTGCTAGGAGCAAAAGGAGGTAATTTTCTAGATCGTTGAAATATTCGTGTACATTTCCAGTGGGAATTCGGTCAAGCTTATCGACGACAGAGAAAGGCAAAGAGAAATTGTCAGAAGGAGAATGGTTTTTACGAGAATGACGGAGGGTGGTTACAGCGAGGGTGGGTGGAGGTTTCTCTAGGAAAGTGCTTCGGACTCGTTTCAGATTCAGTGGGTCGAGTCGAGTCACCGTTAACCGGGCTTATCTTGGGGGCAGTTCTACTAGGGTATCGGGCGGGGTTAAGTCGAAGTGAATTAAAGTCTCTCCGCCACCTGTAGCTGCTGCTCGACGTATTTCTCGTATTGTGGGGGTTGTGCTATTTATTAGGGGTACTTGGAGCGATTGAGGATGAGGCAGCTCGTGCTAAATCAGTTCCACGAGTCTTCGAGCTGTCGACGATACCGAAGTTATCGAGGAAACGATAGAAACTCGATACAAAATCGAAGCGACGAATTACGATTCCGGTATCGCGTCGAATCTATTTTATCGCGTAGTCCGCGAGCTAGTGATTATTTCAAAAGAGTGGCGGTCGTACTTTGTACACGACAAATGGACGGAAAAGGTGAAAGGTACTCTTCTCGGGCTGCTGTGCGTCCCTGAGACCCATTTATATCGCGAGCTTTACGCTTTCTTTTTTTTTCTTCAATCGTACTTAAAGTCTTCCTCTTTCTCTTCTTACGACGGATCCTCGAGGAGGTTGGACAAGAAAGAACGAAAAGTGCCGTACTTTTCTCGAGTGGGTGTATTCATGGTTTTATATTTCCTCGGTCTTATCGTTTAAGAAAATTGCGCGGACGATCGTTTCGCTCCCTAGTTCCGCGGTTGATGCAATAATTTCTGCGTGAAGGGAGAAAATCTAACATTTTTACTCCGTTTTCGATTAATATCGCGTCGTTCGTTCGTTGCGAATTCACAGCCAGTACCCAGTAGTCACGTAAGAATTGTAACAGATTATGAACTGTTTCTTAGGATTAAGCAATAACCGATGACTTGTAATTATATGTAATTACGATTTGACAGCAATGCCACGCTTGCGTGTTTCAGCGCAATCTTACTCGTTACTAATACATTCTTCAGATTTATGTTTCCCTTTATATAAGATGTTATTACCATTGCGTCGCGAATAACTCTTTAAACGATATTCGTGGATAGTTTTTGTCACCGCTGGTCTCGTTTTTTTCTGAAACGACGACTCACCGTCGATACTCTGATCGTAGCCCTTCGTGAAGAACAGCATAGCCTTTGCAGCCCGTTCTGGCGTCTTCAGAAGACCCTGTCGATCGGGATCCTCGCCGAGAGAACTTAAAAGTAGCCTGTAGCTTCGTGACATTTCCGGAAGCAACGCTTCGCGCGTGGGTGGCCTATGATCCAGCTCCAAATCGTGGTGGAACATGCATTTTTCATGACCTGCGAAAAGAAGAAACGAAAAATCTTCTATACTGCCAATCATCACTGATCTACGTTATTTTAAAATATTTCACCAATCCGTTATAAAAATATTTTTAAAAAAAGAACCAAAAATAAAAGAAATTTGCATCAATATTGTCACACCGACGCATAGACATTTAAATCTCTTTCGAGCACTTCGACTCCCAATATCTCTTCGTCATTCACTCGCTGTCTTCTTCTACACTTGGGCCAACGAGACGAGCCACGACTGTTTAGGTAGCAGTAAGCACATAGCCCGCTTGAACTGTGCTGTTATTATGCGATCGTCGCTGTCGACAAAGATCAAATGAGGCTAAACTTTCGTATTTCCGGCATATACAGGGTATTTCACCTAACTCGACCACCTTAAATATATCGCTTATTTTGTATGATAGAAAAAAATGTCTAGGGGAGAAAGTATTCTGTTCGAAGGCGCCAATACGGTGATGGATCGAATTTTTTTTTCAAGGTCATTTTTTTCGAGATTTCAAGGTCATCGTATTTTTTTTAAATGGGACCACATATTTTCGCTACAACAGTCTTATAGCTTGTAAAAAGATGAATCCAACGATGTGCGATATGTTGACCTTCACGTGACCTTTAGCGAAGGAATTATGAAATGTTTGTCAGTAACTTCAGTACGCGTTCGGAGACGGTAAATGAAGGAATTTCAATTTCATTGAAACAGTGTACCGTGTAATTGTTTCTGGTGCTTATAAATAGATATTCATATTCTCCTTTCAACGGTTGAAGTATGTTTACAAGCATTATTATTGTAAGAGGGGAATGACCGAAGCGGGTCAATAGCGCGTTGTCAAAAAGCCGCGACGTACACAACAAGTTGCGGTATCGATAGCAGTGTAATAAGATTCTCCATCATGTACACTACAGCAGAAAAAGTGGAAATGATTTTATGATCGCCGGATCTTACGCCACTTGATTTCTTTCTGTGGGGGCACCTAAAAAATACAGTTTATAATGATATTCCCACAACAGCAGAAAACATGCGACAAAGGATTCTACATGCATGTAGATCAATTACTGTAGAACAACTGAAAAATGTTCAGCAAGAATTTATTTACCGCCTCCAAAAATGTATCCAGGTTCATGGTGGACATTTTGAACACCTTCTAAAATAAACATTTAATTTAAGGCTGTTTCAATGAAATTGAAATTCCTTCATTTACCGTCTCCGAACGCGTACTGAAGTTACTGACAAACATTTCATAATTCCTTCGCTAAAGGTCACGTGAAGGTCAACATATCGCACATCGTTGGATTCATCTTTTTACAAGCTATAAGACTGTTGTAGCGAAAATATGTGGTCCCATTTAAAAAAAATACGATGACCTTGAAATCTCGAAAAAAATGACCTTGAAAAAAAAATTCGATCCATCACCGTATTGGCGCCTTCGAACAAAATACTTTCTCCCCTTGACTTTTTTTTCTATCATACAAAATAAGCGATATATTTAAGGTGGTCAAGTTAGGTGAAATACCCTGTATATGCTAGCGATCAATACCGAGTCGTTGAGCTTCAGACAGAGTGTATATCAAAAACATTTGTTTATTTTTTATCACCTTTGTTCTAGACAACATATGATATAATCGTAGCATCGAAAAATATTGTATATCGTGTCAAAGAATAGTAATTAAGTTTCAATCTAGCATTTTTGCCCTTTTCTAGATAAAATTCTCCACGTGTCCTTGCCGGAGAATATAATTTTGGGTCACAGTTTCGCTTTATTGGAATCCTCGGTCCGTTGCGACACGCGCGCGCGAAAAGTACGGAAACGCGATTGCCCAGAACGCTCGTCCCAGTGACTCTTATGAAACCTGCCTTGATTTTTCAATTCTATATAAAGCGGGGTCTTATAAACCATTAACCACGTTCTTATCGCTCGCAGTGACCCGCGATGACTGAGGATTCACAACAACAGATCTGTCCGCGTGTGGTAACAAAAATCGAACCTTTTTCTCATGCAAAGTCGCCGACACTAGACGATAAATCCCACGGCGTGCTTTTCATCTTTTATCGAGACGTTTTATCATTTTGCATTTAATTTATCGAAACGTATAATTAATTAAATTTATTCAAAATGGGTGATTGACCCTCTGGGATCTTACGTCGAGCTGGACTCGAAATAGAATTTTCTAACTATTGTTATATCTAAAAATGAACAATGGGCATGTACTAAACAATTATAAATCAAATTTAGTTGTCTCTATTTGCAATAAAATTTAAAACGTATTCCCAAACTAGACCATTCTAAAATATCAACCATAGTTTTGGAAAAGTGAACGTTAAGTTGTTAAGTATGTTGCGACGGTTCACCGTCGATCGCAAAATAATAAAACGCGTTAGTATATTTATAAACATCGTTTCCGTTCGCGATTAGCATAATGCTTTAATCGCCTATCGCGGTAACGATCGATCGAGGCGTGATCTAGCAGAGAAATCATCGATCGTTACAATTATTCCGCGCCTTCGATGAATGTCGGTGTCTCGTCGTACACGCGTTGCCGAACTTGTTGCATAACGATTAAAGACAGCGTTCTACAGCGACGATAACACCGTGATATCCATCGCTGGAAACGATTTATCGCTTGTATAACGCTTCATTTGAGACGAAAGCACGCGCTCGTGCGACAATCTAGGACGTATTAAGCGGGAATAGCTTGCAAGACTTCTGCACGGATTTATTTGTGGAAGCGTAAGGATCGGGTTCTGACGCTGGAACTGACGTATTCACGATGGAAAACTAAGTTAAACCATCGCTTGCTAACGAACCGTATCGGCCAACTTAATCGAATAACGACGTTTGCGCGATACTCTCTACCGATAGTTCTAGTTCCGCCTGGTCCACGCGCAACGTATGCACATTGTTTCGAACAATTACGGGAATCGTCCACTTCGGTAATCAGCGGTAACTACTCGCGACATAGGATATGCATAAGTCAAGTGCAAAATTGTACCAACAAAAAAGTTCCTCTATAAAATAAACACGGTATACTCGTAGAAAAGAGTTAATTTCTCGAACAGGACACGAATAAAAAATAATATACCCCGCCTTGTATTTATTTCTCGAGATCGAAGAAATACGCGGAGACTGACTTTTGATCTTAAACACAAGTTATTTAACATCTGACCTCGATGAAGTTGTAGCAAATTGCATACTAGTATTCAGATTTTGATCTTTCACTTGGTTCCTGGTTCTGTTTTTATTCATGTATATAATTGAAAAAGCTTGTTCTAAAATGTAAGTGCTGCCGAGTATATCCTTGAGAAAATTTCGTCGTCCAAAGTATGAATTGGATTTCTATGTCGGATGTCACGCTTATTTTTGTAACGTGTTGTAACAAAGCAATTCAATTTACAATCACACCTGCCTTGAACTTGTTTCTAACTTTATCTAGCGTGCCGGATAAACCGAGTGGAAAGGCCGGAATAGCCCACGGGTTGCTCTTTGAGTTCCTCTGATATACGGTAGAGATCCAAGAGTATCAATTCTACACGATCAATGAGTACAAACAACGTGCATTTGGGTAATTAGCAGTTGGAAAACTACGCAAACGCTCAGGAAAAATGAATTCATTAATTTCCATTTTTGCGCGATGAATGAGTACACGTGACGTACATTGTACAAAACAGTTAGGGGATCGCTTGATATGATATCGTAATCTGCAGTTGGAAAAGTACTTCTGATACAGAATGTAAATACGGCGGAAAAACGTTTCGAGCGAAGATCTGACAATTTTGGTATGAAAAAATTAATGCATAATCAAACGAAACCAACGATATGTTTGAAGATACAACAACGTCGTACCCTTGGTTGGATCTAGCGTTAATTACAAACGAGAAACGGATTCGTCGTTATCGGGTCTATCGGGGCGGATGCGTCTACGCCGCGCACGTTTCTGGGAGCAACATCTTTTGGGGGAACCAGCACGTTTTTCCTTCTTTTCCCCCGAAATACAAGGCGTTCTCCCACAGAAAGTCGATAGTCATGCTACGACGATTGTATATTCGTAACGTTACAGTTACGCGTTACGTACGATCATAACTGTACCCCAACAGTTCCCAGGCTTTTTATCATTTTAAGATCAGCTGGTACGATCGACCCGGAAACGAGAACTATGGCGAGTGCTCTTCAAATCTTTGTCACGGGCCGCGGTTTGATCAATGATAGCAGCCGCTGTACGAAATAAAATTAAAAGTCGGTCGAATGCGTGCGAGAGACGCGACGACGATGCCGAGACCGCGTTCGTAAGAACAATGAGAGTGACGAGCGAAACGAGCGGAACTTTATTGTAACACGGAACCCGGTAAACGATTCCGAATTTCACACGGAAACCGCCACCGCGTGATTTCGAGTCAATTCGGTGCTAATTAAAATAAACGAATGAGCATCGTAGAAAAATTCCCATCGTTCGTGATCGTTGATATACGTTGATAAAAAACTATTTAACCGAGGATACCTACTTCTTTCGTAATATGTTTTGATCTATCATCGATCGGGAATGACGACTGTATCTGGTATATAATTTTTCCCGAAGAAGGCCATTGTAAATTGGCCGAAACGTCGATAATAGATATCGTTCAATATTGATGTTTTGTTAGGCTAATTTTGTTACCCCAAAGATCAGGGACGCTTGTAGGTCGAGAGAGGTCTGGATCGTGTATTGTTTAGAGGGAGCAATATTTTTGATACGAAGAAAAATATTGTCACGTTTTACCCTCGATCTACTGACTGAACTCGTGAAAAAAGCTTATCTTAAACGTGATGTTATTACGGACATCTGTATTAATTGTTTAAACTGTTTCCAAATACTCGATAGTTTATTGTTGCCTTGTCAAAGAAGCCTTATTAATAAATGCAATTCTAACGCAATAATATTGCTCTTTGTATACGAACTATCAGCATTGCCGAATCAGATATTGATTACGACATCGTGAGAAATTTTTTAACGAATATCACGTTTCGAATTGGAAAAAAGGATTGTTGAAACGTTCGAAGATCTATAAATCCAAACTACGTTAGCGAGAAATGGAGCGCGAGTTACGAGTTAGTCAATCAAGTGCACTCGCGCATTGCGTCTGTTCCAAATCGATTATCTTGAAAACAAAGCGTCGTAGAAAAAAAACAATTTTATTCCATATTTTTTCAATATTTTTCCCCCTTATAGAATCCCTCCTTTTCGAATTGCGCTATACTTTGGGACACCGTGTGCAAATAAACACCTGTTGCTGCAGCGATCTAACAATTGATATTACAATTAAAAGACGTTTCGTCTTGGGCGATAGACTCAACGATGAGGATGATCTAACGATTTATATACAATTTAAAAGACCTTTTCAGTTATATTTACCGATTATCAACATTTCTTATTAAGTGTTTATGAGAGAAAGATGCTTCTCGATCGTAAAATTCTGTCGAGACTTGGTTAAATCCTCAATAATTGCGCAATCAATGAGATACCTGGCGTGGTCGAAGTTCGCGGAGTCCTGGGAGTCCCTGGCACTTCCAGGTTACTTTCCTCGACGTTCTCCGTCCAGGAAACGGTCCTCAGCGGCACGGGCTTTTTGATCATCATCGCGCGGTCATCCTCGCCGTCGTATATGTTCGAGTCCTTAATTTTCGCGCATTGACTGGAAATCCCGTTCATGTCTGATTGCGGCCCGCCTCCACGGCTCCGACCAGAACCTTCTAAGTCCGAGAGCCGGTCTGACAAAAGTTACGATTCGAAACGTCTTAACGATTGAAAAGCACTGAATCGATGGCAGGCAAATCGAGGCGCCGATACCAAACACGCCGGGGGATTGCAACAATGATTCTCGGCGACGGATTATTATTGCGTTCGTGTCGCGTAACGACGCGTTAGGGACGAGCAAAATCGGATTCGAACGACAAACAACGAATGCAATTTCATTCTGTAAGTAAAAGTATGGCCTTTTATCGAGCAAGCAACGGATCGAAGGCTTTTATCTGGATGACTGTTTTGCCCGCCTCTGCCCCGCGCGCACAGTTATGAACCATTGCAAACGCAAGGCGCGCAAAGTCGAATCGACTGGACCGATTTAAATGCACGTTATTCGTCTGTACAAAAGGACGAAACGCGACAACTTCCTACGCGGATCGCGAAACGGATTCGTTCGAAAGCGCGTTACGATCAACGCCTCCACCACGTGATCCGCGAACAATATGCGTGCAGCGAATCGGGGTTCGAGCGTCGAACTGATGCAACTTACTCTCAGTCGGGTCCAATCACTCGGTTCACGTGCACCTTTCGGAGATCCGTGTAACACCCTCGAGAGATCGTTTGACTTTGATCGGTTTTTTTCCCCCTTTTTCTTTCTTTTCGTTTTGGAGATGTAATCGCGCGAGCGCGAAGAGCAACAGTGACGAACTTCTCGCGCGGTTGAGGGAATGACGAGTAAGAGAGAAATGAAAAGAGAAAAGAAAGACAGACCGGTTAACGAGTCCGAAAGAAAGAAGGGCCGCGAGGTTGCTCGATCGAGTGGCGCAGTGTGACTGAACCGACGGAACCGTGGAGAGTGCGAATATCCCCTATAACTCGTCCGTCTCCGTCTCTCTTTCTCTCTCTCTTTCCCTCTCTATCTTTGACTCGCGCTGTTTCGCTCCGACTGTCTCCCTACGGCCAACGAATCTTTTCGTTTTTCTCCGGGTCTCTTTATCTAGAAACAGAGACCGCAAGTTTGAGCCGCGTACACGATACGGCCTACCGGAAAGCAAATTTTCGCGACTGACCAGCAGAACGTCGCGTCTCCCTCGGTATATATCGGGAGAATGCAAGCGCACGGTGAGAGTGACATGGGAGAGTGAAACCTCCTCCCTCCAAGCGCGATCCTCCCGCTACAGTGTTCGAGAGGGAAATACCCAGCTTTGCCCGGATCGTGCACCACAGGACGCGCAGTTCTCGAGTGACAAGCAGCGCACCGATTGGCGGAAACCGTTCGGATATCTGATGTGCGAGGTCGACGCGGCACGGTTATTCTTTTAACGCGCGCCAACGTCTATCTCGCTATTTAACACAATTACGATTTATAATTACGTATCTGGAAAAAAAAAGAGGAACGAATCGTATCGATGATATTTGTGTGACGTACGAAACGTTCGAGCAGACGTCGAAGGTCGAAAAAGAAATAAATCGGGGCTGTACCTTTTTTTTAAATTGTAAACAAACGCCATGCGTCGAGGCAAGCGACGATCTATTCGTTAACAAATGTATTCGAACGACGGACCCAACTCTGAAAATCCAATAGAGAGTAGGTGCACTCGTGTTACAGGAAAATGAAAAATCCAACCTCGTCGGGTTTTCAGAACGAGCGAGTCAGAATCTGCGTCACTGTGATTTCCAAGAGACCGGTTCCCCAACGCTTCCCTTTTCCTTCTGTTCGCAAGACTTAATGTACTTTACGCTCACGACTTTCCGAGTACGTATTCAATGAGTCAGTTAAATTCTGGTCCGAGGAAGGATTTCTCAAAAGCAGGAAAACTTGTATTTCTCGTAATTCCCGCAGGGGTTTAGAACAGGGATAAAATAGGCACTGCTGGTTTCATTCGATCGAACTATGAAGACCATACGAAACTAGATCTGAAAGATTGTAGAAATTGCTAGACATAGGCAAATGTATACAGTATTATATCTAACTACATAAATGTCTTTTATATACAGACGATCTCAAATTTCTGCAAGTAATTTGAGTCCAATTAGATCTTGAACCCTGTTAAATTGTTAATTACCATAAATATAGGTAGAAAAAATACGTGTTCTAATGCCACAGTTATGAGTTAATCTAATTGTTTAGTATTGCTTTACTTTTTTTACGAACCTGGTATTCTACACGTATTTGTCTATATAATTGTTATTTATAATATTTAGTTTATGAAAGATGCGCGTCGTCCTTGAAAGCAGCCCACGTAACACGATATTGGTATTTCATAAGTACTGTTGTTACAGGTAATTAGTAACGTCGATGATTAAAGCGATGATGGCGGCGTTCAACTGGCCATTCCCTGTTTCAGTAATTGAGTTTAAATGTCGATGAAGCTATCGTGATATTCTAGCGACGTTATTACTTCAAGGGCCTCGAAGGTGAAGTGAAACAAGAAAAGTTGCGATACGTCATACTCCCAGAATTTGCTGCTTCGATTTACTATCGGTTTACGGGTAAATCAATTATATTGTATTACAAATACCGATTAAATAATTATGAGATATTTGTATCACGATATTACAAAAAGATAAATATACCAGAGTTATATCTGCAAAGGGTTAACGTGTCTATCAAGTTACAATGGAAAACATTTCTATAAAAACATTACTATTTTGAACAAAAATGCCAAGAATTTTAATAATATTATTTAAAAAATGCTGTATTACCTGTATAGTGATTTTTGCCATATTTGTTACGTAATTGTAGAAAAAGATTTATTAATTGCATTTACTATTTCTCGAATTGAGAATCCTGCATTACGATTTGCGGCCATTTTGATTTCCTCTTCGGAACTTAAAACTGTTCCTCGCGACATTCTAACACAAGAGGAATCATTTTCAATGTCATAACGTAAATATTATACAACTTTTCTATTTCAATTTCAATACTCACTCTTTCTGAGATACGGATAATGTTTCTTATATTCGTGATGAAGCAAAACTGATTATACGAATTTCGTTCTCACCTTGATCAGCATTTTAATGTTTTACGATAATGATACTGCATTGTTCATAAGGTTTCCGTACGTTAGTAACATGTATTTATCAAATAAATAAAGATTTGGCAGTAAATCATGGTGTTATTATCAAAATGATGTCCATTGTAGATCGAATGGGAATCTCGACCATATTCATAGTTGCACTACTGAAACTCGTCTGAAATCGACTGACCGTCACTACTTGGAATCGATACGAAGCTTCTCTTCGATACATCGCGAGGCGCTTGATCATCGTTCGATCGCGTCGAACACGTACGAGAATAATATATCGCGTTCAGCATCGTTCGATAAATCCGTGAGAGGGAATACTCGCAGACCGTCTTGATTTTATTTAACGTTTGCTAGCCGCTTAACGAACGCGAAGAAGTTTTTGCGTCGGTATAGCTCGGTTGAAAAGGGAGAAAAACTAAAGGAAAGGCGATCGCGTTGGAAACCAAAGTAATATTGGCAAAGAATTCGAGGTCGTTCTCACGTAACAACGGGAGTAAATCAATGCCACAGAAGCGTGCAATGATAAGTGTTCGTAGAATGGATCTATATACCCCGAATAATCAAAGACGCATTTCTGCGTGGCCATGAAAACGGGAGACATCCGACTTAGATAATAAGTTTTTCCGTGTAGCAGCAAAAACTAATTACAGCGTGGCTGTTGCGGTAAGTGAAGTCTAATAGCGATGATCGAGTACGATATTGTATTAAATTTATTTGTGGGCGGTCTGGGACAAGAACCGCGTTGAAAGAAGAGAATAAATGAATGATTGAAATATTTTGTGTATCCTTGTACGGTATCGCGATAACCAGAAACTCTATACAGTATCCTAGTTTTCCACTCTACTGTAAGCTTTACCCCAATACAGACACTTGATATTTTTCACTCTTACTTCGTCTTTTACCCTGTCTAGACACTCGATATCGTTTCGTTGACATTCAATATGATTGGTATACGAGTCCACGGTAGTACGACATCGAGACGCGTACTGAAAAGAAATTGCAATGAATACGCGAAGGTGTGACACAGAGATGCATACGTTCTGGTCTGCTAATCAAAGAAATTACGATGCCTATGACTATCGTGTAATTCATCTATATCGCTGGCAATTACAATTAATGTATAAACGTTGTGCGACTTCGTGTCTGATTTAACGAAGATTTGATTTGCATTAAAACACGCGAACAAATTCACGATAATCGAGATTTTATTTAAAAAGATGTAAATTCCATTAACGTCCGTTTGGCGCGCACAATTTGCAATCGTGACAAAAACGGTATAGCGTAACTTGCGATTGAAAAAGAAATAGTGCTTGATACTCTTTAACAGTTTTTTTCTTTTTAGGAAAACGACTTTGTAAAATTCCGTGAATCTTCAAAAATGATGAAACATTTTCAATTAAAAAAAATTGACTTACCACCGTTCATTACACGATCAGTCTTGTTTTTAATGTGGTCCTTAGCGTGCCCGTTCATGTAAATGTTCTTAGGGTGACTTGTATCGCCAATAAAATGAAAAAAAAATAAACTACAACAAATAAAACAATTCCTTATTGTGGCAATTCCAGTTTAGAAGTAAACTGTCCGTAAAGAGAGTATATCGCGTACTAAGCTCGGTTTCGGACAACACATTTATATACCCCTACCGAGATTGAAAAACCTTTAGTAAGGTTAACCCCCTTCTACTTGTATTCCATTCAATTTGGCGCTATACATACACTATGAAAACACATACTAGTATTGGCGTGATGATATAATTTGCGAAGAGTGAATAATCGTATCAACCATAGAGGAAGAATAATGAAATGTTAAATGTTTGAGTACATTTTTTCATTATAATATATGGTATACATGATAGGCAATTACACAAATATTATATCATAAAGCGCTTATGCCCATAGTTAAATGTAAATCGTTTTGCACAGCTCTTACATTATCACGCAAAAGTAGAATTTTGTTGTCCGTAATGTGAACAAAAAACGACAATTTCCTGTCATAATTTAAACATAAATAATTAAAACGGGAATTAAAGATCTTCTGCAACGTTATAAACAAATTTATATTGAATTTTTTAAATGTCATATGCGTTCAAAAATTCAATTAATTTTTATGTGTACTCGTTATAGCAGCACGCAATTTTATTCTTTTATTTTGTAATATAATAATATAATGCTACTGGTTTGAATATAAATGTAACAGTTATCAAAATGTATTGAAACATATTAAACAATACAAAAATGTTTTAATGTATTCCTTTGTTTTAACATTATTTGTTAGAGACTGAATCATTAATTATTTCAAGAAAGTTAAACACTTTATATAATTAACAGTATTCAAGCATTAAATATATAATATATTACCAATATGTACTTAGTGCTAATAAATTGTAAATTTTAACAAGTATAAAAAAAAAATAAAATGGGTTAGTATAAAACCTTTTATATATTGTTTCTTTCTTTAAATACAAGTAAAACCTTAATTTAGCGGACTAATTAGGGAAGGGGCTGTCCGTTAAATAGCAAATTATATATTTTTAAATGCAATACATCCCGTTTTATTTGCGAATAAAAGAAAAATGTAAACACATTTTATTTGGAAGAAATCTGCAGAGGTGCGAGGTTGAATTTACAATCGTCAAGTAAATGATGTTCAATTTTAAAATAATACAAAAAAAAAAAAAAAAAGAATGATATATAACTTTGTGATTTAACTTATGGTCTTGGAATTTTGTCCGTTAAATCGAGGTCTTACTGTATGTGTACTTCATAACGTATTATATACTGGAGATACTTCAAATTTGAAATACTATATTACAAAATTGAAGTAGTAGTTATGTTGAAAGGATATCCCATCAAACAAGATCTATAGTTAACATTTGTTGTACAGTCTTTAAGATTTAAAAATATATGGTCCTTTTTGTAAATGTTTTCAAATGCACATGTTGAGATAAAAATACTTCATAAGAGATGAAAATATTAGTGTTAAATTTAAGTATAGCTATAAAACAAAGAAAATTCGAATTTCCACGTTGTCATCTCCGCCACCATATAACTGAGTTGTATACATATACAAGCATGTAAAATACTTTATTATTCGAGTTGTGCAACAACTTCGAATCGTATATCTTTTTTATTTAATTCCTCAATCAATGATGTTTTACCAAATGCAGCACCAGGCGTCATAACACCACCACTAAAGTAGTAAAACAGAGGTGTTAAGTTTTATAAAATTATTTACAGTAAATTATAATTTAAAACAAAATTATAAACGTACTTCTCAGGTATTTTATCAGATTCTTTGAGAATTGTCATGGCAGAAAGCAATAACATAATACATGTTCCACCATACCCAGGATTAACACCACTAACTTTAGATATTAATTGCTTATTCGGTGAATCTTTATGTGTATCAGTAGGTTCCGCCAATTTTTCAGTCCAGCCTTCTGCTTTAAATCTAATGGAGAAATGAGAATTTTCCAGTACCTCTGCCGTAGGACCTTCGCGACTTACGGTACCACCAGAAAAGAAAGCAGGATACTAAACGAGATTCCAAACAAAGTTAATTATCATACGATTTCATTATATAACAATATAGAATATTTAATTATAAAGGAAATATAATATTACCTTTAATAATAAATTACGACCAAATTCAAATTTGGACAATAACATGAAGATCATACCAAAAATGATTGTTGCCAATACAGTAAAAAGAGACCTGTTATTAGAAAATTATTAGTAATCTACCGCTGTACGGTAGTAATGTACATTTTAGCACAGACATATGTTTCAAATGTGAAACTTACTTAAATGTAACGTATGTCTCAACTTGTACTGGTCTTTGTTTGTATTTTTCATATAAATATCGTTGAGTGCGTCGAGCCACAGAACGATCAGCGCCTGGAAATATCATGGACCAACCCGTCGACAGAGAGGTTTGATGAATGATTCCTCTGAAATAGATATTATTAACGTTAAGAAAAATAAAAAATACACGTGTAACGTACATATACAAATACACAATATTATTTCGAACCTTCTGTTTAACCTTGGCTTGAGTTGTGGTAGTTTTTCAGAATACAGTTTATTACGTATTGTACGTAATTCGTCGGAATGAGCTACTCCATAAACTGCTGATTCGTAAGTACCATAATGTAGAATAGCACCACTAACTTTCGCAGTTGATGAAAAACTTAAATAAGTTTCAATGGAATTGACTTCGCCATTAAACTTTTCCTGTGTGAAAATTATACCAAGGTCGCATGGTATACTATCAAATCCACAAGCACTTACAATGTAGATACCAGCTTCTTGAGCTGCCTTGTGGTATTTCAATTGTATGCTTTCTATGTACTGTAATAAAAATGAAAAAGAATTTAAAAACATATGACACAAAGTATTAAGCGATGTTGATGAATTTTATCAAACATAAATTTATAACACAGACTTGTGGCTCGCCGCTAACATCAACTTGGTGAGTACAAGTTGCAATACATGCTTTAATAACTGGTTCTCCATAAAATCTATATGGGCCACAGCAATTAACAAGTACTTTAGCTTGTTCTGTCATTTTCTTTAATGATTCTTCATCTTTCAGATCGGCAACTATTATACGCACATCTTTCAAAGAAATTTAAATACAGCGTATTATTAAATTATAAACATCATTATAACAAATTTCATCGTACAGAAAATATTTAATATTACCTATATCAGGGGCAAATTCTTTAACAACTGCTTCTAAAGCCTGTTTGCGACGACCGCAGACCCCAAACGTAATTTGTCTCTCTTTAACAAGTTGTGCTGCAACTTGCACAGCATGTTTTCCAGTGAATCCAGTAGCACCAAATATCACAAAATCTAATCTCTCGCTCGCCATGGCCACGTTACCTATAAAATACGCATAATTTTATACTAGTGTTCCTTTGTGTTACTTTATTTCTCCAAGTACAAAGCGAATAACACTACTCGTAAAATTCATCATTTTATGAAAATTAACGCATATAGCGTACCTAACGAATCGTATTAAGTATCAATTATGTTGGAATTCTTTAATTTATGCTTCTGTACAATGTACCGCAACGCATTTTTTTATGTGATGACGTACAAGAAATCATTCCTAAACATTTCATATAAATATAAAATACATATGATTTAATATCGTTGACAATAGTAATCATTTTCAATATATGTGTAGCAAATTATTAATAAAAAAGCATGCAAATCTTTAAATGTTATCACATGCTCAGAATATTTCCGTCATGTCATTTCGCCGGTATGTACGTAATTCGATTCTGACGTTTCTCTCTATTTTTATATCATCAAATATCCAATTACAATTTTATACTTGTTTAATACATACCTTTTTAAGGACGAATGAATAGAACTGCGATTTTTCTTCTAACACGTATTACGTAGTATCGATGTTCACAATGTTTCTCTCTCAATTGCGTCTGTTCACCAATATGTCGATGGAATTAAATTACGTGCAGTTCAGAGTACAGGGTACAGTGTACAGTGTCGCCCGGTGTTACCAGACGGCAGACCGGTGTCCAAATAAAATTGCCCCTCCACTTACGCACACTAATGTACAGCCACGATACGTGAGTTCCTGCGCTTCGAACAGCTTCGAGAATTCAAAAAAGAAGTCGAATGCGTTCTATTAAACAATTAGATCCATTCTGTACCTCGGGTACAGTATTTAACGGAACACATTTGTCTTCTTTTTCGTATTTCGGAAGTTGTTCGAAGCGCAAGAACTTACGTACCATGGCTGTGCATTAGTGTACGTAAGTGGTGGGGCAGTTTTCTCCGGAACCGGTTTGCTGTTTGTTGATACTAATTGGGTGTGTCATGTAATCATGTTAGAAACGCTAAAGGGATATTTTTACATGTATATTACCAAATTATTTGGTAACAAAGATTTGTAAATGAAAAAATCATTTTTGATAAATGAAAATATAATTCATGGCGTTGAAATTGTCCGCCTTGAATTGTTCGTACTTTAAATACTTTTTAGCAAATATACATATTGTGTATTATATACATATATGTATATAGGTATATGCAAACTTTACACATTAATAACTAAATGTATATATTATGATTTAAAGCAATACTAATATTTATAAAAATATCGTTAACACTATACTGCAATTGAAAGGAACGATAAAACATTACTACAATTATACTAAATAACAATTGTATAGTTCTGTTATTATTTACATAGACATTTCAAATTATATCGTTTATCGCATATATTAACGATTTTAATAAAAAGTCATTCTTGTGAGCAATTTGATTAAAGATTTAATATTTATAATGTTCAACCTAACTGGTTAGCAAACAATTAAATATATCTTTAGAAGTAATAAAATCTATTCAATTTTAATTATACGATATTATATTATTTTACTACATCATTTATTTCGATCTCTTATTTTATATTTACAACATATTTTGCTTTGTTATTCACGGTCTGTATTCGGTTAGTAATAAATTATAAATAGCTCACTGTTTAGAATATCACTTTGCAATTAAAAATCTAAGCTAGCAGATTTCTATTATTGTGTGATTTCAATGTACCCTTTTTCATATACGTACATAAGACACAAAGTATCGTTAATGTAGTCCGTACAATTTCATTTTGTTCTGTTCAGATATCATTATCGCTTGTGTGTAGTAATATTTACAGAAATGTACGCTAAAACTGTAAAACTTTGACTATTGATTAACTCGTTTTGGGTTAAAGGCATATTGTTTGTTAAGGAGTAATTTTAGACAATAGAAAATAAATATAACGCTATTATGAAAAGATCGTGTAGCGCTCATATGATTTTTAGGTTCAAAAAAATGAATGCATAAATTACGAAAAGCTTATCACTTTCATTTTTTTACGGATATAAAATTCGTAACTGTTTTTTACGGAAATATCGATATCGTTTGGAGCATCCTAATAGACAAACGACAAAATACAAAGTTCTCGCAAAAACTTATGCACTTTACAAATCCTTACGATAATTTAAGACTTAATCGAGAAATATTTTAATACTCTTTTAGAGATATTGATCGTTGAATAATTAAAAACTCATTTTTTTCATTCTAGTTATGATATTGTAGTTATATTCAATTATTCTTAACTGAAGCAAAACTGAGGGACCTAGCCTTTTGTTTATTTTTTTCTACAAAGAAGCAGAATACTATCTCAGTAACTTCGTAGTTAAATATACATTGAATATAACTATCGTCTTATACTAATATTTACAATATCTCACATCGTTTCAGATAGGATACAAAACTATGGTACTTTAAAAGAATGAACGCAAAAATAGAATTCTTTTCTACTTTTCAATTGCGAAAGTATAAATTCTATAAAAGAGAAGAAAGTTAGTTATTATTCTTTCCCTTCTGAGAATGTGATCATCTGTTGTCAAGTATCATATTTGTGTTTTGTTCCTAATTTTATAATAAATAAATCTTATCGAGACAGTACAGATCATCTACACTGTATACTATCACGAAGAGTTGTTGTGTTATACTACATATTTCTTTTGATGCAAGATTTCTGTGGAGTTTCCAGCTGATAGAAAATTTATATAATGTCGACTAATTTGTACAATTTTACAGACATTATTGTATTAAGTAAGATGCAGATAATTTTATACCTATTGTACTGCAATAAGATAATTGATCAATGTTAGATAAATTATTAAACTACAAATCAATAGTAAAAGTTTGAAAATATATGTTGAAACGTAGTATAGTTTGAAATAGTGAATAACTGTATAGAAGCTAAACATCTATTAAACGTACTTGATCAGTATTGAAAATGCAAAATATGTTACATGAATTTTAGGAAGGCGTAGCACTTTAAATTATGTTTCAACATTATACACCGGCGATCGTTGAAATTGTTGCAAGGTCACGCGATACTAACGCCTTCGCTGACGCTTGTCGCATAACTTCACAAACAATTTCAATGATCGTCAGTGTACATAGTATTATACACTAAAAACACAGTAATTTGATTTTAGTTCATTATCAGACAAATCTTGCTATAATTGCACTCTAATAAAACGGATTCGAATACATGAACATAATTTCTTACGCGTGACAAATATATTGTTGAATACAAACTTAAAAATTCAATATCACTGTTTTGCAAGAAATCTGATATATATATAAAAAAAGTATTAATTATACACTAAGAATATGTATCAATTTGTTATCTTTGCACAACCTCTCCTCGAAAGTCTTAAAAAGACCATTCTATCATGGTAGAATTCATCGCATATTAAGTAAGCATTGGAATAGATTTTATACATAGGTACAAGTCACGAGTGGTACTAAATCACAGAATAAACTGTGTAAAGAATTTAGCATATAGCCACGTTTAAGCGAGCATAATGTACAGTGCTCAGTCAGGTAAAACAACGGAAGGCTCCATCAGAATTATAACCGCTCAACGACACATTCGAGAACGGTAACAAGGAAGGAGCACTAGGAATTAGCATTTGGTGGAGGAGGTCTTCGATCATAATCTCGTCTATAATCTTTATTTGGCCTCCAGTCGCCAGGATAACCATCTCCGGGATAACCATCTCCAGGATAACCATCTCCTGGATAACCTCGTCCTCTAAAATGGCTTGATGCAAGATCAGATGGAGGATAACCACCACCACCACCTCCACCCCCATATCCTCCTGGACCATATCCATAACTCGAGGGATGGTACCTATAATAATCATTGAATACCAATTTTACGAATTTTATTTTTTCTCTGAAAATCTGTTTCTTAATAGCTTACCTTCTTTTATCATTAATATGCATATTACGATCACGCTCCCTATCTCTATCTCGGTGATATCCACCAGACATTCGTCCATAGTCGAAACGATCACGTTTGTGGTCTCCAAATCTATTAATAAATCAACAATTAAAATCGAAGAATGAAGTAATTAAATCGCATTAATATATACTTTCTCAACCATATAAAACATACCTTCCGTCCCTGATGTCCCTTCCATCACGGGATAACCAATGATCATCTTCTCTGCTGCCACTATAATGTCCACTTATACTGTAACCACCACTGTCTCTTCTGATCCTTTCATCTTTTCCTCCACTCATTCTATCCATACTTCTATCACTGTGTGTTCTGTCCCTGTCCCTATCGCGTTCCCTGTCCCTTTTCACGTCTTTGTGTTTTGATTCTTTTTCTTTGTGCCGCGGTGTATCCGCGCTGTTAGTGGTACTTGACGTAGAATTTGGAGTCGATGTAATTGGAGTAATGGTAATAGCACCAATGGTAACCGTAGATGTATTGCTGATACTGCTGACAGCAGACAGAGCCGAGAAATGTTTCTTACTTGGTGTGCTACCATTAGAATTTTCTTCCATATCTTCGACCCTACGTTTTTGTAACCTACTGTCTTTACTGGGTTCTACTTGTTGCTTATCGATATGTTTCTCGTAAGTTTTATCAGTATATTTCTGTAAAATTAATTTTTATACACATTTTCTCGTATTATGTAGCAATGTAAGATACTGTAATAACATCAGTCAGACCATAATACCTTAGCATTACTCGATTCCTCCTTTTTTTCTGGACTGGATGCTGCACTTGTGTTACTTTCACCTCCTTTTTTTGTTGCGTGTTTATATAACTTATAAAGCTTTTTTGCATCAAATTCTGTAAACTTGGACACAAAATACCATAAATTACTTCTCCATTCTTTAATTTGTTCGGGATCTCTGTACTCTTCAAGGCAAGTATTAATTTGATTTCCAATTTGGACGAGACATTGCCTTGTATTAGCAACTTGTTCTGCTTCACTTAAAGACTGATCAGGCCTGTCTAAAGCCTTAAGTGCTTTCTTTACTGGCCTCATTTTCTCTTTACACTGCATGAAAGATACAATAAAAAAACACAGTTATTTTACGCGATTAATGTATGCAAAGTATGCCAATAATTAATAACAACCTCATTGAATATGGAAGGATCTAGGTCGCCAAGAACATCCAAAGCTCTTGGTTCGTTATTGGCAGTAAAATGCATAGGACCCGCAGCTTGTTTAGTCTTTTTAGCCTTTTTATTTTCTTTTTTCTCCTTCTTAGTCTTCTTGTCCTTCTTTTTCTCTTCGGGTATATCTTCAATTTCTTCTTTAGTTTCTTTCTTTACAATCACTTCTTCTTCTTTCTTTATAAGTGGCTTAAATCAAATGTTTGCTTAAAATTTAAAATATTTTCTTAAATTAGCCAGAGGGTAAAAAAATATTAAATTTACCTTTTCAACCTTGATTTTTGTTTTACTACCTTCTTCGCCTGAACTGTCATTTTCTTCTATAATTTCTTTTGTAATTGCAGTTTTCACTTCCTTTGGTTTTCTTGGTTTACGCGTTTTAGTCTAAAATTATTAATAATATGCACATTTCACAAGTATATATTTAATATGTTATGCCTTTGACATGTAAAGATATACAAAGTAGCAAGGAAGATCGGGAATTTGGAAATTACCTTAAACTCGTGTTCTGATAATGGGATAAACACATAACCCTGTTAGGATAGAATAAAGGCATAAAGGAGTTTGTTACGGAATACTATGAAAATAAAATAACACTCCCTTACCACGCCTAATTTGGTATCAATTTGTTTCTTGAGTACTTTTAAGAGGTATTCAGCTCGAGCATTTATTTTCTTCAAATGAACTTTACTGCTATTCATGAGAATTTTATCACCAAGTTTTAAAGTGTTATCCATTTTTATTGCTTCCCATGAACCCATACCATGAATATATATACCCCTTAGGAGTCTAGAATCATCCTCAGAGTTCCAATCGCAATCAAAGTTCGCAGGTTTTAATCTAGAATAGCAATGTCAATGTATTAATTACAAATACATTTAAATGCACATACCCAACAAGCAAGGATTAAAAAACACACTTACTTAATATCGAGATGCCAATTAGATCGTTGTTCAGAATCTGATGGTAAAGCTTGTTCTAAAGGTTCGAGTTCTTTCACCGCTGCGGAGAAGGATTTAGCATTAACCATAACACCGCCGATCTTGAATGTAGGCCCCCGGCCCCTTTTACGACCAGGACCTTTACCCTCTTCTTCTCCTTTATTTTCCTTAGCGATACTTTCGAATTCAGTCAAACAAGCTTCACATCTACTTTTTAACTGATCCCCTAAGTAACGTAACTCTGACATTGGCTTTTCTTGCAATTCAGCATCCGTAGCAATGTCATCCAGCCGTTTCAATGGAGCAGGGAATTTCTTATAACTCTTAACAAATCTTCGTATCTATGCATTCAACAAATTCGTATTTGTTTTAATATATATATATATAAATTAATTATTAAAATGTAATAAAAATAATTACGTACTTCCGCGTCGGTAAAACTTTTTATATTTTCTCGAGGCGTAACTCTTGGTCTACCTCTTTTCTTAGGACGTTCGTCGTCACTACCTTCAGCTTCGCTTCCAGAGTCCTCACCTTCGTCACTATCGTCTGGAGACATCTTTTTTCTTTTTCTGCCCCTTCCTGAATATTAAAACGAATATTTAAAATTAAACAAAGACAATTATTTAATTTATAGTCTCACACAAATAAGAATAATTAAATTTATTGTATGTTTAAATTAAATACTTCATCATAATATAAATATATGTCTACAGTGTGTGGGCGCTACTTTGTTGATGGTAGGGTTTTCTCGAGGAAGTTCGTAGAAGAGTAGCTAAGAAAAAGAAGAGAGCGGGAGCGGGGTTTCGTCCGGGCCTGCTAGAGGACTCATCCATCAATAAGGCTTTCTAGCAGGCCCTGGTTTAGATGACTGAATATTGGGAAGTCGGTCGAGAAGTGTATATATAGTAACGGAGGTTGGTCGAACGCTTGTGAGAACGCTTCCCCTCTGGTGACGAACATGGGAGGTGACGTCACAAGTGTAACATACCTTCTCCACTTTGATTAATTTGCTGCAATGTTTTCCGACTTCTCGGTGGTAAGTATAAATCTTCCATTTCTTTCGATTTTTCTTCCTCTTCAACCTTTTTTCTAAAGTTTTCTGGGATAATTTCCGCCTAAAATAAGTTCAACAATACAAAGTACTATTTTCGTACTATAGAAATTATCACAAAGTATTTTTTACGTAAGAAATAAGTGAAACTTACCCAATCTTTACTTTCATCGTCATTGTCGTTCGGTTGATTAACTGGTTCAGATTCTTCTTCAAATGCAGCAAAACTAGCTACTTTGAATGCAGACAACAATTCATCTCCTACGGTTGAAGGCCCTTCATCTCTCGTTTCCGCTCTCCTCAGAATTTCATCAATATCGCACTAAATACACCCAAATAAAATAAATGTAATTTTTAAATTACAATACCGATTCCATTTAGTATATTTTATTAAAGCCTTCAAAAATATTACAGTTGGTTCTTCGTCACCATCTTCTTCATCTTTAAATAAATCTTCGGCGCCAAACTTTAAAATAGCATTTAGATCCTCTTTGTTAAACGGGTTATTGTTGGTCCCTGCATTCTTTTTATCTAATACTGTTCGACCAGTTGTGTCCATTCGTTGAATAACAAGATGATCGAGAACCATTTTTTGCTTTGCCCTTTCTACAATTTCCTCTTCTACAGAATTTTTCGTCACTAATCGGTAAATATTTACCTACACAGAATGTAAGAATAAATGACATATTTAATAATTCGCTTAATAAATTGAAATTTAAATAAGAGTACAATATAAAACATTTAAGAATTACCTGATTCTTTTGTCCAATACGATGTGCTCTAGCTTGGGCTTGTAAATCATTCTGTGGATTCCAGTCTGAATCAAAAATAATAACAGTGTCGGCAGTAGCTAAATTAATACCAAGACCACCTGCTCTTGTTGATAACAAAAAGCAAAAATCTTGTGATCCGTCTGCATTAAAATGATCTAATGCTTGTTTTCGTAATTCTCCTTTTATACTTCCATCTAATCTTTGGAATGGAAAATGTCTCTTTTGTAGATATTCACCAAGAATATCTAACATTCTGACCATTTGACTAAATATTAATACTCTATGGCCTGTTTCACGTAATCTCACCAACAATTTATCGAGAAGAACTAATTTACCAGAACCGCGAATTATTTGCTGTAAATAATCTTCATTACTTTCTTTTCTCTCACTTTCGGTAGGTTTTGTAAGAAAGGCGTGATTACAACACTTCTTTAATTCAATAACAATATTTAAGAAGGTCATAGTAGACCCCTTAACACCTTTTCGTAATGCATTATAATTTTTAGTTAATATCCATTTGTAGTACTGTTTTTGCAAAGATGTCATTTCGACGCGCAAAATTTGTTCAACTTTAGCAGGCAAAGACTTTTCTACATCCTTTTTAACACGTCGTAAAATAAATGGTTCTAACTGTTTATGTAATTTCGAGTATCCTTTTTGAGCTGCATTATCATGCTCTTTCTCAAACTCTTCCCATGAATTAAATCTAGAAAAAAGAGAGATTTAATAGAATTTTGTTATAGATACAAAAATACAAATTAAATAAAACGACATAATATATATATATATATTTTTAATTAGAATACTCGTATAAAAATTAACTAACTTAGTAGGCATTATGAAGTGTAGTAAGGCCCATAATTCTTTTAAGCTGTTTTGTAATGGAGTACCAGTTATTAATAGGCGGTGATTTGTATGAAATTCGGCAAGTGCTTTGTATAAAAGAGAATCATCATTTTTCAATCGATGTGCTTCATCTACCAATAAAACGGCCCAATTTAAGGCACCCAGAAATGCTTTGTCTTTAAGTACTATTTCATAAGTGGTGAGTATGGCATTAAACTTTAATCTCTTCGAACTGTAACACCACTCATATTCTCTAATCTGGAACATACAGAAAATTATAATAGACATATGAAATACGCATTGTAAATAAATACATACAAAATAATACATACAACATTGCGAGAAGTAACGTCACCCAAATACGTGACGAAATTCATATCTGGTGCCCACTGTTGCATTTCTCTTTGCCAGGAAGTCATTGTTGAAAGAGGAACTACCAATAAAAATGGCCCATGGAGTTGATGGGTATGGAACAAGTAATAAAGGAAGCATATTGTTTGTATTGTTTTACCAAGACCCATTTCATCTGCTAAAATAACACTGTAAGTAAACAAAATTCGTTAGAATATACAACAGGTAACTAAAACATAATATTGACAAAATTTTAGATTCTTAAAAACCATAAAGTACCTATTTTCTTTACACCATGAATGAATCATCCAATTTAATCCATCCATTTGATAGTCTCTGAGGGTCAAATCTCGTCCTCTACCCATATATTCTGGTTGTCCCTTTACTTGATGAAATTTGGGTCTTGATTTAAGAACTTTGCAATGTTTACTAGGCGTTCTCTTTGAATCTTCTCGATCACGAAATTCTTTTATATTTTCCGGCCATTTTTTAACAATCAGTGCTCCATCTTCCCATGTGGCATCAGCATACGGTAAGCTCTCCCATTTACAATAATAATCTGGATGATCTGAATCAGGCTTATTATATTCAGCAATAATCCTTTCAACATTATTATAACTTTTGAGGAGATCTTGTTGAAGTTCTAATTGGCATTCAAAGTAATCTATATCCTCTGGTCCAGCATAATCCCTCCATTGTTTGATTTCCCGTTCTCGCTTAATAAAATTATCTAATTTTTTTAATCCTTTTACTTTTTGTGCTTTTAACGATTCCTCTGACTCCCATGTATTATGTATATGAGACCATCCTTTCCATTTTATTGAATACTGCATTTCAGTTTCTTCATTAGTCAAATCATCTGGATTAGGATCTCCATTTTCTTCAACAGCATAAATTGTTGTAACATTTCCTGTGACTAAAGTAAAATATATTATAATACAGTACTTGAGCAAATAGATATGTCTATTTTAGATAGACAAATAATCAAAGCGAATATTTTATATTAAATTCTGATGAAGACAAACCTCCTTTTTTACCAAGCCTTTGTCCCAGAATTCGTTCAATTGTTTCTGCATTATCAGGTTCCGCGTTTGCAGTACTACCTTCATCGACTTCCACCAGATCTTCACTGTCTGTTCTCTCTTCACTCTCTTCTTTGTAACTAACTGCAGTGCCAGTTCTTCTCGTAACTTGTCTGTAGTGAATGAATTTGTAATGTACTAATAATCTATTTATTAATACCATTATCATAGTGTAATATGGACTTAATATTGACTTTTAGTGTAATTCATCACGTCTAAACAGATAATATTAAATACCGTCTATTATCATCACTATCAAAAGAGGAATTTTCAGATGATTCTGAAATTCGTTTCTTTCGTGTTCTTGCTTTTTCCTTTGCTTTCTGAGCTGCACGTCTATTTAACGATTTACTAGGTGGGGGTCTCCTGCTTTCAATTTCATCAGATTCAGAATCCGAACTTCCCAAATTCCACGAATTGTGTGAACTGTAAAAAAAAAAATTCAATATAAATTACGTTTAAAAATCACATTGTAACAGTAATTAAATAAAATATAAATTTCAAGTTTTAATTTCATTATATGATGAACATTTTGATGAAATTTTGAAACAATATAAATATTAAAAATCTTTCCCTGTATTTATATGATAAATACAAACTAAATTAGTATAGAATTTATCAACATTAAATGCACAATACAAAAACACACTTTAGTGAGAGTATTAGTAATCGCTTAAAAAATAAGAGAAATAATGTACAAATACTTTAATAAAATGAGAAACAGGAAATAATAGTATGTTTTTTTATCACAATCTTTGTTCATTACTTAATAATAATAACAAAATTTCTATTACTCAACTATTTGCATGCACATAATGTAATACAAGTCCAAGAAGAATATTTCATATTCATTACACATTCTTCCACATATATACTTCAATGAACACAACATATGAAAGTGATACATAATGCAAAATAAAAAATATAAATAACAGAAGACTGAAATACATTAGACATACCTGTTATGTTATAAAATATAATATATATTTTAAAATGTGATTATTATTTATTTGTCATCAAACTAGATTAAAAAAAGAAAAAAAAATAATATTGCCATTGTGTACAAAATATTTTCAAACACTAGGCTGCATAAAAACAAATTCAAAAGTGGGAACAATGCATATTAAATAATAAAACTGATGCAAGGTATAAAGGCTCATTAATGCAGATGATATGCAACATCAAGTGCTATATACATAACTATACACATAAGCTTAGGAATATTATTGCTATTGAAATTACAAAATACAAACCTATTAAACAACATAAAATTATGTGTAATCTAAAATGTAGAAGTTAAAACATCAGTATTACATGAATTTATTTTCTTACAAGTTATAATGATCAGAATTCATAATAAATATCTTTGTTATTATTACTTGAAGTATTCATATATATTAACTGTTACTCTTCCTATATATCATACTTGGAAAAGAATTAAAGTATATTGCAAGTACAGAAAACAGCTTTGTTTTTTAGTTACGTATGTATATAATAAACCTACAAATCACTATATCAGTTTATATTATAAGTGCAAAATCATATGTGCAATTTATTATATATGAAGCATAAAATACATTTAAAAACCCAATTTCTGTTCTGTGTAATGTCTATTCAATCTACAAGGAATAATTCACAGGATTATGGATTTTATAAATTTAATTTTTATGTAATTAACTGATTGAATTTCGATTGTTACTTACCTTCTTTTCTTAAATTTCTTGCGACTATCACTGTCGCTTTCACGTCCGGTTGCAAGCCTTTCAGGCTCTTTCCTAGAACGCCCAGATCTCCTGATGCCATATATATCAGGATTATCAGCCCATTCACGACTAGACTCATTTTTAAGCCTAACTTTTGTTTCTGTGCTGTGATTTGAACTTTTGCTCTGGAAGCTATCGCTTTGTGCAGGTGCATCCGACTTCTCTGATTTATCAGAATCAGAACCTGATCCAGACCCGGAACCACTTGAAGAGCTAGAGTCGCTGCATTAGCAGCCAGTCAACGTTTTATTTCACTAATCTCATTAATACAGTGTACAGTATATTTTCAAACATGTATAACAATAAGACACATTGTACATATCAAGTGTTTCTGATTTTAAATATATGACTAGTTGAAATCCATAATTTTGTCCATTATTGTAAACGCACGTAGACTATTTTGAATAAATTATACTTTATTTACGATGCATATATCAACCGTATAATGCCCATAAAACTTTGTATCTACCAAAGTGCATGCTTTTATTTCTTCCTCTATTCTATAATTATCTGAAGTGAAAAAAATGTACATTATACTTGTCAATTCTGTACATTTACAGTTCCAATTTTGTTCTATCTATGTGTATCAGACATATTTAAATATTAATTTTAGCACAATATCAATATTATATATGATGAAATATTAAAATATTTGTCTTCTATTAGGAAGTACCCTTCAGTATGTATTTTTAAGTATTATGTGAAATTAATATTGTTTTGTGTTTTGGTATAATCTAAATTCACATACACTATTTATATATTGATTGGGACAGATTCATTATGAGTAAAATGAGTAAAAGCAGAATGCTAGCTTACCTAGTGCTTAAAATTGTTTAGAATACAAGGAAACAGATACTATTGCATGAATAACAAAAATTTGAAAATTGTGCTTACAAAAATTTCAAGGAATACATTAAATTAGCATGATTGTCAAAGCAATGTTAATGCTATATAAAGCTATAGCAATACACAAAATCAAGTGATACCAATTGTTAAAAATCCCTTATGTATCAGAAAGTCAAATACATTATATAAAGGAATATCATATATCATATATATATATATATATATATGCATGTTACCATTAATGATCAAGCATCACGTGCTATTATTAGTTCTGATATACTAGTAGGAATTATGTAATACCCTATAAAAAAATTAAGTAAACAAAATACAACAAAAATAAACAAATTAAATAAGAATAATTACATTTTTCATTTATATCATACCAGAATTACATAATATAGTATAGAAGAGTGTACAAATATCAGTAAACATGAATTTTATCATGTATTAAACTTTCTGAAGTTAAAGGGATTGAATACAAATTTTAATACCCACCTTTCTGATCCTGAACCAGATCCTGTATTGCTTCCAGAAGAAGAGCTATCGCTCTTACTTTCATTTTCAGAATCAGATCCAGATTCCTTACCAGACTCAGATTCTAATGTTTTCTGTAATTTAATCAAATCAATCTAACATTGTTTAATGTATGCATACCTAAGTCGCAGTGTGTTGTTTGGAATAGTTCATTAGTGCTTACATTAATGATTCTTTTAAATTGTATTATTTTTATTACTCGGAATAAATTTTTTTTACCGCATTTCATTTATATTATAAATATGACTAATAATATAATGATATATTTTTCATTGTTCAATATACTTTAAATGTTGAAAATATAAATTGTATACAAAATAGTATTATCACCTATCAATATGAAGATCTCTCCTCCATTTTATAATTCCTGTCCACCATTTTGTAATCAAGAAACATTCGGTTCTTAAGCTCTCCAATACATTTTCTTATAGATACAGTTTATAGAAATATTCAAAGTTATATTAAATATTTGCATAGATTCATCTCAAAGACATATTTATATTTACAGAGGCATAACTATATTTAAATGTCTATATTAATATGCATGTAACAGTTTCATACATACATTGAATTCAAAATTATTGACATTACAAATGAAAATTTAAAATAATAGCTTCATTACTACAGAAACTGAAATTTCATTTCATTTGTAATATATTTCAAGCAAATGTAATTCAAACCAAGACTTATTCTTGCTTTTTAACATTTGTTGTGCACTGCAGGATTTCCTCTAACTGATTACTTCAAGGTATATAGAGTAGTTTCCTGTAAATAACCAGTGTAAGGTATAGTGGGTGGTATCTTGAAAGAATAATATAATTCACAATTTAAGTACTTTATACATTTATTGAACAATTCAGCAAGTACAATCTGAGCAACACTTGACTGAACTTAATTTACATATGGTTATTTTAATAATGTATACCTATGAGATATTAAAATTCATGTACAAGAACTTATCCACGATAATTTTTTAGTAGCTATCACCAACATATTTGTTTGACAAAAAAATAATACTTTGTGTACACTTAAGCACAAATATCTTTGTTATCAAAAGATTCAGAAGGTAAACTATGATTTTATGTTGCAAAGAATACAATGTACACATCTATTGTGTGAAGCATAATATTGTCTGAAAATAAAGGCTTTGTTAGATATAATAAACACTATTTCTAACCAAAACTGCTATAATATGTGTTCCATGTAACAGAAACAACATTCTTAATAGCTGAGAAACTACAGTTTTCTCAATTTATATCAAAACTGTACCCTTTACTCCTAAAAGGCCATTACTATAGTAATGTAACTATTTAAGTTTCGCTACGTGTTGTTACCATATAGCAATACAAAGAAAAATAAAAAGAATTGAAATACATTTAACCCAGATACTTAATATGCTATGCTACTATATATCAATAATGAGATATATAGCAATGAAATTTCTTACAAGTGTAACAATAATATATATTCCTATACAGATGTTTGAAATAGTTTCATCTTCTGTAATTTATGAAGTAACAAATTGTAAAGAAACTGTTTATTAGACATAATGTGAAATTTCATATCTTCAAGTTTATCATTATAGAAACAATTCTGCAAACAAGGTCGTACAATAAAAAAATTATTCCTTATTTTTGTAGTATTAGCAGTTACTTTCATTACCACGAAACATTGGTAAAAATCCTTCACGTTCAGATATTGAAAATGATATAATTATCAAATGCAGTTATAAGAAGAAAAACATAAAAGAATTTGTATGTTATTTTATATATCGATCTGAATGTTTGACAAAAACTTAATTGCAAATAATTTTCCTCTCCGATATGAAACATTTCCCCCTTTAATTTCATAACTTGTTTTCACAGAATTCTATTAAAAATTCTACTGAAACTTATAAGTGTATCATCTTTCTGTTATTCACAAACACAATGTGAATGCATTAAATCACATTTATGTTGAAGTTTTATGGAAACTGTAGAGAATAAATGAAAAATCAAACTTCATACATAATATAAAAATTATTGAAATATTAGAGAAATGTCTACTTCCCTTTAAAAGAAAAAGATTTGAGTATGTCTAAGATCTTCTAAGCGAGGAACATTTATTTGTTGTAGCTTTTACAGAAGATTGTGCTACACAATCTCGATCATAATAAGGAGAATGTGCACCATAATCTTTAAGCTTAATTTGCAAAAATGGGTCCACTTTAAATATTTGATTAAACATAGGTCCAAGGTGAAGGAGAATGCAAGGAATAATTTTTAACAAAAATTAGGGTGGAACAACGATATTTTAAGTGATAAATGTCAGGTTGAATGAATGTAAACAAACTTATAGGTTATTAAGAGGCTGGAAACTATGTAAAGTTATGAAAAATTGTGATTTATCAGAGACAAGTCCCTGAGCTCTGAAGGCCAATAGGGCTCCGCCCTACACGCGGAAACCTTTTAAATAAATTTACAATAATTTTTTTCATTTTTATGAGAATTTTCCTAGTCGCAGTTCACTGAAACGCATGTGACAACATGATTTTTCCCTACTCCAAACAACACCGCGGCTGTATCGTGTAAAATGATGTTCAACAAAACATCGACGTTCATATTGACAATGTAAACAACCAATTATTGCTACAAATATCCGAGAGAAGCTAAAAATTAAACAATTTTCGAACCCGACCACTCACCTGCATCGTCCCGTCTGCGCGTCGCACCGATATCTCGATATTACACGCACCACGCACAAATCCACGTTAATTTAATAATTAAACTACCGCGTATACACGTATTTGCAATGTTAAACGACTATTGATGTATAGAGTCGCGACATCGTGTAAAATTATCGAATTTTCACGTACTATATGGTCACGGGCCTGAGCTTGGCCGCCATTTTGTGAACTCGACTCGTACTTTCGCCCTCCCCGACCGTCCTCTCGTCCATCGTCCCGTCATGCAACGCGCGCGCACTCTTCCCTCCCTTCCTTTCATCAACACCCCTTGCAAAACTAAACGCCCTTTAAACGCTACGAATTAAATCTTTACGCACAATAATACAAAATATCTGAAAAAATACATTTCGTTAGACAATATATATTCATACCTCTGAACCTCACGGATAGAACTTAACACAAAAAAAGATAGATCGATGAATGACGTTAAAACGTAGTCATAAAACGGAAACCGTTGTAAGACAGCCATTTTGATTACTCACGGAAATTTTACCCAGCATGCCTGGCGACGGTTTTTCGATTGTTCTATATGTGTGTAATTACGACGATCGAACTGATCATGCAATAATGTTGTACATTTCACACTTTCAGTATTAACGATTTGTGCTTATTTGAATTAGAATTTTAGTTGAAATGTACGAGAAAATTGCATTATTCAATATAATTTATTCGGATATTAACATAATAAGATTAGTGTTATCTAAATATGGAAATTAACGTCTAGGAAATTAACGTGTAACGAAGTTTATAAAAACTGTAAATGCGTAGCATAGTAGTTGAGCTCAGAAACTTAATCTCATTTATCACAATTTAATCACACCTAATTATATTTACATAAGTTGAAAATGTATATTATATAATTATATGAACGTTAATGATGGCACCATGCAGAGTGTAAAAGCGTTTTTATAAAGCAACATAATGTCTAAAAGCTGACGTTTTCCATCAGATTGGGTAGATAAGCCAAAATCAGTTGAATTGAAAGATTACAATAATAGTTACCTCAAATGCAAAAAAAAATGACTTCTAATAAAACAACTGTTTTTACCCGGTCCAATGAAAACCAGCTTGTGTTTTCGCAGGCGATGAAACTAATGTATTATGACGAGAATGAAAGACGAAAAATATTACCCAAACACCCGTGGCACGTCGTACCGGAAAAGGAAGAAAGGCTCGCGAGTTCGATATACGATTATTTACAATTTCCGGTTGACGATCGATTTCTCGCTATTTCACAAATCGATTCCTCGTTTGACGATGGCGCGTAAAACAATTACACAAAACTCACTATTAAACAACAAAACAGTAAAATATCAATAATTATTTAATTAAAAAACATGTACGTACATACATACATGTGATATTTGTTATATTTTATTATTATACACCTATCCTTTGATTTGCATGGTTGTTCAGTTTTACATAATATAATTTCGGTTTAAGAATAATAAGAAAATGTAAAAATATACAAGTAGGTAAACTATAGTTTACACCTAATAACATGGATTTGTCCAAATCAAGGGAAAATCTATTATCTAGGATTATCTAAGAATGTATTATATTACTATTACTGTGTACTTAAAAATAGGTCTTTACGTCCAAGATAGGTTAGAATATTTCCAGCAAAGTTAAAATATTTATTCTATTGCATACTACAATATTAAGATATTTGACAAAGCTTATATATTTTTTAAATAATTCTATTTTTCTACCATCTACAATAAATAATACAAAATGTATACTTTCTATTTTAAGTAGAAAGATATATGTACATATAGACAGATCAAGGCCAGAATTCCTATGAATAAAATTAAGAAAATCGTTGTAAATAGATTATCAATTCAAGGATTAAACTATTATTTATTAAATATATCCTATTACATTTCGAGGATGAAGTTAGATAGGTATACATATGTAACATAATATACGCATTATTGCGTCTTGAGAATGAATTCCGGAACGTGTAGTATAGCATGGCGAATGATATTCTATTTGATAACAAGTTATAAATACTACTTTAATTGGGAATGCTATAAAATAATAGGTATACCACCACTGAATTATCATATAGTTTTATGTTTCAAACTATAATTTGGGCAAATGTCGAGGACATCTTTAAATATGGAAAACTGGCATGGCAATCAACATGTTAATAATCTTTAGGCTTTCATTATGCCCATTGTTAACACTCGTAACATATTAAGAAGTTTAAATAACGCCATCTAGTGTTTAAAGTAGTTCAGCTGGGCGACTATTAAAAATCGTACTTTGACGATGACATCGAATATGACACAGTAAATTATATCAGTTTTGTCAAGAGTTGACAATAATATATATTGAATGTTTAACGTATATTATTGCAAAAAGGATTCAACATATTTCTTTATTTACGTTATAATTTTAATGTATACACTTTTTAATGTACATGTAACGTAATAGTGAGAAAAAATATGGTGTTTACATAATGTAAACATAGCAGACCAAATTTATATACACATTCATGTCTTTTATATGTACTATTTACCACATATGTATAAATATTAATATCTGCAAATGTTCGTATAAAACAAAAATTTAAAATAGTCAATGTAATATGTTAACATAAAATGTATCCCATTTCCCTACATAACTGCCTTGTGTAATCAACAATTTCTTATATTCACATTTCTTATGATAATCGGAATTATGTAGTAATTCAGTCTTAAAATAATTCAAAGTGTAACACAGTAATACACCATTATTACAATAAAAAAAGCCAACAAAGGTAAAAATTTTATATTCATTATCCAGCGACAATATTTTATTTTAACATATTCACGATACTAAAAGATACTTGCATAAATGTATCATGAATCTCAACACACACAATTTACAGATTCACATTATTCCGGATCAGGTGTTTCTTTTATTTCATCTATTGTACCTTCTTCTTCCAGTGTCTTCTTAGTTTTTGCATCAGGTAACCAAAGGCCACTATCAACACATCGTTTCATGTGATAAGAGGCTTCTTCTATTGGCATTGCTGCTATTGTTTCATGTAATAAAGGAATATCTCGTGCTTCGAAACATTTTTGTAAAGGCTAGAAACAATAATAATAATGCGTCAACAGTTAAGATAATGAACAAATATGTATATGAAAAATTTATTTTTACCTCTGAAAGACTTTCAAATACTTCAAGTGGATCAAGACCACCTGGTCCAAGGCGTGCTTTCTTTTCTTCTTCTGCTTCTTTAAGCGCATCTGCTACTTTTTCAGCAGCTCGTTTACGTATTCTTTCTTTAAATGCTCTAAGTTCATCATCAAAGGAATTCTTATATTCGACTTCAGCAGTATGAATATGACTGAAGAAGGAACCCATGCATGTTCTAGGATCAAGATCAAATTGTTTTGATAATTCCAAAATGTACTGTATACATATGCATTGATGAGCAACGTGTTCCATCAAATCATATTTCTGAAAATAACAACATTCTCATTAGTATAATAAATTCAGATAGCAGTTACTTATATTTAACATTAACTGTTACGTGTTTACTTACTTCCTCTATCTCCAAGTTAATACACCAAATCACTAAATAGTTTGCAGTATTTTCACAAACTAATTCAGGATTTTCATGCAAAAATTTCTTACTGTCATCGTATTTTCTTAACATACCAAATTCTTTAAGTTTCTTTTCATGTTTTTTGACAAATTCTTTCATTCTTTTTTCTTTTTCTTCGTCTGACAAGCCATAATCATCTTCTCTGCAAGCTGTCCTTGTATTGATCACAGTTTTTGTAAAACCATCTTGACCAATAGTATCTACATTCCAAGGTGTTAGCTTTTCCATTTTTTTCAGTTCTTCCTCTTTTTGTCGAATTGCCTGTTCATCATGTTCAAGATCTTGCAAAACCTTCTTTAATGCAGTTAAATCACCTGTATCCTTTTGATCATTTTCTAATTTTGCAAGTTGTTCCTTTGTGTCTTTCAATTTTTTTAGCGTTCTGAAAATTAATACCAATTTTTAAAGTGACATTAAAAAAATGTAATCAGAATACAAAAACATTAATATGTTTTGATATTTAGTTTTAGTGAATGTGGTATTGTTTATCAACAAAAATTATGTGAAACATACTGTTGTTTTTTCCTTTCATGTTCCTGTTGCTCTCGTTTCTGTTCTTCCATCCTTTCAATCCTTGCTTGATGACGCCATCTGAATAGCGATGGTGTATCAATGTTTGGATGAGTCTCATCTTCATCGTCTGAAATCTAATAACCACAAATTTCATCACGATATTCATTGTCAATAACAAAATGTTTCAAGTATACATTAACATAATCATTAAATATTAGAATAAAATATACATATATATTTATGTACATTTTCATAATTTATTATTAATAAACATATACGCATAAACGTTTATGTTACAATAAAAATAATTAGCATCAGATTTGATGGTCTTGTCAAGGTTTTTGAAAGTATAAATAAAAGTATTCTCGGAATTTCTATTCTTACTCTAGAATATTCTATACGTATACTGGACCAAAATCGAGATTCTTACCTCGATATCTTTCCATTTGCTGTAGTCCACCATTATTCAACCAGTTAAATATAACTTTTCTTTTGTTATTGTGTTTCTGTTAAATTAGTTACTTAATGTATGTAACTTGGACATGAAGTGTATTTTTCACTTCGATTGAACCAGAAATGTGACGCCTGTACTTGTCGTAGTTTAATTGTCAATTGCACTGACATGAATGTAGGAACTATATCCCCGTGATATCCATTCGATGTATCACGACAGTGTTTCTCAATCTCAACTCTTTTGGATTGTAAATTATGTATCTTCAGATTAGCATAAAATTAAAGTAAAACCAAGCAAATGTAATTAAATAATAGAGTGAGCGCATACGCTTAATAATGAATTTCTATAAAATATTGTTATTATGGGAAATGTTACTGTATTATAGAGCATTGTGTATATCGTAATTTAATTTAAAAATTAAAAACTGAACATACTTTGTAAAGTCATATATACAATAGTAAAAATAGAAATAAACAATTGTTGCTCGTACTGTAGTATGCATATTGTACATACAGACCATAGGGTACTGTCTATAATTTATTTCAGTGATTCTAATCCGTGGTTTTCATAAATACATAGGTTTGGGAGTAAGCAAAGGAGGGTTGTAGAAAATCGATTTTCGACCATATTGCCAACGAAAAATATTTACAGTTATACACATTTCGATATATATAATAATAATAATGTACAGAAAATATAATATAACTTTTTTAACATAATAAATCCTAACTTCAAACCTTCAGTCGGTAACGTAGAGCGCAACCCTCACCACAGAAAACGCATCTGTCGCCACAAGTCGACTAGGACAACTCCCTCTATAGATAATTAACCTTCAGCAGCTAGTGCGTGTAAATGCATACCAATTGAAAAGTACGAATTATTCGCGATTCCTTGACTAGTTAAAGTTGTAAATAATTTACTAAAAATCAGTCTATCCGCGGTTTCTATCCGAGGTATCCCTCGGGTTCGTAAACAAGCTTCGTGCGACATCGGAGCTTCCCCCATCACGCCGCCTAATTCCCGAGCGTTGCCGAGCACAGCGGGCGGCCATCATTCCTACTTTGACGTCAAGACGTAGCGGTGCTCCGCGACCGAGGTACTTACGTATTTCCAACCTGTTGATCTTTCCACTTGTATTACTACTCGCGTTTTAATTACGATCTCTTGCAATACGGTTTCGATTCACTCATTACCTAATTATAATAATGATTCGTGTACTTTAATGCATCGTTATTTCGTTTCTGTTACAGTCTCTTATTGGAAGTCGAAATCAAGGAATAATAAGACTTGTTGAAACCTGTCAAGACATGTCGGCGTTTCACGACCAACGAAGTATGCATTTCTAACCCTTTGCTATTTTCTCATAATCAATCATTGTTTAATTATGATTTAATTTGTATTTTATTTCTGTTGCAGTCTCTGATTGAAATTTGACGCCATGGAAAATTTCATTGGCGCGTAAAGTACACCATAACAGATGGCAGGCGAGTCGACAAATTTTGAAGGGTATCTTGGTAACGTTTAAATAATTATAATAAAGATTAACATCCATATCAATATTTATCGCTTTATTAAGTTATCCGTTGCAAGCATGATTTTAATTTTGTAATCGGTCATTGTTAAGATAAAATATTAAAATAGTTAACAAACTTTCTATCTAGTTCGATATATATAGTTCAATAGTTTATATTAGACTGTATTCTGATCGCGATTAAATATTTCCGACTATTATTTATTCAATTGATTGTTTATATCTCTTTATGAATTGTTGTAGTTGCAATTTGCATACATATTTCGATGCAAGTTTAAGAAAATGTAGTAACCGCGGCGTTGAAATATGCTATTCGAGCACAAATAACCAACGAACTTTAATTCTTGCAAATTTCGGAATATTTATAAAAATTACGGGATATTCTAACGTTCGAGAAAGTAAACATAATCATGCTTACAACTCTAACGATGAAACTTAGTGATATAATATTTATAAATTGAATAATTACTTGTACGTAATTATTTTCGTAGATAATATTTTATCGTTGAAATTCTCATTGATTGAGAATAGTTCGCCTTCGTGGCATTGATCTTGTACGGGACAAACTATGTATACAACAGTACTAAGTAAAGCAGTATTTCTGTTGACGAACTCTTGTAAGAAGAAAAAAGAAAATCGATAGGCAAAGCACAGATGTGCTTGTTGTGTTTCTTGTCTCCTGTCCCTTTCTTTTCAGCTCTTTTCTTTCCAGGAAATTTGTTGGCCGCGCGCAATGCGGCCGGTAGATTCAGTGATTGTGCGTAGCAACAAGTTTGTTTTTCGGGGCAAAGTGACCCCAAGCTAGTTATCGTTCACGGTGTTAGACAAACGCGAGAATAGAAGCAGTGTTTCTTACGCGGTATTAAATTATTTACAGAGCATCGTGGCTCTTTCTGTTTTCTGAATCGCGATAATAGAATCATTTGTTCGCCGATTTCAATCTTCGGTCGCGGTAATCTAATTTATTACTTTCCAATTAAATTAATTATTTTTTCAATTTGAAATTTAAACTCCTCGTTATCGGAATTAGAGTCAGTGCATCACCGAAGAGGACTATTTGGCAATGCTCCACGAGCAAACAATGTAAGTATAAATTTATACTTTTAAATTTTTAATTAAAAATCTCTACAGTTTTGACAATAGATTCTAATTGTTTTCTTACAGTTTTCTTACAGTTTCTGAACATGATCCTGGGAACCAGCAGCAGTACCCGGGGGGTATCGGGCGGTGGACCACGAGCGAACAACGTAAGTATAAATTTATACTTTGAAATTTGTTAATTAAAAATCTCTATAATTTTAACAATAGATTATAATTGCTTTCTTATTCTTTATAGCAGGAGCATGCAGGGGGCTTTGATGACTTCCACTGGGCAGCAGCAGCATCATCATGCAGTCATCCCAGAGGTACAAGTTCATCATGAGTGAGTTGCATGCTATTTGTGTTCCTCTGGTCCCCAACCATGTTGTAGGATGAAAGATCCGAATCAACACGGGTGACCAGTTGTATACTTAGTATTTTTGACGAGTTAAGTGACCCATGAGTTATATTTTTTTAGTGTAGGCTAGGGTCTTCTTGCACTCGCGTTTTTTAATGTTATTAATAAATATTACACAATTTTGATAAAATATATGAAATATGTTTATTGTCTTTATATGAATTAAATAATTGAGTAGAATATGAATTAATATAATGTGAAAACATTATATTAATCGTACGATTGAGTAAAATATCTTACATCATTAATATAATTATTAAATATTCGTTTTATCGATTAATACATCATATGATGTATTTCACGTGCAAGAAGGCGTTTCGCGACTGGTCGTTTCTCAACTCAAAGGAACATGCATGTTAGTTTCATCTTTTAAAAAATTTACTTTGACGACAGAATCGACCAGGGATAATTGAATATTTTGAATAATAATTTAACAAACTTATTTCAATTTGCAAAGTAAATTATTTTATTATGATATCTTTATTAAAGTCTTCCATTTTGAACAATTACATTTCAGTTACAAATTTGTCTTGAATAATAATATTTTTCAATATTAACGTACTCTGTTGTTGATATATTACATATAACAAGTCGAGTAATTTTAATTGAGAATAAATACCGTTTAGTTAATTATTAATAACCAGTTTTTCTAGTCAGGATTTTCAGGATACTTTTCCGTGTTCGTTGCCTAAGTTCATGCACATGCCCAAGTGTTATTTGCACGAGCGAAGGCAACGGGGCACGATGACTTAGTTTGTAACATTTATAATAATAATTTATCCGTGCCACTGACAATGCTAGTGTATCGTGCACGATGTACTGTCCACATATGTGTGTTTGTGGTTAGGATGTGGAAGTGCATCGTTTCAAAAGTTTATTACGATTCAGATACAGAATTTTTTGACATTAGATTCATAACAATCGTAATAATAATATTAAACTTATAGTTATTATTTACTTGGCAATTGTTCGTATTGCATATACGTCAATGATATTGTAAAATGCATAATGAATTAGCTTTTCAATCTTATATAATCATGTATAGAGCATATTTTAATAAAGACTATATCAGATATATTAAAATGTTTTACATAAATAATAAAAGTACGCAATGGGCACTAGCTTTGTCAGTCCACTGCAAAAACTGGTACGTACACAATTAGAGTATGAATGAGGTTGTGTCCGGGTGTCGGAGGAACCCCGGGGAGTCCTCTCTAGTTTAGGTCGCGCCCGGACATTGAGAATGAGAACCGTGGAGTGTTTGTTTGAGAGACTGAGTTTTGCAATTTTTTAAATATAGGGTTAGGTAGGTAGGTAACTTATTCTCTGGTGTGTGTGTTTAAACCTAAGTAAGTAGGGTCAGGGCAGGACTGTCCACATTAGTAATTCGGGTAGGCGCGTTTTCGCGTGGCAGTTCTGTTCCTGTAGTTACGATTTCGAGAGTAGAAATCTTGCTGATTCAAACGGTGCACTTGTACTGTTTGTTTCGGCTTTATTTTCGACTCCTCGAATCGCGCGACTCTTAAAGTCGCTCTCTCGCGCTCGCGGTCGTGATCAGGTCCCTTTCGAAACGTTCGTCCCGCTCGAGATTCACCACGTATGCTCTTGCAACAATTCGTATATTGTTGGAAGACTACGTATTGCACAAAATCTCGAGCCCGGTCTTTCGTAAGTTTCAGGCATCGGCAGGACCGCCGAAGAAAGAAAAGGCTCTCGATGAGCCGAAGAGGCCCTGACAAACTGTCTCAAGAGTGGGCTGCAACAAATGGCTTTTCATCTTCATCCTCGGATGAAAATGGAAAGTCATTCCTCTTACTACTTTGTCACTTAACTCGTCTGTAGTTGTAGTTAGTTTATTTTTCTGACTGGCTCACGTATGCATGTACCTGATGGTACATGATTGCACCATACATGCCAGCCATCCCTCCCCATAACTCGCGGTTATGATATACATAGAGTTGCGAATATCCAATAATCGCGTTTGCTTTTAGAGTTGCGAATTTTTATTTTTCGCGTTTCCTTTTCAGGGTAGTGTTGCGAATAATTACCATTCGCGATTGTTTTCATGCAAACTTAGGTACCGGGAGTTTGCTTTAAAAGTAGCGTTGCGAATTATTGATAAACGCGATTGCTCGTAGAGTTGCGAAATACTATTTTTCGCGTTTGCTTTTCAGGGTAGTGTTGCGAATAAATACGATTCGCGTTGTTTTTTACTCTTTTATACATATAATGGACATCAACCGCGTTTGCAATTTTCATACTATAAATTAGCGTTGCGATCTTGATTAATCGTGCGATTTTTTATTTAGCGTTGCGATATTTTCAATGCTCAAATTCTACCCCAATTGTAGTACTAGTAGTAGTTAGTTTATTTTGTGGCCAGTACATGTCTATGTACATGTATCAATAGCCCCTGATTAAAGTTAGAGTTGCGAATAATATACAATGTTCGCGTTTGCTCGTAGAGTTGCGAACAAATATTTATCGCGTTGATATATCAGTGCTGCGAATAAATACGATTCGTGATTGTCTTTATGCAAACCTAGGAACCGGGCGTTTGCTTTAAAAATAGCGTTGCGAATTTTTAGTAAACGCGATTGCGAATTAGAGTTGCGAATCACTATTTTTCGCGTTTGCTTTTCAGGGTAGCGTTGCGAATAATTACCATTCGCGGTTGCTTTTATTGTTACAAGTCGCGTTTGGAATTTGTTCTATTATAAATTAGCGTTGCGATTGTTGATTTATCGCGTTGTTGCCCCGTAGTGTTGCGATATTTAAAACGTCTAACTTCATCCCCATATGTGCCACTCTATTGTAGTTTGAAGTAGCTTGATGTAGTTAGTTTATTTTGTGCATGTATGTTTATAGCTACAACCGAAGACGCCAGCACCTGATCAAGCGTTTTTGGGCAACGCGATTTGCATTAGCGTTGCGAAACATAAATGTATTTCCATTAAAGATAGAGTTGCGTATATGTATACAATAATCGCGTTTGCTCGTAGAGTTGCGAATTCCTATTTTTCGCGTTTCTTTTTCAGGGTAGCGTTGCGAATTCCATACGCGATTGCTTTTATTGTTATTTAAGAATAGCGTTGCGAACGTACTGATCGGTTTGTTCTTAGCGTTGCGAATTACTATTTTTCGCGTTTACTTTTCAGGGTAGCGTTGCGAATAATCACCATTCGCGGTTGCCTTGATTGTTATAAATCGCGTTTGGAATTTTTCTATTATAAACTAGCGTTGCGATCTTGTCGCGTTTTTTATTAATTAGAGTTGCGATCCAATGCCCAAAAGCTGGTCAAAACGCTGGCCACTGCACCAGAATCATCGAGAAGCAAGCTGGGATTCTACAAAGCCTCGAATGGCTCAACGTCGTTATTAAAATTAGTGTTGCGCATGATTGAATATGGGTGCACGCGATTTAATTAATAAAGGAACCCTGTATAGTTCATTTTACGAATAACAAGCACCATTCGCGTATAGTTTTTTATTTTATAAATTAGCGTTGCGAAAGAAAGAATGGTCCACTCACGCGTTGTTTGAATTTAAGACGAGTGGACGTTTATTCCAATTATGAGTTTATTCTCAAACGAAATACTGCTTGAAAGTACTGTTGTGAATAGACCAATTGTTTTATTCTTCGTAACGTGTTAAAATCTATAATATATGGGAATGTATTTTCATCACAGATTTGTGATGCATTTAAAAATTCTATATTATGATTAATTTTATTGTAGATTGAATTTATGATTGCTATATAGATATCTATATCACTAATTATTCATTCTTAGAGTTGGTAATTTTTACGGGATATAATAACGTTTGCAATCCAATTGTTATTTATAAATAGCGAATTTTTAATAAATATTCTGTATTCTTTGCATAAATCAAAGTTTGTTCGCGATCATTGTTTTAATTGATGGAAAATAGAATGCTTGCATCAAAAGGGTATGCAAATTGCAATTCGATATTTCATATTGAGAGTTAATTGCCGCGTAGAATCGACATTTTCGTTAGCTATTGCTTTTTCTGTATGAACCTAATTTAGTGTTGAATACAGTAAAATATAATTATTGCAATGTATACGTCTTGAAAAATTGTTTATTTCATAAAGGAAACGAAAAATAAAATCTACGGGTAACAAATGAATAAAATTTTCAATCTATTTCGTATTTATCTTAACACCGAGGCGAATTTTCATTCAATTTCACGTAATATTTATGTTTTTAAACTTTTTACAATCAATTTTTACTCGTGGAAGCTCAAATATTAATTTCATAATATCACTTTTGGTATGATCGATTACCATTAGTCTATCTTGACGGTATATAATTATTTTTTTCTGTGCTCATTAATACACTTTCATTTCAGCTTTTAATCCTTTGAACAAGTTCTTGTTACAGAATATATAATCATCGAAGAATGGAATTGGAAATGGTACACGGATTCCATCTTGATCGCTCTGAGAGAAATATTTCATACAATTTTACTTATTGTCTGATTTATGTTTCAGGAAAACATCGTGGGATTAATCAAGACACCAAGAAGAAATATTTTTTCATATTTATTTGTTTTACACGAGTTATATATTTTATTGGATATGAGCTTTTGTTTCAGGAAAACATCGTGGGAGTGACGAAGACACCAAGAAGAAAATATCTTGTCATATTTCTTTGTTTCATGTCGGTTATATTTATTGTATATGAGTGTATGTTTTAGAAAAACATCGTGGGATTGATGAAGACACCAAGAAGAAAATATTTCCTTCATGTTTCTACAGATTGCGTTAGAATATAAGTACAAATGTATATATGTAGATTATAAGATAAAAGAGCGTTCTCCTGCCGTTTATTAAATATTACCGAAACGTGTGCGTAAATTTAAGTGGGAATGATTAATATTAAGATACATATTAGTATTCTAATATGCATGGTGCCATACGTGCAGTTGCACATTTCTGGTTGGATCTTCAGGATCCTTTCTTCGTTTTGTACGAGTGTCTTGTTAGGCACTGTCATAATGCAAGTATTTATTTAAGAAGGAACAATTAGGAATAAAGTACACATTGATACTTTAGTAATCAGGATTCATACGTGCAGTTGCACATTCCAATTTCGTTTCTAGAAAACATGTGCTGGTTTATCTCACATGTATCATTTTGTTAGGTTTTTGATCTCTTCATCGGTCAGAGTTCGTGCGTGCAGTTGCACATTTCAATTTCGTTTTTAGAAAACATGTGTATCATCTCACATGTATTGACATTTTGTTGGGTTCTTCGTCTCTTGATTGGGCAGTTCTTTTAAGAACTCTCCTTTTGTAGCTCGTTTCTAACTTTTCGATAGCTTCTCCTTTAGATAGGTATTCGAATTCCTCGCCAAAGGAAGGGTGGTTGGGGCGAGGCTAGGGTGGGTCTCCAGTCGCAGCAACCTCCACGAGGTGAGACCTGGGGATTATTATTTACTATGTAATTAATATAATTATTAATTACATAGGAAATAATATGAGCTAATGGCTGCGTTCTTCTTATAGTTCCACATACCTTCTTCGTCCTGGTGTGCGGTCTAATAACACTGATTTCGAGTCGCAAATACGATTTTGCCGAGTTAGTTTTTAAATAAATAATATATTACAGTTTAAAATAAAAAATAGAGGATTTGCGGTGTATTTGTCAATGAGATCGTTACGTATTTTAATAATTTTGAAATCTTTAAATAATCTCAATCGATTGGTTATTCCAATGAAATTAATCGATGCTCAATTCTGGACCATACAGCTTTCATTCCGTTAAAAAATAATAAAATTTATGTAATCTTATTTTCTGTCTCACTTCCTCTTGTGTTAATTTCTAAATCTGTTGGTAATGTTGCGAGTGACACGATAATGGTAATGGGGTCCCGGGACCCCAGAAACTCCGGCCGAAAAATTACATTAGGTGAAAGGTCTACTCGTATACCTCGTCTGTGCTTTCACCCAATGTATTTTTTCGGCCCATTTTTCTGGGGCTCTGGAGCCCCATTACCATTTTCGTGTCACTCGCAACGTTACCAACAGATTCAGAAATGAACACAAGAGGAAATGAGACAGAAAATGAAATTACAGAAATTTTATTATTTTTGTTATTAGAACGCGCATCGGGGGCTCCAGGAACTCCCCATTCCACTTTCGCACACTATGCCCGATTGTGTGTAGCAGCAGATGTAGCTTTAATAGACACACGACCTATAAAAGTGAACAAACCTAAATAGAATCTTATTTATTTATCATAATTTATTTTCTATAATATATTTACATCGATCATATCTGCAAATTGTATTCTTTGTACACTTATTTGTCAGACAATTGATTATCCAAAGATCATTTCTGATCTTGATGGCCGTAAACATGATTGGGTCATATATTCTTGATCTCTCCCCTTTCTTTTAATCTAACAAAACATCAATGCAATGATAGCACGCGAAAGCTATTGCCTGTTGCTAGATCGAACGTTTACAAACTGTTTTACGACGCGAAACCATTCAATTAAAAATTTTACAATTTTACATTCGAATATTATCTCTACATAGTTTAATGTAAATTTCATTGACTCCCGTACCTAGTCAGGCATAAATGTCAGAGATCTGCATACACTACGCTATCTTCCAAAAGTTTAATTACACACTAACTGATGAATTTGTTTGAATTAAAAATTGCAATTAACTTGTATGAACTTAAATCAATGAACCAGCCGTCTTTGACTGGCAGAAAATGCTATAATAAACGTACGATGTATGATTTGTAGATCCTCGACAGCGGGAATAAATTCACAAAATTTATTAACCCATCGCGTTTCGCAACAAGGTGTTTTGAACCAAAATACAATATTACGTCAAAGCCACCGCTCCTAGTTTCCATACTGTTCGAAACACTATGCAACAAGCCTGAACTGTACACCAAATATAAAATAGCTACGATGATAGCAAGATCGTGCACAATATGGCGTCTCGAAGAACCTCAAAATATTCTCAATCGCATTGATCTCGCGCGGTCGTAACAAAATGCTAAAGCACGATGACAATATTGCTGTCATACCGTATTAATTCAATATTATCGATAGCGTGGAAGCTCTTTTAGATATTATAACACCCTCTCAAGTCGCCTGCGGCGACGATACTTTGCTCGAGTGCGAGTGGGTGGGTTTCGGCCCGATGGTATGCGTTTTGCTAGAAATCGGGCACAAAATTTGCTTGTAGGCCTCTCTGTAGAGTTTATTGGTGCCAGCGTAGATGAAAGGATTGACCACGGACGAGGCCCACGCCAACACCGACCCAATCACGTGCAGAATCGGTATCTTCATCTTGTCGTCGGCCACGTTGGTCAGCATCAAAGGCATGAAGCACAAAAGGAAACAGAGGAAGATAGTCAGCATCAGTCTGGTGACTCTGGAATCCTCTCTGCGTTGGAAGCCGCTGGATTTTCGCCTCAGAACGCCCGCGTGGGCCTCCAGGTTCTTCCTGCTCTTCCTAACGCGCCAGTAAATGCACAAATAGGAGACGCTGATGACCACGCAGGGCACGATGAACCCCAACACGAAGAGGAACTTCTTCGGGCTGGCGCCGTTTTTCTTCAGAATCGTGCACGAGAAGGTGGACGGTTCCAATCCCAGGGTTCCCCAAAAACCGAGCAACGGTGGCAACAATATGGAGAAGCTCAGCGTCCAAATGGCGATCAGCATCAGGATGATTCGTCGAGTGGTGTACAGTTGGGCGTATATCTCCGATCTTGAGATCAGTATGTATCTGAAAATTTATGTCAGAGTCGATGAAACGTCCTTCTTTTCCTCTTCGAGCAATGGCGAACACGAAGAGAATTATAAGGGATTTTTGCTTGTATCATTTGAATTTTAAACTTTGGGTTGTGATCGCACGATTTTAATTTTTTTACTTAACTTTGTAACCATCCATGATAGAAAGAAATAGTTCCAAGTGACGAAAGAATGACACCGTCATTTAATTTAAAAAAAGAACTTTACTGGTTTCTGAGGAAATAGCCTTTAATTAATTTATTTGGACCACGTGGTGTATTGTGGGAATATATAAAATTATCAATGAGAAATCAATCTTAAAATGCATGTCTCGAAACTCTGTTAAAAAAAGTAAATGAATTAAACGAATCAGGAAATGTTAATAGTCAATTTATAGCACTTTATACGAACTAAATATTGGCTTTAAATTGAAGATAGATGCGCTGCTGTATTTATCAGGCGTACATTTGATACTATTGGGATAAGTATCAGCTGATCAAGTTCCACAAAGGAGTGCTGAGTTTGTGTAATTGATCGTACATTTTGTCAGCGTATTTGAAAGTAAACAAAATTGCAAACAACGAATACGAATGTCAGACTTCGTCGAAACTGCTGTCTCGTTTGACTGCCACACCTGTTCCGTATTATTAGCGTCAAATACATTTTACAGCGTACCTAATAACACTAATACTCTTCAAAAATTGATAAGTATTATAGTTCGTTCGATTTAATTATTTTAAAGAAACGATGCAAGCTCTGAAGCAGTCAACAATTTAATAATTAAATCTGAAGACTGTACAAAATTAATAAACATGATTTGGATCTCTGAAGATGGAAAATTTTAAGTGATTGGTTGCGAGATTTAAACTTCGATTTAACCACTAACGCTATTCAAAAATTGATAAACATTACAGTTCTCCCTGTTTAAATATTTGAAAAATGCAAGTTCGAGGGCAGTCAACAATTTAAAAATAAAATCTGAAGACTGTACAAAATTAATAAACATGATTTGAATCTCTGAAGATGGAAAATTTTAAGTGATTGGTTGCGAGATTTAAACTTCGATTTAACCACTAACGCTATTCAAAAATTGATAAACATTACAGTTCTCCCTGTTTAAATATTTGAAAAATGCAAGTTCGAGGGCAGTCAACAATTTAAAAATAAAATCTGAAGACTGTACAAAATTAATAAACATGATTTGAATCTCTGAAGATGGAAAATTTAAAATGATTGGTTGCAAGATTTAAACTTCGAGTTAACCACTAACGCTATTAAAAAATTGATAAATATTACAGTTCTCCCTGTTTAAATATTTGAAAAATGCAAGTTCGAGGGCAGTCAACAATTTAATAATTAAAGTCGAAGACTCGAAGAAATTAATAAACATGATTTGAATCTCTGAAGATGGAAAATTTTAAGTGATTGGTTGCGAGATTTAAACTTCGATTTAACCACTAACGCTATTCAAAAATTGATAAATATCACAGTTCTCCCTGTTTAAATATTTGAAAAATGCAAGTTCGAGGGCAGTCAACAATTTAATAATTAAATCTGAAGACTGTACAAAATTAATAAACATGATTTGAATCTCTGAAGATGGAAAATTTTAAACGATTGTGTGTAAATCGTGAAATTTACACGGTGTGAATTACGTACCGATTTATGGTGATCGCGACCATGCTCAGCAAAGACACAGCAACGTTTCCGTAGAAGAAGAGAGGGAATATTTTGCATAGAGTTTCGCCCAGCACCCACGCCTCGTGTAAATATCTGCTCGCGGTTAGCGGCATATTTACCGCGGAAAAAATCAAGTCGGAAATGCTGAGACTTATCACGAACGCAGTTGTTGCATGTCGTCTCAATCTTGTGTATTTCAACAGCGCGATCACTGTCACTAAATTCCCTGCAATTTATAGAAACGACAGAAAAATTATAAGTACGCGTTGCGTTTCTCAAATACCACTCGTTGTTGAATATTAAAAACGAGTGACACGAACGTCAAGAACGTATCGAACGAACTTTAAATCCCGAAATTATATACAATTAGATCTATTTAATTGAAAAGGATTGTGTTCGTTCGTGACGTTTTTTTAACAAATAATTCGTTTATCTGTTGTTTCCAAACACTTTCGCGCGTAAAATTCAAAGTATGCGAGGAACTAGAACGAGACTGCGATTAAACATGCACAGGGAATAACAGTAATTTAATGAAAACTTCGTAACTGCACGTGGAATGATCGCGTGCCTGTGCTCCGAAGAAAACCTAAGTGGTTGATTAAAAAAGAGGAAATTAATAATCCTAATTCCTGGCACCCTCTCGCATAAATTAAAGACGTTAATCGCCATAACTCGTGAAATGGTACCCATAGGTCAACAAGAACTTAACACCGTAGAATTTAAACGTCTAATTAAGGATTCAACTATCATGTACGAGTGTACAATTCGCCTCGAAACGACCGAATCTTTGCGAAATATGCATCTCCCGCGAGTTTTATTTCGCACGCGATAAACGCGATTCTGCGAAAATAACTTTCTTGCATTCTAACTTTGATCGTTTACTCGCGTTTCCGTTCTGTTTTAATTTCAAACTTAATTGAACACTTTCTAATTCGATCTCGAAGGCAGATTAATTTATATTTCCTGGAACAATCTATTTAGCGAATTAATCAAGGTAGCAATTCGTTTGAAATATCATTTTGTTCGCTTTAATACCATTTTCGTTCCAATCTAATAATTACATTCAAACACGTTTTTGATTTTATACTTTATCTTTAAAAGATCTTTAAGAATTAACACGAGTGAATTCTCTTTGCGTTTATTCTTAGAGTAGAATAAGGTAGTTCTTTATTTTTCTAGGCTGAATAACTTGAAACGATATTCAAATTTTGAATTTAATTTTCTGAGTTGCTCGAGTTAAGATCGAATGAAAAAATAGAGAAGATGTTTGAAAGAAAGTAATTATGTAAATAAAAGCAAAATGTTACCCGCGACTCCAACGACGCAGAAAATAATCGCGCAAACAGCTGCTGTGATAGTCACTGGCCGTGGAAAGTGCTTCATACTCTCACCTTCCAATCCGAAAATTGTGCCATTTGTCGCAGAACCATTCATTTTTTTATCGTGTTTATGCGCTCTTCCGTCGTGGTACGTTTCCAGAAAGTGAAATGCAAAACGGAGTAAATACACTTTCGGGGAAAGAAAAGAACGCCATTATGAAACACCTGCTTTCAATACCATCAACAGAGTAAAATATTATAATGAAACTAACTGTGATTTATTAAATGAAAATAATAAGTTAGTAAATCACATAAACATTAAGAAATTATTTCTGCATCCGTGACTGTACAATATTTTACTTACGTTCTTTCTTTGGTATCGGTCATCGTGCCCAATCGAGATCAGAACCTATTTGTAACTTCATCATCATCCTCGTTCTTAAGTCTTATTACACCAGGTACCGTTTAAACTTAATAATAAAACTGGCCTTCTTAGGGAATATTTTTCTCGTCGTACTTCAATCTTTGTATCGTAGTCACCACGGATTTGCAGAGCTCATGTTTGTTTAAGCAACTTCCTACGAACCTCGTCAACTCCATGAAAAGTACTTCACCGATATCTGCAAGGAAACACAAATCACTTAGAAATTAAACTCCAATATTTAGGCGACGACGTGTTCTTCATTTAATTTCCTTTTAAAATTAATAATTTCCAGATCATCAAATAATTCATTCATACAAGATTCAATAGAGAATAAGTATCGAAGACTAGGAAATAAACTGAAACTAGAATGAAACTTTTAAAACTATGTATAATAGTTTGAAATTTTTTACTTGTTTATACATAGTAAATATAGAAATGATTCATCGATGCAAGGTTCGATAAAGAACAAGTTTTAAAACTGACTACGTATAATAGTTTGAAATTTTATATTTGTTTATATATAAAATAATGGACGAAGGATAGTAGGAGTCAAAAGAACACTAAGAAAATAAATATGGTAAAGAATATTGTATATTACAAATATATTAACTATTTCTTTAATGACGAATTAATGAAGTATAGAAATTTGTCGCAGATGCAAATGGCCGATTTGCATGCTTTTGAATGGTTTGTTCGACGAGTCCCAAACGTCCCGGCCCAATTAAATACGCAAGTGCATCTTAGCGAGCCACTTGAATTCGCTCTTTTCGCGTCTTCTTTTTGTTCGTTCGTTAGCGGCAGTTAGCTCCACTCGTGTCTTTCTCCGATTTTCTTGCCGACGATCCCGCGACGTCGAAAAAACGGAACTGGAATCCCTTGCCTCCGCGCCGAAGAGGCCTTCCGACCCTTTCGAATCAAAGAAACCACCGAGAAGATGGGCCACGAACTTCTTACGATAGCGGCGTCTGAGAACTATCTTCGTGAACTTCGACCTCCTATTATAGAAAGTAATTGATTTTCACTACTTTCCTCGAAACTCATTTTTCTTCAGCGCCCGTGGCCCTTCCTTCAGTCACCCTCGAAACGTCTTAAAATCGTGAATTTTTGCAATATTCTCTTTTGAAGAAAAATTACATCGACTCTTCCCTGTTATAAAAGTTAATGAAAATTTTTGTAAATTTCGAACACGTCTTGTCGACAATTATTTGTTCTGTTTCCTTTCAGACGATGGAACCTTTACACTTCTTCCAATGACTCTGAAAATATCACGATGTACATAAACTTCGTGAACAAGATAATTCGCTGTTTCTTCTTCTTCCACGATTAAGAATGTTCCCTTTAAAGAAATCACCGAAGCCTTTGAACTTCTTGCGACAGCCGAGAAATATCGTGATCACGGTGAACTTCGACCTCGTCTTATTGATATTAATTAATTTCCACCGCTTTCTCCGCGGTTTTCTGGATTTACTCGTCTCCTCGAGGCGAAACGGATCCGCGCGAAACGTCCTGAAACCGTTGAACGATTTTACTAACCGAATCCATAAATCAATTTCACTTATCGTTTCGATTGTTGACGCCGAACGCATTATCGTGTTTCTTCTTTTCTACCATCCGCGAGCGTTCGTCGAGCAGTCTCGTGCGGATTTCCACGCTGATCGAATAAATTCTCCATCGTCGATGACAGCACGAAATTTCGGAAAAAACGTTTCACGTTATCACTGATTCGATTCGAGCTAATTTGTCCAGTTTTCGTTTCACGAATCGTCGAATTTCCCATCGATAACGTTCAAACAAATTGCAATCGAATCGTACGATAAGATTGCACCACTTCTTCCAAATTTTTATTTCACTTTACACAAAAAAAGAAATTTCTTCAATATATTTATTATAATTACCTTTGTCGATCTTTCGATTCAACCGTTCGACGCGTCAAACTTCCTCAAACCCGTTCGAGAATAATTCCCCAAAGACTTCATCTCTTCCTCAGACTCTTCGAAGCAGATCGTCGATGATATTTCGATAAAGTGAATTTTACGGTATGCGAATAATTGTTATATTTTCTTTGATTTGTCTTTAAAAATGTTTCGTTACGTATTGTTCGCGATTTCTGTGGAGGAAGCACACGCGCGCGAAGACGAGAGTCGCGAACTCTTTTCTACTAGCTTCCGCGACGAGCGCTCTTCTGGGACTGACGAACTCCGACGATCTTTAACTCCCCTTTTACAACGAGTACACGAGGCCTCCTTATCTGGCACTTGCACCGCTCCCGCGTTTGATCTGGTTTGCTCAAGCACCACTGCCGCCAAGGAATCATAATTAATTAATCTCTTTGGGGATCATTGTTAGGCTGACGAGCATCGTTCGAGCGCAATCGAGCGAAATGATACTCTCTCCGTATCACGGCCTGGCCACGGTGAGAATTTTCGCATCCTTTGATACTCTTTAGAAGCAGACTTGGGACCAAAGGGAAGGCTGCAAGGATCTACAGAACTTCATCCTTTCAAGTATCTTTTTCCAAACACTAAAATCAACTTTTGCTAAACGGTTGATTGAATTATTCTTGCTAATGTTCAAATTGTTCTCTTCTGCAATTTTTTATAACTTTACTATAGTAGGAGGACCTAATTATTATCAATTATGACTTCATTGCATTGCTTTTATTATTCATTTATCAAAAACACAAGTTTTTTGTATCTGTTATTATTCAGAAATTTTTATTTATAAATACGATGGTTAAGGAAGCATTGTGAGACTCACTGCTGGTCCAATTATTGACCGCTGAGTAAAAATTGAATTCTACAATTGATGAACAATATTTGACAATACTTTTATATCGTTTATAGAGAAAATAAATTATATCATCGTATATATTTATTGAAAATCTTTAGTTAATTATTGTTATGGGTTATGTACTTCCATATTGTGGTGGTAGCATTTGTGGATCAATATTTCTTCCCTCGATATTAATACTAATACGTTGACTGTCATGGTGGTCACCGGTGACCGGTACTATAAACATGTAACTTGTTACAAAAATTATTTTCTTATCGTTATTTCTTGACACAATTTATCCAACTAATTTAATATTATTTGTAGCTTATATTAGAAATTGTACAACATTATATCTTTATAATAACAAATATTAGAAATTGAGAAATGGGTTTTGTATGAAAATATAATTTCTTTTTTTCTCATGTCGGAGGTTCATTCGAATAATTGAGAATCGTACTGTACCTACAAGATGCATATTTAACATTGCAAAGTGTAATTTTATAAGAAGCTTCTGAAGTGTCTACTTCTTGGAAGAAATTAGAAAATTCTTCCGGAATCTAAATTATACCGTCGATGAACATCAAATACACACATCGTAGCAGCTATTTGGATCAAATGTTCCACAGTTTGAACAACTTTCTTCATTATTTGTCGAGCAAGGAGGATATAATCGTAATATTGATGCGTATTCAAGTACAATCATTACACAAACCCGGAAAAACAATTTACTATGCATCAAATTACGTATTTAATAATCGTCATAAAAATAAATAGTATTCATCTCTGTTACAATTTTGAAGCAATTCCATTCTTTCAAAAGTCACGCTATGAGTTCACAATTTTAATCAATACGTAATTCAATATAAAAAAAAACAACAGTTGCACAATTAATGCTACTTATAATGCTAATTACACTTTGCACTTACCGCGAGAAATCGTATTGCGCTAAGATCTTCAACCCCTCCAGAAGTCACGGCTTAGAATTCTCAATTTTCATCGATATATTAATCAAAAAAAAAAAAATTGTAAATATCTTTTCGTAGAAGCACACGGGTAATCCTAGATAATCGTGTACGATATCGACGGTTTCACCGTGTATTTTTAGCGTGAATTGGTCATAGAATGCACTTTACGATTACTTTGTGGTCGCATCGTCAGTTAGATCGTTCCGCGTGGCGCGCGTTTCTCAGACTGCCGGCTGTTCACGATGGTACGATCGGACCAATGCCGAAAATGGGCGATTGCCCGATGGTCGAAACACGATTGGCACGTGCTCGAATTAATACTGTCAACAGGACGAAATGGGGTAACGACAAATAGCAACGCGTTCGACCACTTCGTCCTTTCCACGGACCATTGATTTATCGATTAGTTTGGCCAATCGAACCCTTCCGCGACTATTGATCATCAATTTATGGTCATCTAAACGTAGCTTACCAAATGGAAAATTTATTTAGCGACTGGCAAACAAACGAATTATACGGAAGCTCTTATCAATTTACTGGCCTTAAGGGTTGATTAAATTGTTCGGACGTAATTTTTATTGTTAGCTTCCTTCGTGCGTTTATTTTAAATTATTCCACGTTCTGAGCAAAAAGGGTATGTCTTTACATATCACATTTCTATAAAAATCCGTACGATTTCCTCGTTTCAACGAAATGTGCATGTATAGTATGGTAGAATGTATAGCACGTTACTTTTATTTCTTAATTTTTAAAAAATATCTATACCTTGCATTAAATGGAAAATAAGAAATATGAAATCAGTAAAAATGTGTCACAATTATTTAAAAACAATTTTTACTAACAAGGGGTACGAATTTCATGGTATTTCTTCAAATCTTTATTTTTTCATGCACATTTACTTTGGAATGAGTTTGTAAGCGTGCAATGAGTGTCGTTGCAGGGCGACTTTTTTCATAAATAATTTGAATGAAAGTTAACCCCTCCTTCATTGACGTTAAATTGTAAAGATGGCTGCAGAGACGACTCGCAACCGCGTAGGCCAGCTGTCGGTAGACGGCACAAAGCCGGATCCTAACAATCGAAAGGAGCGGTCCCACAAACAAAACTCACTCCCTGCACCCCCTTTCATCCCCTCGATACGTCTCACCTGGCTTTCCACCCCGCGATTAAAAGTAATCTCGAGAAAACGAGTCCCGGCCTCGCTCTACGGGATAAGAGTCCTTTTTATTTACACTCGTTTTCACGGAAATAATCACGTATGTTTCTGCGTATTAATTTATCCGATAACTTCAATTATTTTTAATAACGATCTGAAAGAAAAATACTCTTTCTCTTAACAGAATAGCGTGATGGTACTTTAATTGCCTACTTTGTTCGCGTTTAACTTTATTATTCCTAGCGAAATCCTGGAACGAAAAGTGTTTCGAAAACGGGGGTCTGTTTTGCATAACCAACCCCGATTAGACCGGTTCGAGTAACCTGCCTGGAATGCACCGTGAGAAGATGCATAATTCTTTTGGCCGTTTTCAGGACAACGGAGCCCAAACATAACCTGGGACGAATGGTTCGCGTAATCAGACTGTGCACACAGAGGACCTTTTACCTCGAACCCTCGCTATCGGTACGGCAATATTTCATCTTTGTGAGAAAGTATTCATCTCATTATCTACGCTGTCCCTACAAAAACAATATTAGATTTACATAGCGCTTTACGACGTTGCAGGCCATTTTCGCCAATCACGTTTTAGAAACTAAGAAACACTCATAAACGTTCCTATTATTTACCCAGATATTAAATTAAACTTTGAGAAAATAATTTTATTTGAAAATTTGAATTTGTTGTCCTTTTAAAAAAATGGTAATTTATATTAAATGCCATTTATGGCAAACTTACGCGCTATTTTTCAGCGTCAATTTTAAAAAGTAAAATATTATAACTCATTATTTTTCTTGAACCAAATAAATTATTATAAATTGATAATAGAATTAAATCAGACACCATTGAAATATCGGAGGGTACGTTAATGATTTACGATTACGATAATCGTTGGTAGGATTACATTTTGCTCCGCCGTTAACATAGTTCCCACGTGTTAATTTATTTGTTCGTAATTGTTATTTAGAACACCCACCGCAGTTATTGGCGATGAAACGATCGACAATGAAACCGAGACCGATGCACGCAATGCCGTGATAGAGAAAAGACATTCGCTGTCACAGGGTTAATTAGCAATTTCCTTTATGGCGGCGATTGCACTTTTACATTTCAGCCGGAAAGGCCAGGAATCTGACCGCGCATAAAGTCGACTAATACGCGCCCATAGATAGCCATAATCTTCGTTCAATAAAAATGATCTGCAATAAATCTCTGATGGCAGGTCGGGCGACGATAAGGGCCGTGAATTATGCATTGAAAAACCATACTCTTTGTCGACGTCCAACAACCACGAGGGTGAGACTCCAGCTTATCCCTTTCCATTCCAGCAAACAATTATCTGATTAGGAAATTTAATTATGGAACGTGTATATTCACACGTATACGAAACCTTTAATTCCTAATTTATTAGGACCTTCTTCGATCTTCGAACTTTTCCTTCAAGTACAGTTAAAAAAGTTACTCCTACCAAAATAAAAAATATATATGATAGTACTGTCGAAGTGGATACTTATATTCTTAATTTTATTTGTTTTGTATAGCAATAAATATTTTTATTTTACCCAGGTATATTTTTCAAATAATCCTTCTAGAAAAACAATGTTTATTGAATTTTTGACTCCTCGAATGCAAAGGACTAATCAAAGAACGAAGAGCTCTTGTACCGTTAGAGAAATGATATTTAATTAGATTTACTAAACTATATTTTGCTAATAATTTATATAGTTTTCTTAAAAAATATTAACTCGTGTCCTTTTACATCTTCAGTAATAAAAACCTATTATTATTTTTACCTGTTCGAAATTGCAATTTATTTTCAAGCTTGAATTCCCTATTTTTCCCAAAATTTAGATCGTTCGAGAGTTTTATTTTTATGTAGCGTATCGTTGCTCCGCTATTTCGTCGAATTTTTATTTCTAATGGTAATCTCGAGCGTTGGGCAACCACTGCTGCCTGTTCTGAATGAACTCATTATGCATAGACTTGCGAGCCCATACTCCATTTCGATTCAACAGTGCTATCTATTCACGAAATACTACGGCGTCTGAGCTGGAGTTCTAAAAGCCAAAAGGGCGACTTTAGGGAGAGGTACATACATACGTCGAAATAATAAATAAAAGAATTCTATGTGCTGGGACAGGGATCTTCAACTCACGTTCCTCTATTCAAACTTTCATCAATTTTATTATTATATCATTAAACTCAATCTCCATCAACACGTATCAGTTTAACAAATGCTCTTTTTTTAACTAAAAAAAAAACTAATAAAATTGTAATATTCAGAGCAACGAACAAAATAGAGAAAATCAATTTCGCTTGTGATTTTTTCTACGACGATAATGTACTTCAAGTACGACTGTTTGAGAACAGGATACTTTTACTTTTAGGTTCCAAAACGCATCTCGAGGTTGTTTCGATCGTCGACACTTGATAAAATTATTCAAGTAGCTCGTAGATTCATCTGTTGAAAATCTCTGACGAATCTAGCCGTGACTACTGATTCAAAAAGTTCAAACGCTGATTGGACAGGACACGCTGTCAAGACGTTTGACGAGGGCACCGACCAAAGGGGCGCACATGTAGATCGAAACCAGACTCTACGATAATAAACTATAAATACTATTTTTATAAAGAAGCGCGTTACAGTCGGCGTTCTGGCTGAAACAGAATTTACTACGACCGGAGAAGCTTCTTGTTTCATTGATAAAAGTCACCCCTGACGAAGTATTACGCGACAAATGTTCCCACGCTACTAATTTACGACGCATAAATTAAATTTTTTAAAGGCTACAATTATTGCAGAAAAATGTTAAATACTACAATTTTTAAAAACAACATTAAAAACAATTTAAATATTTAAAATAAATGTTTTTAATATTTGTATTTTTAGATTTTCAGATCCTTTTCAATTCTTTAAATTTTATATTCCACGATGAAATTCCTAATGGTAGAAAAATTTTATCATACACGTTTTCGTATTTCCGGTTTGTCCTTACCGTCTTTTTACCAACGATAAAAAAGCAAGCTAAGGAAATACTGTTATCGTACTTAAACCTACAGACTTTTATATTTGTCCATTATCCAAATTTTATCGTTTCTACTGGGATAAGGATTTTCTTCGACGATGTTTTACGGAATATGAAGCTAGTTCAAATTTCTTGTCAAAGATTACCATTACTATTGTCAATAAGTAATCACAAAAATCAAAGGAATTTTAAGATCTCATACCACAAAACATTATTATATTCTTCGTTATAGAATTCGTTGAAATTGTTTAATATTCATAAGTACGTGGCTTGAAAATTCAATTTCGATCGTTTTATTTCTTAATATTTCACTCTTGCTATTGATGAAGTTATTTAAAACTGAATCGAATGGAGTGATAAATTCTGATTGCCCGGATTATTAATTTTTCAATTTTATTTATTTCTCTAATATATAATTCTCTATCGTCGCATAAACGTAACTACTTATTAAATACAATTAAAAACTTTTGGTTTAATAATAGCGTTGTTCCATTTTTTGCCCGTGCAAGAGCGCATATTCGATAATGGCCACCGCTAACAATATCAATACGTCGATTATAACTAAAATATCGATCTATAAATATCTATAATCATTTTCCATTACGGAATTCTTTTTTATATATTTCCAACGCCTCCCTGAATCTCTTCGATTGTTAACTCCAGATTTTCTTCACCTTCAAAAACCGCATATCATATCAAATTTTCAACATACATTACACTTCCCTCTGAAATTCTCCCATACTGAACACAAAACGTATGCACGTGCGTGCAGTTGTTCATACGGGTATATATATGTATTAAAAATATATGAAATTCATATTACAAAAGTTTTTATTTAAACGTAAACCTTCGTAAACACGTAAACACGTTTATTATTTATTATTAAAAGAACATGTATAAAAAAAAATGCAGTTTGGCGAAAAGACATATTGTATATTTACAGGCTATTGAAATTAGAAAATTCTATCTACCTTGCGTTAACTATTGCACAGTGTCTCGTATATATTATTTATAAATGAAACGTAAATATACCGTATAAGTACAGAAACTTATTTTGTAACGATCGAATCTATTGTGCGTGAAATGTCGATGTGGATGTCTTAACTCTGCGTTACAACTAGTTCAGTCATTTCTTTTTTCTCGAGTAATATTCGGCTTTTGCAGTGCTAAGTTGCAATGAAAATGATTCAGTTGCTATTTATTAATTTCCGAATCGTCGACTAGTGATCAAACTGTACTGTCAAGAACTTAAACGCCCGCTTGAAATAAATAATAATCATTAATAAAATAACGTTAGTAATCGTTGGAATTTTAATTGGTCGGTTCACCGATTTAATCGAACGAAACGCTAATAAATAATCGCTGACACTGAAAGCGATTACTAGTATCGAATTATTTAAAAGTTCGACAAATTTTTAATAACGCGCTGTCTATTGAATCAAGCGACGCCGAGGACGCGGGATGGAATGGCATTTATGCTCTTATCAATTCGTTTTAAACACACATCTCTGACTCATCCGATCAATGATACTCTCTGCAAATTTCTCCTTGCCTTTTCGTGAGTGGTTCTCAAAGTAAGCATCGTTGTCGCAAATTTATTTCATGTCATGGCATAAAAAATATAAATACAAGTATGGCGATGTTAAAAAAAAATCTTGCATAGTTTTGGATCATTTTCACGCTGTGATAAATTCGGAAAAGAGAATTAAAAAATACGATCCGTTAAACTTTCGAAAATTTTTGTATAAATATATATATATTTGTTGTAGACATACGCTGTATGTCTCTAACGATTAAATGGCCCCTTCGTTTGCAATTATGGCACTGGAAAAATAACTCCAAATTCGAAGCTAAATTCGCGATACGTTTGTAGGGTATTGCTCTCGTTTAAAAATTTATTTTATTCGTCTATACCCTACGTTTCATCTTCTCCGTAATTTTTATGGCGATATTCATACTTTCTCTTTAAAAAAAAAACTGTTTAACGAAGCACCGACCTCGTTGATATTTTCAAAGGCGTTCGAGACCGACGCTTTGCGAAAGATTCGGATCCAAAGAGTATAAAAAATGTTACTTGTTAAAACAAAAGAATACGAAGGTTCGAAAAGAACATTCGTCGAACTTCGATTTCGTAAAGAGCAATCGAAAGTTTCGATCAACGTTTCATCATTGCGTGCTCTCAAGATGTGCACTGCCTGTACTGCTGAGCCTTCTGCTCGATCTCCTTGAGATGCTTCTCCATCTCGTCGGTCAACGTGTCGACCTCGATCATCAGATCGCTCAGCATCTTCTCGTTGTCCCTGTACACGCTCTCCATGCCGTCTAGATCCTTCAGCTTCGTCGACGTGTCGGCCGTGAGCTTGGAGGCCCTCTGGAGGAACTCCTTCGCCCTCAATATATTACCCTTGCTCTTGTTCACTCTCAGATCCAGCGACTCGTCCACCCGTTTGTAATCCTCCCCGAGTTTCCTCGTCTTTACGTCGACGGCCTCTGCCTCCTCGCCCACGTTTCTAGCCTGATCACCGATCACCTGAGTGAGCGTGTAGTTGTTCTTCACGGACTGCGTCTGCAGCTGCCTCAAACGGGTCTCCAAACCATCGACAGTCTGCGTGGTGCTATTAGCTTGCATCTGCGCGCCTTTGGTCACCTCAGAGATCTCCTCCAGGTCCTTCTCCGACCTCTTCACGTCGCGTTCCGCCTGATTGATCGCCGCCTGCGCCAAACCCTGAGCTTTCTCAGCCTCGTTCAGTAACACCACCACCTTGTTGGCCAGAGTCTGTTTCTCGATGGCGTCCTTCTTGGCCTCGTTCGCCTCCTCCTGCAGATTCGTAGCCAGAATAAGATCGTCCCTGGTGTCAGCGAGGATCTTCTCCGAATCGGTCAGAGAGCCCACGATGCTCTTTATGCGGCTCGCCAGGTCCTTGATCTCGTCGGGCTTCAGCTGAATGTTCTTGGTCAGCACCTCGTTCGCCAGGTCTCTGATCATCGCTGGCGTCGGTTGATCTTCCTCCAGCAAGTCTCGTATCCGTTTGTTCACGTCGGAGAGGTCCGTCGTCACCCTGTCGGACAGATTGCGCGTGTTCCTGGCGAAGTTGAAGGCGTTCTGGGCGTTCGACCTAGCCGTCATCGCGTCTCGCTTCACTTGAATCATCTGAAGAAGAAAAGGACAGTAACAAGGATTTAGTTCTCAATTTTGTGATGTAACTGGGTTAACCAATGCATTAGTAAATTGGTAAATTTAACCCTTAAGTGGATTCTCAATCTCAACTGAATTATTTTATTTAATGTTGATTTTTACCAAATTGATAAATGGAAATCAATTTTCCTCCTTTCCTTTATTTTACATATATTATACAATATTAGTTTAAACTTGTGAAGGATCCCAGTTGCCCCAATAATCCACTTAAGGGTTCATCAATAGAATCCCCACAGACTTTCTGATAAAGATAGACCTAACAGAAGCTTTGAGAAAATAAAAAGAAGCATTCAACCTGCCCCCTAACAGACCTGTATACTAATAGTAATTTCTTTTTAGATGTTCGTTCTAGATCAACCTCTTCTCTTGAAAAGTATTGATAGTTTAAATCCGTAACTTCTAAAGAAGTCCAAGAACGTACGTTACGCAACAGCTGTTCAGCCTCTTCCTTGTGAGTCTTGATCTTATCCGCCTGTTTCTTGGCCACGTCCAAAGCTTGGCTGGCCTTCGTGAGAGCGCCATCGTTACAGGACCATCCTCCGCAGAAACCGCAATCCGCTCCGCCGCAGACGCTGCTACAGTCCGTGACATTGTCCCCGCACATATCGAGATTCAAGACCGGCATAATCTCGTCGAACGTCTTCAGTTTCCGGGCGATCGCGTCCAGGGACTCTTTGTTCATTTCCCCTGCGTTCTTCACGGAGTCGAGGTTCTTGGAGAGCAGAGTCTCCGTGTGCTTGCTGAACCTCTCCGCGTCCGCTAGCACGTTCCCGGTGTCGTTCGCCATTTTCTCCGCCTGCCTCGACTGCTCCGCCATTTGTTGCGTAACGTTCAGAGCGCCTTGCACGTTACCCTCCTGCAGCCTGGTCGCGTTTTCTTTGAGATCGGCGGCGGTCTGGTGCAGATTGTTCGTCCTGTTCTTGAGATTCTTCAGCGCCGCGTCGCCTAGGTTCACTCTCTGGCTGACGTTCTCCAGAAGACTGTTCGCTTCTTCCAGTTTCTTGCCAGACTTCGAGACGTTCTTGTTCAACTCTATGGTCAGGTCGTTCAGCTCGTCCAGATCCTGGCTCCTGATGGAGGCGTTGCTGATTAACGCCCTCACCTGAACCAAAGACTCCTCCATGTCGTCGAATTCCTCGCTGTAGACGCCAGTGGTCCCCACCTTCTGGATCCTGGATGCCTCCTCGATCACGAGGTCCGTCTTGTTCTTCAGCTCCGTCAGCGTGATGTCCCAATTGTCGAAACACTCGCCGCAGGGTATGCACTGGGGCGCGTTCCCGTAAAAACCTCGATAACACTTGTCGCATTTCTCGCCCCCGATTCCTGTTCTGCAAACGCACATCCCGGATTCCCTGTCGCATTGCTGGCTCGACGAGCCGGACAGATCGCAGTCGCAAGCGTAACATTCGACGTTCGGGTTGCCCCAGTAGTTCGTCTGGCATTCCTTGCACTGCCTTCCGCCGAAACCGGATCTGCACTCGCAGGTGCCGTCGAAAGGATTGCATCTAATCAAAAAAAGAACGTTGTCAGAGCTCGTAAACAAATTTCTGGTGGCTGTTGAGATTAAAACGCAAACCTATCGGAGACGCTTCCAACGGCGTCGCACTCGCAAGGGTCGCAACCTTGGCCACTGGCGATCCTCCAATGGTTTTCCTCGCAGGAATCGCACAGTTGACCGATAACGTGGGGCAGACAAGGACACTGGCCGGTTCGGTGGTTGCAAGGACCACCAGCGTTGCTGTCGGTCCCCAAAGGATCACAACCGCATACTTGGCAATCCTGTTCGAGCGCATTGCCGTAGAAGCCGGCCTTGCAAATCTGACAATTCGCTCCGTCTGTGTTGTGCAGACATTGCAAGCAACGACCAGTGTTGGGATCGCAGTTCCCAGGTCGACGGAGGTCCGTATTGTTGTTGCAATTGCAGGGTTCGCAGCTGCCGCCGGGAACCTCGGGATTCCCGAAGTAGTTCTCCGCGCAGGCTTCGCAACGGGGGCCGGTGTAACCGTCGTAACACTCGCAGATCACGTCGTGGGTCATCGAGTCCAGGGAACAACTCTCGGCGTAAGAATGGCCGGAATCCAAGGTTCCTGAGTTAGAACATATTTTAAATTAAATAATTGGCCTCTAGAATCTCCCGTTAAAATTTGTCCCATTTACCTGGACAAGGACAGGCTCTGCAAGGTATGTCCACTCCGAGTCTAGGATCGCCATAGTACGTGTCGATACATCGATCGCAGTTGTGGCCGGTCGTATAATCACGACAGTTGATGCACGCTCCGGTTTTCGAGTCGCAGCTTTCGGCGTGGCCGTTGCACTCGCACCGTTGGCAATGTGGGAAATTCCAGAATCCAGGCTCGCATTGTCCGCAAGTTCTACCGTAGGTATTCGGTCGACACTTGCACCGACCGGTCTCCACGTCGCAAAAATTGTCCAGAGCTCCTACGCCATCGCAGTCGCACGAAATGCAACCTTCCGGATCGAAACCGTAAGTTCCCGGCGCGCAGCGATCGCATCGCCTGCCTACGACGTTCGGTTTGCAGGGACACGTGCCCCCATAGTTCTCGCAAAGCAAACTGTGAGATCCGGTTTCGTTGCACTCGCAAGCTGAAATCGAGAATCACGACGTATTTTTACCACCTTCTAACTGAAATCATTAACACGTCTAAAGAAGATAGCAACGGTTGCTTACAATGGGCGCCGTCGTACACGAAATAACCAATGCTATTCTGGTACTTTTTGCAGACCTCGGGAACGTTGGTCCACACGGTAGCGATGTCGTTGAAGAATTCACTGCAGTGATACGCTTCGTATTCTTGACGACGGAGTTCACCGATACCGGATGACTTGAAGAATGGTATGTCGTCTATTCTCGGTCTTAAAACGATCTAAACCATCGACAGAAAAATTAAATGTATAAAATTATATCAAACTGTTCGTTGTTGATTCGCTATAAAATGTAATTTGTATCGAGTAAATGAGTGTTTGGGGTGTCCTTGCTCGATCGAGCGCTTGCGAGAGAAATGGTCCCTCTGGCGGCGAGTACGGGAGGCAATGGACCCCTCAAGTGTTACGTACGATTCAATAAAAATGATCAGAATGTTTCTTACGGAGTCGACTAAAATGGAAGCCGAAGGTGTCTCCGTGTGGCCTTGGAATTTACGGAATTGCAACAGGAGATTGTATCGTTTCCCTTCTTCTAAGCATATGGAGGGTTCCGCGACGACGCTCCTGGATCGTACTGGTAACTGTGCCCACAACGTGTCGTCATCCGGTCTCCAGTCGCCGCAAGGACCGCTAGGATCCACTGGATCGTTCCTCTCGATGAATATTTGAACGTTTTCCCAGACCCCAGGCTGAACGGGCTCGTAACGTATGATCACATCGTAAAACAAAGTTTTACGTATATCGTCGATCGTGAAATTCAGCATCGAATCCTCCAACGCCTTCATGAATCCTGTTCCGGTCCAAGTACTGTTTCTGCCATCGCGGTATGGTTCTCTGATCACCACTTGGCAGTTCTGTCAAAGTAGCAAATACATAAATATATAAACAATTGTGCAAGCTATGCACTTATAAAAAATGGTATACTAATCTCTTCCATTTTCATCGAAAACTAAGAAATAAATGAATATATTTTAAATAAAAAACTGATTACGTCTGTAGCCCTCGATAACTCGCCCTCGTAGATCAGGAAGTCCAGAGACCCGGTGTAGTAACTCTGCTCAGGTTGATTGCAGGTTCTGCCGCTGATGTGGGGCCTGCAGCGACATTGGCCGGATATGACGTCGCAAGAATTCTCGTAAGAGCCGCCTGGATCGCAGTCGCACGGCTTGCAACCGTCTGGATCCTCCGACAAGCCCCAATATTCCGGAATACATTGGTTGCAGTCGCGAGCAGTAACAAAACGTTTGCAGGTGCACTCGCCAGTGACCATGTTGCATCCGCGATTGTCGATGGTGCCCAAGATATTGCAGGTACAAGCTAAGTAGAAAATAATCTCTTGCTGTATATTTTTCTAACTGATTTTGCAATAAACTTTCACACGGAACGCACAAACCTTGACAACCCTCCGGATTTTCTGGGTCGAAGTTCCAGTAGCCATTTTTGCAACGATCGCAGCGACGACCTTCCACGTTCGTTTTGCAGTGGCAACGACCAGACTCGTCTCCGCTGAGGGGATCGGTTCTGGAGTCGCAGATCCCGTCGTCCAACGAGCCAGAGAGATCACAATCGCAGGCTACGAAGCAAAATAGTAAGTAAAGTTAATATTAAACATATAGTACTCTAAACAAAGGAAAATGATATATGGGATCCTAGAACTCACACAGACAAGCCTCGGGGTGCGATATGTCCTTCGTGACGTCGTGATAATAAAACGGTTTGCATTGTTCGCAGTTCTGACCGCGAGTATTGTGACGACAGTCGTCGCAGACTCCGCCCGAGACTCTTCCTGATCTCTCGTAAACGGTTTCGTCGAAGTGACACGAGGTGGAATGATTATTGCAATTGCACGGCCTGCAAGCGTTCGTCTGTTTGCCAACGGCTGGCTTCCACGGTAGATCGTTATAGAAATCCTGACATTTCTCACAGTTGAGCCCCGTGGTGTTGTGGGTGCACTCGCACCTACCATGCACCATGTCCTCCTCGTTCTGGACACCAGGTAAAGGAAGACACCTGGACGCGTGGCCATAACAAGAGCACGATCCACGAATAACCATGTTCGAAATAGCATAATAGTATTTCTCGCGAATTTCCGCTCGATCGTCAAGGAGATCGTCGCCCAAAGTGTGCAATCTGGTCATGTTGATACGAAGATTCGTCATTTTCAACAGGTTTTGTACTTCCTTTGAATAGGGATTATCGATCTCCAAGTTTCGAGGCAGCACTCTGAAAATACGAAATTAAATTATGAGTTTGCATACAGTATCAATTAACTCGCTGGCGTTGACGTTGTGGGGTCCATCGCCTCGCGTAATTTCCGCCAGAGGGACAGTTCTTCTCGCAAGCGCTCGATCGACCCTCGATTCGTATATATACGCTCTTCGACCGTCTTCTCTCCTTTTTCATCTTTCATCGACGGAACCCCATAACGTTATCAACGTCCACGCGCTTGGGTTATCCGCTGTTTATGTTAGATGTTTTGCTTACCTAAAGATAACGTCACCTTCTGACGATGGCGCCACGGCAGAGTATCGCGTTTCGCAGATAACTTCGGTGAGTCTCTGGGGTGGATTGATGGAGACGCCAGGGAAGTACTGGTCGCAATTATGGGCGAAGTATCGATACACTTTCCAGGTCTTTCCGAAATCGTAGGATCTCTCGATCAGCATCGCCGCGGGTCGGAACGTTTTGAAACGGATGATGATGTGAGTGAAGTGAAACTCCGCCTCGAGATTGAAACGTATCGAGACGTTCTCGACGCCATTTTCCGCTTGCCACCAGCCCCTAAAAATAAAATAAATTGAACCACCATTTATTTAAATACAGATTGAAATTTGGTAGCAATTAAAAATTGTTGATTTCTTTCTTACGTGCTGCCGATGTTCTCGATGTTGTGTCGTTGTTTCGGTAACGATGCATCGCAGAAGAAGCACTTCTTTCGATCTTTCAGATGCGAAACGATGCAGTATCTTTCGGGACCGTGAAGACCGCAAGTGGACGACGCTTCCAATCGATGTTTACGACCGATCAACAGGTTTCCCGTCGCGGGGTAACAGGAACTCTGCTCGCAGGGATGCTTCTTCTTCGCGTGCGAGCCTAGGAACAACGAAGACAGTCAGAGAAGTCGCGGTACTCGAGGAAAAGGATCGAGTTAGCTACGATATTTGGTTATCTCCGATCCCTTCAGCCAGTTCGAGTAACGTTACATCACCAGCTACGGAGGCAACATTTGTTATTCACACCGGTAAACAACGGTTAACAGAACTCCCAGAGACCGTGTGTTAGTCGTCCACGCGACACCACCTCAACCAAAATTACACAAGGCAAGGGAAACGAATATCGCGTGTCTCGAATCGTCTTTGACCGTTTCGCCGCGTTATTGTATTAAAAAGAGATCTTTGTTAACAATTATTATTCGAATTAATGGAAGTATAATCGTTACTACACACTTTGTACAAAGTCTTCGTCGTAACCACGATTTTTTAACACTTTGATGGGTAATTTTATCGCTGAGAAAATCGCCGTAAATATCATTAGATAGCTTTCTATAAAAATTACAAATATAGAGATGTAAGTGTACAAGATAAAACTAGAACCTGCACAAAAAAATAAGTTGAATAAATGGCGACTGGAACAGTGAAGTCACGTACACGTGACAGCGGCCGTCAAAGTGTTGGGCATCGTTCAATCAACAAGTGTAATATTAAAGATTGACATATCATGTATTTCATCAATGTTTGCACTTTGTTCTTATTGTTAAAAGTCTGTCAAAAAATCGTGGCGACCATTGAAAAGAAACAGTCACAAAATTATTGACACGTATGGCTGTTGCTGAAAATTTGGTGACACGCTGTCTACCATTCTTCGCGTAAAATAACGCGCGTAGCAGAAACAAAGGAAGATTAATTTTTGTATGCAACGTTATCATGCTGGTTTTAATTGTTCTGTGGAACCAGCGAGAATGCTACCTCTTGGACTAGGAACAGTCTGCCTTGGCCAATTATGGCGCTCTGCCGCCACCTCCGTGGGTGACATATCTCCTCTCTGGACCGATCCTATAACACCCCGTTTTTATCGCGGATGCTTAATCTAGTTCTACGTATTCTTACGTCGATGTTTCAAAAGAAATTGTACCAGAATCTGTTCTCTCAAGGTTTCACACAGGCATAAATATTTTCAGTCTTTTAATTCACTTTCATTTTACTAGAACCTAGATTTCATTTTACCTGGATACATGAGAGAATAAGCTTAAAAATTTGAAAACAATTGGTGCAATCTCGGAGTAATTATAAAGCATAATTTTCATCACTGAAAACTTGTTTTATTCAAACGTACATTGTTTCGTAATACAATTGATATTAAATGTCTTGGTAACGTTGATTCTTTAAATGTATATTTATAGGGTAAAATATTAATGACTGAATCACGTGTTTTCTCTTTTTCTTTTTTAAATAAAGAAATACAACTCACCTCTGACAGGAATTCTTTGTCTGGGATATTGCAGATCCGCAGCATCTAAGGAGAAAAGTAATGTCGTTAGCAGTGGACGAATTCCTGTTTTTTTTTCATCTGGCTTGAAACCGTTTTGGAAACTTAAAAGGGAACTGGATAGTATGATTTCTCGGAGAAAATTTTAAACGAATTTAGAATGTGTAGTTATCAAGTAGCGTTCTACTACCGGTAGAGTTTATCGCAAGGGACAACCGGATGTTTATGATGTAGCGTCTCTGGAAATTATTACAACAAATGAAAACCCTTGAATCGAAGAAAAACTAGCAAAAAGCCTCATTTTGTTAATTTACAATTGCTCATAATTCATCTTTATTACTTTATTATTCTTTGATCATTTATCAATATTATAAAATAATAAATTACCAACCTAAGTGTTTTTTTTATAGACACTCATACATCTTTTAATAAACTTTTGTAATCTTAGTTAATTCATGAATTTTTAATATGCCATTTAATGTCTTCCAGTCTCCATGCTTTAGATTTTTAGATCGAAGTGTATTCGAGCTCTGATTCACCATACAATAAGCCATTCGTCGACTGTTCATTTTTGTTTAAGTAAGAAATTTCACCGCGATTTATTAGTGAGTTTCGAATATGCCATTTAATATCTTCTGGTATTCGTGTTTTAGATTTCTAGGGCGCTTAGATTTTGGAGACCGAAATAAACTTGAGAAGTTCCGAAGAAAGGCGGGTCGAGGGGTCGAATCGCTATCTAATCGTAATGGATAAAGTGTCTTCTCGTAAGAGGAATGAATGGAAAGCCCGTTGTGATCATGAATAGACGAATTCCAACCATGTATTTCGTTCTGAAAGCCGTTCACAATCGACGGAACCATTAACCAGGAAATTTCGTTTTCCTTTCAAAAAGAATTCCAGACGATCTGTGGCCGCGTGAAATTAATTTCCAATGCAAACATTTTCGTTACGATCCATTTATAGTTAATCTTATCTGCAAGTTCTTTCTCGTGTACAACAAAATTTTATTAACATCGTATAGATATACGTGATGTAATATTTTCGATAAACAAAAGGAAAGGATCGCGCGTTGCTGAATATCACTTACTTGAAACAATAGTTAATACGAATAACAATACTGCAAGGATCGCCTGATAAGAATTTATTTGAGCCATTTTTTCTCCTTCCCTCGTTTAAACTTTGTCGACCGAGCCTAAGCCATGTGCATTATGTTCCATCTGAAAGCAAAAAAAAAAATGACAACAAAAACAACGTCATGCTAATTTATATTCGCGTAATTTTTTTTAACGATAGCTCAACAAACTCTATATAGTCGAAAGATAAACCTAACGCCAGGAAAGATTAGAAGTCCCTTTCCTTTCAATTCTGCTATATTTTTACTTTGCGTATATCGTATTTGTGTCATAGCCATAAAAGCAACCTAATCGTCTACCGACGCGATTGTTCGTTTCCTGGGCCCATCTGAATGAAGTCTCGAGTTTACGACTTCACTGGAAACTAAAGACCCTTCGATTCACACTCGAATTATCAATTATTTCGCTACGCCGTTAATAATTATTGTAATATTGGTGCTCGAAACATAAACTGGTGTCAAATACTCTGATCTAACAAAAAATAAATGCATCGCTGATTAAGAAACGCAATGGACGAGGACGTTCGAGATAAATATAAATAAAAACACGCTCTTTCATTTCGATCACTCCATTTTCGCGTTCAATAAAATTCATCAACTAACCAACTCTAATTTCACAAATATTTATCGTCTACGGTTCAACGACCGTGCAAAACCGGTGCTATTCGCGTATTCGGAGCGTTAGATATTTATCAATAGCTAAATCTTCGTTTTAAACAAATATTTGCGAGAAACTTCTGGAAAGCATAAATCTAATCGATAAAACTACCTAGAATGAATTTGTAATTATAGTTTTCGTTGATCTGAGTAAGCATGCCTTTTATTAAAGTTGAAAACATCTACTTGAATATAACTAAAAAGTATTTTGTCGTGATATCATTAGTTATATCTTTATTCCTCGTCGTAGAGGATTATTACGATAGAAAACCTTGATAAAGACATGCTTGTTTAGACTAACGAGGAACTCAATAAACAAACAATTGCTGGAATGTAAATATGTTTCTATAGAACGTGTTAAGATGAAAGAAACCCTCCGTTGTATAGGAATACTTCGTTTAATGGTACCTGTCTATAAACAAGTTAAACAAATTCGCGCTATCTTGAATGCTAGATAATCAAATATTTGTTGTACTTTATCTTTTCAGCGCACACAAACTCGTATTTTCATGATCTGCTCGTATATTTGTATATTTCTTTCTAAACAACAAAATAATGCTTTCTCTCAACCGCCATAACATAACTCAATAACTTGATAATAAGTTTAGCTTTATATTCTAAGACCGGAATTTCTTGCCGAAAAATGGTATTTCCGCTTGTGGGGCATGTGTTATATGTACGTGTTTATTTATACTAGATTTGAATACAAATACTTTCAACTTCTATTAAACTCACGAAGATAAAAGTAAAAGTTCAATTCAATGATATGGACCATTTTTCATTGTCTAATTTATAGGCTTTCTCTTTACAAAATTCTCATTTTTTATTTTAATTCATATACGTAAACTATATTTTAAATTCTAATTCCTGTTGAACGAAGAGCGCGTAAAAAGTTTTTTTATTTTTAATTCGTTGCAATAATGCACCAGATAAAAGAGTCCATCTCGGCGAATACCATATTAAATCAGCCTTCGATCGCGAAGTTCTGCGTCTGAACGTCAAACATCGTGCAAACAAACGCACCGAGGAACGTACATACAAAGAATACTAATAACAGCTCCCAAGAATCGTCTTACCTAACTCGGTGTATCTCCCAGTGCCAGAGTGTCTAGTTTTCACGAACGCTTCTGGCTCCGGAATCCGTCAGATCTCGACGATCCACCACGACGGGGCGATCGACACTCGAAAAAACTGATCGATCGAACGATCCTACGGGCACGATCGATCCCCGCGGACAACGATACACCGAAGCCGATCACTGGATCAAGAATGAACGAGAGCAACGCCGTGGACGCCTGGTGACGCGTCTCTCGCACCGTTTCTCTGTTAAGGAGAACCTCCGACAGCCACCAGTGCCGTACGTAGAATGAGGCTCCTTTCTCGATTGTCGGGACGAGGGTGGTGATACAGGTCGGGGGGAAAGGGCGGGTGGCCCCAGAGAAAGAATGACAGACGCTGAGAGAGAGCGAGTGGGGGAACGATGCGGGGGCGTTACGCAGAAAAAAGGTTTTCGGTGGATTAGCCCCTTACAATTTCGTTGTTATACATGCCCGTTCCTTTTTCGTTATTGTTAACTTACAGGCCTCCTCTGGAACAACAATTAATATTATTGTTACTTCTTTTGTTAGTTAATCGTCTATAACTATACAGTAAATGAATAAATCATTTTATAATATCTTTTTAACATGTATACATGTACATAATAAATTTTCTTCTTTTTTAATTTTACTCGTGGGTGAACGTTTGGAACATTATAGGAACATACATTGGTCTTGATTGTTCTGTAATTTCTACATATTTGTTTTTTTAACCGTTGCATGAATTAAACGTGTAAGTTTACGAAAGTGTAAGCAGAGATGTAATTAGCACGGAGTCTGACGTATCGTATTACGGGCGCAGTACAATAAACCACTGTTCGCAAATGTTATACTTCGCGCACTCTCTTTTATACGGCTCCGATCGTCTTCGCGTACTGATACTGAAATATTTACTATCGTGCTGAAAAAAAAAATACTTCAAAGCCAAAGAACAGAACCGAATTGAAATAATTCTCTTCTGAAGAAATATTCTGTATAAGTAATTATTATAGTATAAATTATGAAACTTATATTAATGAAATACAGTTGCATTAATAAAATGTCGTGTAACAAGCATACAGGAGGATGAGGATCTATCAAAATTAAATTAATTATAATCGATGTGTAACAATAAGAATTGTTTATAATGTGAAGAATATTTAGAAATTAAAGAATCTTCCATGTGACGTTAACAAGCCGTGCCAACGTACCATAATGTCCCTTGCGTCAACCGGTCGGCTGCTGTTCACACGTGCAGCACACTTGTATTCGTTTTCCTTCGGTTCTCTGCAGAATGGTTTATGGTAGGCATGCCAAACCATTGAGACCGGCCAGTACCTCTGTCGTTAACTATAATCGTAGGTCCTTCTATGGTGGCAATTCAACGCCATCGCTCGGGAAAGTGTCTTTGCCTTTTAAATCTGAAAATATGTTGCTCGAATACTAAAATCTTTCATTACTTTCTTCATTATTACCACACGTTCTAAATAAGAAATTGAAATTCATGAAATTTTCATCATTTCGATCAGTAAACCGAAATATTTAGTTTTTATTTAAATGTCTTAGATTTTTAAATATTTTCCATCTGCTCTTTCGTTCTATAAATATTTTGTACAATAACGAAACAAAGAGAACACAGTACAGTGCCCTTAAAAACGAACAGGCGGTATTGAATTAGATCACGTACGCGCGAAATGTGACGAGCGAATGTGATCATCGAAGAGGAAGGAAGAGAAGCGTGGGCGGCGTTATCACTAGAACGTATCCCGGTTATGATAGTAAAGTACCATCGCCTTTCCTCTTTTGCAGGTCTACATTTTTCTTCTCCTCTTTCAATCGACAAGACAACATAGCACCGTCGATTAACGCCATTAGAATCTCATTAAATAACTCGTACATTTAAGAACCAATTTCTTTGACTTGTTAAATGGTCAAAATAATCGTCTTCCCACTCGTCTAGAGTAGATACATTGAAACAATTTTTACTATGATTATTTTTATTTCAATATTACCATACAAAGAAAAAAACAATTTTTGGTCATATGTTGGTCTTGTATACAATATAATGCTGCTGCAGAGGTACAGTAAGAAATATTATGTGTTATTACAATTATACATTAGATTTACTAAGTAAATCTATATAAGATTCTGTTATTAAATCTTCACTTTTTATATTAAACTTAGCCATTAAATCTTGAGCAATCTTCTCTCCAATTTTCAAATCCTGTTCATTTGTTAAAACTACCTGAAATAATAATACTAATAATACATCCCTATCGAATAGTCAATGTTTAAATTATCATATTTTAATTCATTCTAGGTACTGAGAAAGTTCTGTAACATGTTCAGTGATGGTTTTGTTGCTCTACTACAAACCTCTAACTCCATAAAATTTCCTAATCCTTCAACTTCATCAATATGAACACGAGTTTGATCAATCATATATAATTTCCTAGTCTTTTTTACAGTGCCTATGATACCATTTGATTTAGTTAAAATGTTTTTCAGGTTAACACAGGTATCAGCATGATACTTTTGAACATGATTCAAAAGTACCTTTTCATAAGTGCAAAGTTTTGGACCCAATTGATTGCATCTTACATAATAAAGTAATTCCCCTGAACCATCCTATATGAAAAAAAGACAGTTCTTGTATTATATGTCCAATCATATCTCAATTAGTAACTAATAACTGTTATTGAGCTATCACATTCTAATAGAGTATTAATCAAACACAAACACTGCTTAAAACCTCTTATACATAAGTTTAGTTTACCCACACATCTATTTAATTACCTTCACAATTAACAAGCAATATACACAATTTATATACCTATTCTTTAATAAAGACAACAAACCTCCTTTAAAATACGTCATAGATACAGAAAACAGAAAAATATATTAGATGAGACTGAAGTAACTAATAAATAGAAAATTCATTTAATTAGTCGCCTTTAACCAGTTAACTGTGATTGACGAGTATACTCGTCATGGAGAAGTGGCACGATTTTGTGTATTGACGAGTATACTCGTCATGCCTATAAAGTAGTTACCATTGACTATTTAAATTGTAATTTTTGAGAAAAACAAAACATATTCTTAAATTTCAAGATGTTTAGAATATTTTGAGGCCATGGCGGAATAAAACAAGCAAATAAAAAATATAAATAATTTGAGATGAACTTATGCATCCCCGTATGCACCGGCTGAAACAGCTTACCAGTTCGCATAACGAATTTATTTATGTGCAATGATAACGTTTTTTAGATGTTAGCCTAAAAGGGGCAAAGGCAAAAGTCAGAAAGTTGATTTATAATAGGGTTCCTTCAGGTATGGTCAGTCATGGGACAAATGCGTGACACCGACCAGGCGCTGAGCCTATTGATACCTACTGGCCCGAAGATATCTAGCTATCGAGTGGGTTTTTATTGCGTGTTTAGTTTAATATGTATGTAATATATGTGTATGTTAAACAAATAAGTAAATATTACTAATAAAATTGTCAATTTTATAAAATAAACCCATCCTTTTGATCCAATATCTTACCAGCGCAACTTACTCTGTGATTGACGAGTATACTCGTCATGGCTCGATTCTGGCGACACAAAACGGTGCGCGCTCTCAAACGAGCGTGCCACAGTTAACTGGTTAAATAATGGATTATTATTTAAAAGTGACATTATTATTTTATCAGAATTAAATTGTACGAAGTTGAAGAAAATTACTAATAATACTTTGAAATTAAAACAACTTTTACCTCGAATATGCGTAATTTTAATCTTCCTTCTTCTACTTTAAAAAATATATCATGTTGTTTTATAATAATGCTATCTGCATTAGTTAATTGTTTTACTTGAGAAACTAAAAGCTCTGGATCATCAATTTTTGCTTTTATCTCAATATTCCGCATGATTAAATTTTGATCTTAAGACGAAGCTTCCTAAAAATAACAACGAAGGAAAGACTAAAATAACTATACAGTACAGGTTAGGATTTTAGGTGTTGCGGTCGCCGCCTGGCGCCGTGTAGCAGAAGCTCTGGGGGGCGCGAGGTTTAAATCAGATTACACGAATGTAATAGGAAAGGGAGACAAAGTGGAGTCCGCGCCAATTCTACGGTTTAAAAGTGGTTAGAGATTCTTTTAATGACTTCACTTCGGGTCATAGATTAGCCAATAATTTATTGGAGACGGATGTTTGGATAGTCGTGAGCTCCCCTTTGATCCCTTCTCCTAGGTGTGTAATTCCAGGACTTGGGCCGTGCGCTATCGATTGCCGGAAACTGGCTGCGTGCAAAAGCCGATAACGGCCACGTGCCGCAGAGGACCGTTCTCGAGGGATGGGGGGTGTGCCGAGGAACGCGCGTGCGAGAGTTTTGCGCCCGGCCCGAATAAAAGAAAAGACGATCGGGAGGGGCCTACGTGTGGGCTGGGCCTCGACCGGCCGGCAGAGCGACACTTGAATCCGGAGATCGAAAGTGAACGGACGTAGCATTGTAACTTAAGCGAGATCGTACTTGTATTTTTTGAGTTAGTTAATTGAGTTGATTAAAGAGAGAAGCATTTTGAATTAAGAGAGCGGAAGTGTACGAACGGGTTATAATAATTCCTGTGAAATCTTGGTTGTTTTGTTTTATATTCCTTTATTGAGTTAATTAAAGTTCTATTTACGTGTGTTAAAATCGTTTTATCCATTTATTATTTTCCTTATCTAGCGATCTCCGTTTGAAACTCCCGCGTCCAAGGAGCAGAGTGCCTTAGCACTCCACGGGCAGCGTTCCCCGCCGAATTCCCTACGAAGTTTCGGAAATACGCCGCCGGACGCGCAACATAGGAACGCATTTTCGACCATTCTAAATTACACATTAGGAAATTCCTATTAGAAATTTGTTTCTGTCCCTAGTATTCCTTCTCACTCCTGCACTTCGAAGGAGAGAAGCAAGGAAGAAACGTGCGTTCCTAATGAACTTTAATTGTATTCATAATTAACGGTAATTTATTATAATTTTGTAAAAAATATGTGATATATGATGCCATCATATACATATGTCCAACAATGACATAGATAAAAACTAGCATTCAATCGAAATTCTTCATTAGGAGACTAAAAGTCTGTTAGAAGAGTCACACTACAATCAAACATTTATAGTTTCGCTCCTGCAGTTTATGTGCAAATAATTTGTTGCATTGATCTGAAGAATATAACTTTTGCTGTGTAGGAGTAACTAGTGTTGCGTTCTAATCTGCGGTCTAGGGGGATAAAGAGGTGGGTTGGTGCCCGTGGAGCGCTGAACCGCTTTGCTCAAACCGCTCTGCTAACTTCAACTTTAGAAAATAAACCAAGTATTTCTAAGGAATACCTTCTTTTCTCTCTCGACCCTCGACTTTCCCTGCTTGATCGCCCACGTTGAATCTTATACAATAGCGATGTACATTATAAGACGCTGGTTCGTTTGAATCTCGTTCTGAATTTTAACGGAGTTACATGATCGCGCACTTGATAGTCATTAATTAAGTTCCCATTAATTCCCGTCGCGGCGCTATATGTACTAAGCCTAGATCACGCGACAGCGTAACAGTAGTATCTAGTTGGAAACTCGAATATAACATAGAATCTTTTTGAAAGCTATTGTTGGTAGTTCTTGTGTATATGAAAGATATGCCATGTGGTTAAATTGAGATAGGTTAATTACTTTAAAAATATTCTTAATATACCATGTCATTCTTTATTCGAAACCATCAGAATACTGGAGGGAATCAAAGAAAGGTATTTTATGTAATTACACTTCTTTATAAATTCATAAGGAAGCTTATACTTGTGTTCGTGTGTACAGTCTATGTTATATGAAGTCATACAATTTCAAAGAATTGCTAAATATATCTATGAAATACTACTTGTAATAAGTATTTGTGTTAATTCTTTAGTTTAATGGCCATGCCAGTACATTAAAAAGGAAGAAGAAAAGTGGAAAGAAATCTGTAGCTAATGATAATGAAAGTATTGCTAGTACAGATGAAGAATTTGCAGAAGAAAATCAGAGGTGATGTGTTGTTAAAAACAAATTAAATATTTAGTATTCATTTTAAGATATTAATTGTTATTATGATTTACAGAAATAATTCTCAAGAATATGAAAGTGAAGAAGAAGAAGAAACTGCCCAGGAAAAGCGTGTAAGGCTTGCAAAGAAGTATCTTCAGCAAATTGAGGAAGAAGGTAAACTTTTAGTAAGGTATTTCTTCATATCTTAGATATATTTGGTAGCATTCTAACTTTATTTTTGTATACTATAGAGAAAGACAGAGCAGAATTTGAAGAGGGTGCGGTATCAAAGAGGTTACGTGAAGAATATTTAGAAGAAAAAGGACGGTTACGAAAAACTGTAGCATCAAAATACACAGGCCACAGTGAACCAATTACATTGCAATGCAAAGAACATAGAGATTCTGTTACCTGTTTATGTCTTTCTAGTAATGGAAAGTTCTTGTACTCTGGATCAAAGGATGGCAGCTTAGTAAAATGTAAGTAATTTTTAATTACTTTACCGAAATATAAAATTTTAATTTCGGGAATTAAACAATTTCCAAGATATTAATAAAGAATTGTTGGAGATTATTTATGCCGCCACCTAAACATATATAAACGCATATAAACATTTTCGTTGTTTCTTTTTCCACTAGCGACATACAATGTTTCAGAGACATCATAATTTAAATTATGTCGGTTGGAAAATGTTAGTTTGCAATATATTATTCTAATCTAACCGTAATATGTACAGTATCGCACTCGTTCCGAACCGGAAGCGACTTCCCACTCGATGACGAAATAAAAATAACTAACTCTAACCTAGTGTCTCGCAAATTGTTAAAATCCCGAAGCTAGTTTCATATTTCGCAATAATTCCCCCTCGTTCGAAAGAACAGTCCGAATTTTAATTTATCTTGTACTATACATTAGGGTCGTTAAAAGAAAAAACCAAATTAAAATCTATTAAGGGAAAAAGAAAAATCCAAGATGGCGTGAAATGCGTACAGTGCTTGGCTGTTAGCACAGATGGTAAATTTTTGGTAAGACTATGAAGGAATATTCATTTGTAATATATTTAAGTCCATAAATATATTTGAACATCAACTTCCATATTTAAAGGTAGTAGGAGATAGTGGTTGTAAAGATATTAGAGTATATTGTGCTAATACTTTGAATCATATAAAGAATTTACAAGGTCATAGAGGTAGCGTGACTGGATTAGTTTTTCGTAAAGACACGCATACATTGTATTCCGCTTCCGAAGACAGAAGCGTAAAAGTATGGAATTTAGATGATATGGCGTACGTTGAATCCTTGTAAGTGTACTTTCTCGTCAAATTTGATTCAGAGAAAGTGATTGGAAAGGTGCTATTATTTCGTCGCTTTGTTAGATTTGGCCATCAGAATGGAATCACATCGATCGATGCATTAGCGCGAGAACGTGCTATTACGAGTGGCGGTTTCGATGGGACAGTTCGAGTTTGGAAAATAGTCGAAGAGTCACAACTTATATTTAACGGGCATGGCGGTAGCATAGATACCGTGAGGCTCATAAACGAGGAAAACTTTCTCAGCTGTGGAGACGATGGGCAATTATGTGTGTGGAGTTCTTTAAAGAAAAAACCTTTGTGCTCGATACAGGACACGCACGGTAGAGATGAAACTAACAATCAACCTATGTGGATTTCCAGTATAGCCACATTACTGAATACAGATCTAGTCGCGTCAGGTACTAAATATGCATTTCTGATGCTACAGGATTTACTTGCATTGCAAGCAGTTATAATTATAACATTAATTGCAGGATCACGAAATGGCGTTATCAGATTATGGCAATGTATTGACTCCTTTAGGTCGTTGAGTCCACTGTTCGAAATTCGATTAACAGGCTTTGTAAATGCACTATGTTTCACTCCAGATGGAACTGAGCTGATTGCTGGGGTTGGTCAAGAGCACAGGCTCGGGAGATGGTGGCGTATACCGAAAGCGAAAAATAGTATTGTTATAATACCACTAGTTCAAACGAAAAATAAATAATTTAATAAAAAACAGAGCGACTCAATTGTATATTGTTAAGTTAAATTGTTATGCAGAGGGTATATAATTTTTGATACGTTTAATATAGATGTACTTTTTTATGTAAAAGGAATCTCGTAATCTGTTGTTACTATTACGTCCCCTCGAGTACTGCCCGAATCTTCGATGCTCCGTGGTGATTATTTTTTTCCTATAAAACCGCATCACGTACGAATGCATTCGATTCGTTGGCGTTCTAATGAAATAAAACAAATATTGGTCCACAGTACAAGTATTTATTTATTCTGTACAAAAGTTGAGTTATAAAATATTATGTCCCCATTTTAGGTCTTGTTCTTAGTCTTGTATACCATGCCGTCTTGAGTTCGTTCGTATAATAACAATTATCGCCGCAGAGGACATTAGCGCTTACGAGAAAGAAGCGGTTCGGCCTTTGATTGATTCGCGCTACTGGCATTAAAGCAGAGAAAACACGAGCATCGATAGATCGACAGATTTCTCCCTCATTCCTGCATAAACGCGCGTGTCCTCGCGTGAACCTCGGGCTCACCGTGTACATTATAAATCAAATCGACTTTTAATTCGCATATTTATTCACGTCAACAAAGGGTACAGCGAGTGTACGCTACTTCGTGTGCATTCTTGTAATAAGTTTTCAAACGAGTGCGACAATATGTAGGCCTTTCGATACGGCTTTCTCCGTTTCACGTGCTTCAGTTTCATTATTTTTTTTCTTCTTTTTTAAATTTGTTTACCTATCTTTAGATCTTAGGACCGCGAGTTTATTTTATTTTCCGCAGATGAGTGAGACAACATTGCTTTTTGCCCAATTAGTTTCTTCTTCGTCTTTAGAAGAAGTCTTTATGTACCTTACTCCGATACGTCTTGCCTAAAATGGTTTACCTTTTGTCTCGTTTTCTCGCATTTTGTTCCAAGTAATACGGGCGCGATTTGTACGCTTCAAATCGGGTATCGCTTTCTTTCACTCAACACTTTCTTTCGTTCCATATTTTTTTTTTTTTCACCCCGCGAATTCATCCAATTCTCTCGCAAATCAATTGAACTTACTAATCAAATCGTTGCTTCGAATTAAAATCTAACGATAAATCATTTTTTCCCCCGAATTGATCGAACTCGTATCGATCCTTGGTTTCAAGCGTTGGCGAAGAAAATGGCTCCGATAAACGCTAATTCTCGAAACTTAATCCTAACTTTGTAACATATATCTTGCTTGTCGTTGCGTTTTCGATCAGAAGTGCCGTTTGAAGAAACAAAATACATCTCCGTGTATTTCTTTGGCAGTGAAGTGCAATATGCGTGTAAGACAAGACTTATCGAAGTGATCGCGACGTAAAAAGGCTAATGGCGAAGGATAAAAAGGTAAAAGATTAGGCAACGTTGGTAATTGTATTTCATTTTAGGCCTGCTACAGAAACTCGATAATAAAATTGAAACTTATCCGCTCAAACCTATCGAGAACGTATTGTCTACATATTTAAAAGACCAAACGACATGGCGGGGAGAGCTACACAGTGGGCTTGAGCGGACAAACAAGTTTGTTCATGTTTTAGAATGAATCGATGGGCAAATGAAATCTAAGAAATGAAAGATATAAGTCCTGTCTTACGTAACAACGGGTTTTCACCAAGATAATCACAACGAAGGGTCGCAAACCGTTGTCAGATGCGAGTCGTTTTGGGTAAGTCGAGAGATTCGTTGTCTGCGAAGCATACACGGCTAAAAACCTTAGGCGAATGAATGGAGGCTTAATTAATCAGATCGAATCGATTGAAACAAGTGGCATGGCCGCGTGCCCGTTACGAACGTCGGGGCAACGCGTCCCGAAACACAATCATCTTCCTTCTCGGCATCGCGAATCGTGAGATTTCGTATACTACACGCCGCCGAAATTTTCCTAATATGTATACGCTATGTACATTCGATCCCATAAAGCACACGACATCTGATACAGTCGACGAAACGTTTATTAACAATTACCGCTCGGTACCACTCTTTTCCTGACGCGATACCCAAACAATATATTCAATGATTCCACGGTATAAAAATGTATCGTTGATATGTACTGGATACACGTAAAGCAATTGGAACGTTCGACCAATACTGATTGCGCCAAAATCAAATGGAAATTATCCAACTGTTGTCAAATCGAAGATGGATAGATTTTTGTTCTGTTATCGCTGGCATTTCGAAAGAAAAAGTTAATGAAGGAGAACTTTTAAAAATTAGAAAATTAGCGAAACGATTAAATTTTGATCGACATTCGATGCACCGTGGACAGTGGCGTAACTAAGGGACTCTAATTCTTTAACGAACGCAATATCAGTTAATTTATAATTTTTGTTTAACTGTACATGTTTTTGTGTAATAAATAGTCAATACAGTTTTGTTGGTTATTTTCATTTAAAATATAGTGCGAAATTTAGAGGGGAAAATTGAATTTCCTCCACGAGGGGCCAGAATCGTGGGTTGGTTACGCCACTGATCGTGGATATTATGTGCTTTGCAAGATATACTAATCGTGAATGTAGAGCGTTCATTCATGTTAGACGTTTCGACTTTCGATGGAACGTGGAACGAATTGGAGCGATTTGTGTGATCGCGTATCGAAAGACTCGTAAAAATTGAAAAATGCGATCGAACCGGATAATCCGTTTTCGCTGCGACTCTCACATTCCTCCCTCCCTCCGCACGAACCTTCCCATCTCTCTTTCAACATTCGTTCTGCAGGGTAGGACAACGAATAATTTACGACTACAATAATTTGTCAATCTTCCGAGGGCATCGACGACAATAATTGAAAATGGCAGTTTTCGGTTTACTCGACGATTCACGCGACGCAAGAATAACTCGCCCGAAGAGGAACCATCGTTTGTGTGTGTGCGTTAGTACTGTTGTAAATCGTTGAGAACATCCAACAAATCTTGCAACGATTGTATCGTTTGTAACGCGATGTCGTAATGTAACGTTTAATTTGAAAATAATTGTGATCCAATGTACGCGAGTTCCTCTTGCGTCTCGTACTTACAATCTTCTAAAAATGTAATTACAGTAACGTTCAAAGATGCACACCTAACATCGATAAAATCTTTCTGAAAAATCAGCGCAACAAAGAGTGATATATCAGAACTTGTTCGGTTTTCGCAAGCAGTTTTTCGAAATCATCGTCGCGTTCTCATTCGTACAAAAAAATATACGTATTTCCAACGAATCCAACGGATCCACGATGCATCCGTGAAACCTCTAGTTTATTTTTTTTTTTTTAACAGACGAAAGGCGTTTCCGAGCGATACTTTATCCTGTTCGTTGTCAATTTTACACCAGGAACCCATTAATGCCTGTCGGGATAGAATAGGAACAGCGTGACACGCGATTTCCTCAAAATCCACCTATCGTTCGGGCACCGTGAATCCTTCGGTTCGTGCAACCCACGCAAATGTGCCCCATATGGCCGATAGCATTAAACGCAAAAAAGGAAACCTGATTTCTCATCGAATCCGCGAACTAGTGCTCGATACCCTGGTCTGAAACCGCGTGGAACGTGGATCGCAGGCATCTCGTCCACCGAGAGTATTTATCCTTTTTGTACTAAACGATTCGAGACGACTCGCGCAAGGTACTTTCAAAACGAAACGCGTCGACACCGACGTCCGTCCGCGGCGTCGACGTACTCTGATGTGTGTGCATGTGTGTGTACTGTGTCCGTGTATGCGCGTGTAACGTGTGTTAGGGGGGACGCCCGGTTGCCCTGTCCGGCATTTTTTTTACTTTTCACCAGTTTACTTTTTTGTTTCTTTTGTTTACTTTCGTTTTCCATCGATATATGTGACCATATCGACATACATAATACAATATACCTATATAAATCGCGCGACGCCGACGAATCTGCGCTCAGGCGTCGTCGACACTCTTCTATCCTCCTCTCTTCGGCTAGTGGGGCCTCGCGCACGTGCGTTTTACGTCGCACGGCCGTCGAGATCGCGTCGCATTCTCTGTGTACGTGTCTGTGTGTGTACGTTCGCGAGCGTAAATGGATGCCTTTTCCTTTTCCTTTTGTTTTTTGGCTCGCGGCATCGCGAGAAACGCCACGCCAGCTTGAGAGTGTGCTTACGCGATTCTGCTTGTGCCCCGCAATGTGTGCCAATGAATACGTGTGTGTCTGTGTATATGTGCGCGCGCGCGCGTGTACGTGTATACATGTGACTGTGTGCGTGTCTTGTATGTACTTCATGAAGATCGATTTTTTTACGTTTACTCTGTTACGGTTAGCTGCAATTTTTTTGTCGATTATGTGTCTTTTTTCCAGTGTCTGCTTGGACTGTTTAAACACTATTTCGCTACAAGTGGACTACCATTATGAAATTCTACGCTACTTTGTATTGTATTGTATTGTATTGTAATGCTTTGTAATGAACGACTGTACTGTACTGAACGTGCATACTGGTGAGCACACGCAATCTATAAGATCCCGTTTTACGGATGCCACACGTGTACCGCGTTACTGTTTTCTACATTTCGTTTTCATTTTCTGTTTCACTTAACCGTGGACTGTGCTCTCCGCGAACCGATGAAATAATACTGCGTCGAACCGAGTCGCCTGTTTGAGTTAACCACACGGGTTATTAGAACCATCGACGGATTCGTTTTCCTAAAATTAAGTACTCGAAAAAATGGCTGCCGTCTACGTGTTTCGTTAATCGATTAAATTACGCGTATTGTCTTTGTAAGTTTTATCAACGATATCGCGAATGGCGTTCGACTGGCGTGGAAATATATATAAAAAAAAAAAGAAGGATGCACTGATCCACAATAACGCGGCACCCCGTATGCCCTCTGTGACCGTGATCGTATGTGTCATGTAATGTACCTGTTACAAAATTAATATATGCAACGTGAGAGAATTCATGACCTGGCTAAAAAGTGTGGTTCTGTATTCAAACGTTCTCATTTAATTAGTACTTGTGTTCTCGGTTATGAGTAATAATCATACTTTAATAATAACCACTTCGTGTTTTCCATCTTGTTAAAAATCTTAGACATCAACGTACATTCACTTTTATAATAAATCGTTATTAGAAACCTATCCTCGTTACTTGCTATGCATTTAATATAAATTTCATCGTGTTATCGTTATTGATCGTAATCTTTCTTTATATTTACAACGACGTACCTACGAAATCATCTCGATCCCTTTTTACGCTCAATAATCCGCGGCTGTGTTGACTCGACGCGGTGGATATAATTGATTCTCATGTTACTTTTCACTTCTTTTCTCGTTACTTGGTTTTCGTTTCGGTTTCTTTACCCTCTGTCTTGAGAAGAGAGGAACAAGCCTTTTCGCGTACGTAACGAGAGTACGTGCTGTATCTTCCATGAAGACCTTTAAACCTCCTTGACATTGTTCCTGAACACGCACACGAGAGGATAACACAATGAAATAGCAAAAATGAACGATAAAAATCGTAGTGGGGGTGGAGGGGGGGAACTCGGGGATGTCTTTGGAATCAAACGTGAAACCTGTTCCTCGCGTTTGTTCTTCGCGAATCTGTTCGAAACGTGCGGTTTGCAACGTGTGTACGCCATTAATGGGTGAAGGCTAACGAGCGACTTAATTAACTCGACACGTCGTCATCTTTAATTCTCTAATATCGAATATCTACATATACTTTCCCACTAACGATTTAAATACTTTAGACGATGCTTGTCCTCTGTTTGTGGTTAAAAAAATATGTCTCGAGGAGCAGGGTTTCACGTGGTCGGTGACGGGTCGTGGATGTGGTGCTTTGGAACGGATCGGTCGAAACAAAAAGAAGGAAATAAAAATAAAAATGAATTGCAGTGAGTGACCTTGTCTATTTTCTATCGATAGTTCGAGTCTATATTATTGTTATACTGTATTCACCTATCGTCCGTAAGAATGAGTACCATTCACATGGATCTATGTAACTTTGCTGCATTGCTATTGCATTTATGTAATTGTTTACGGATTTCCGTTGGCTCTGATTAAATTCGCTATCGAGACGATCGACGATTCGTCGCGCGGAGCAGTCCCTTCGATACACATCCACGATTCGATGTGCAACCGTTGTGTATCGTTGATCGTATCGTATATCGAAACGTAATTGCGCTTTGTATAACGCGCCCGTCTGCGAAACAAAACTCTGAGACCCGCAAAGCGAAGTTGTAACGAGAACATTTTGTACATACATCGCGTGAATGCTCCTACTTGTAAGGGTAACGCACGACATCTAGGGGGGATCGTGACACTACAGACAACTGATATACGCTGAGGCGCTTTCGAACGCTTTACACTGTGCAGGTGATTGTCTTTGGGTTTTCGGTTTGCGGGTTGGTCAGCGGTCGAACAATTCTACGACTAGAGAAACTAAAAAGAAACTTCGTAACGTAACAAAAAAAAAGGACGAAAAAAAAAATAAAAATATGAATCGTGGGGCAAATATCGTCGCGACTGTTTCCCTTCATCGATCGCTCGCACGATTACGGATTGCTATTGCGATTAACACATGGGGCATAGAAGTACAAACTGTAAACAGACAGGCGAACGGACAGACAGACAAACAGACGTGGATCGGAGGCATGTAATACTTAGGCTTACAATACTGTAATGGATAACATTATACACGCATTCAATTTCCGACGTTTCCTTCAACATTCCCGGGCCAATCGTTGTCATTGATTTTCACCGGTTGTCGCGCAGTATTAAGGACGATGAACCATCAATGAACGATGAAAACGAGTCGGTCAATCGAGCAGCCTTCAGGATACATTTCATTTTTTTATTATCTACGATTCGGAATTGGGGTCTCTTTTTCTCTCGTACTCTCTCTCTCTCTCTCGTTCTGTCTCATACGATATACCTATCTCTCTCCGCATACTCGTATTTACAATAATTCGTTACTCTAGTTACCGTTCAGTTGATCTCTTTCCCTTGGCCGACGCGAAACAATTCTGTTCGCCGTTCTTCTTTTCCTTGTATCCTCGAACGCTCCTCAGCCGTCGTACGCACGTTTTTTACACGGGAGAATAACCGTACGCGTTGCTGTAAGCTCCGTTCAACGCCGTTCACCGCGATCGAATTCGACGATTCACGATCGATCACGCGTCGAACGAGATGCATCGATGCGAGGAAATGTGTTGATACCGACTGCTACGTAACGACGATTTCGCATTCCAGTGGGAAGCACGCATGGACGTGCACTGCGAACGCGCGAGCCACGACCGATACTGTATTGGCAGGAACGCGATTTAAAGCTTAGAATTAGGTTCGCGCGACAACGTTTGCCGTTACAATGTGTCGTCGCGCGAATTAATCCGAGATACTTGACGTTTGCTATGACTATGGCAGTACTGTGTTCGGGCAAAAATGGAATCCATGATCGTGTTCGCGTGATCGTCGGCTCGCGACACATGCGAACAAGCTTTTCGAAAGATCGGCGGCTATCGTGACGCGAACGGAGCTTTAACGTAGAGGGTGCTGTTATCGGCATACGCGGGACAGATCCGAGCGGAATGGCGTGTAACGATCGTGTGACCACCGTGCATGTATACATGTAATCCTGTACGTTTTACAAATAAATTCGACCTGCACGCGCGTACGTACTGTTGGTGCGCGTATGGAAACGAAGTATCTGCATGGCGGTGGACAATAAATAGAGTATAAAAAAAAGAAAAAAAACAAACAGAGACAACCGAGGAGAACGATGTAGTACGAAGGACGATACAATGGCCGACGATCGCATGGCCGATTGGAGGGAACCCGCGGTACTCGCGTGTTACAACATTTCGAGCGACTGTGCACGAGGAAAACTAAAAGAAGAAGAAGAAAACAACGAACGGTGGATGATCCGATGATGACAGGGGTTCGTGAACTCATCTTTTTTTTTTTTTTTTTCTCTTGCTCGCGTCATGTCGTTTTACCCCGCCGAATACGTAATTTATTCGCTATTGAAATTTGATATTTTTACTAGTAAATATAGAATATCGAGTGTGATTATTCGTAGCGTAATGATAGCGGATAATAAATATAATACAGATCTATAGATCGAGTTCGGTATGGTACAACTATGATACAAAAATTTCATTTCTCGCATCTCGCTCCGCGATCAGTCTCTCTTTCACGCATTGTTCATGCTTTCTCACGCACCTCCTCGCCCGTTTCTTTTTCTTCGACGAATCCGATCGAAGCGAGGAATATCGGAATTTCTCGACGACGACGAAACTTGACTCGTTCGTGAATGGGTCACGGTCCCGGGGAACCGCAGTCGGAACATGACAAAAGCTCGTCGCACGTTACACAGTTTTATGACACTCACAATTTAATGGGCGATCCTCGTGCTCGGTGTACACGCGTCTCCCACTCACACACTCTTCCATTTTCACACATGCTGTATCGCACTCTTCCGTGTGTCATATAATAAGATTTACCTAGTATACGGCACTCTCTTAAATCCCCTTGCCCCGAGTAGGGGGGCAAGAGCCACTTGTACATATTCATTAGGAATTTATTTACACGCGTGCTAATTATCCTGCTCGTGATCTCTAACGCGGCTCGAACGGTCCTTCGTCCGTGGCATATTCGTTCGACTGGTCTCGATTCGACTACCCATAATCGATCGAGGCGAAACGTGTCATACGTGCAACGATTCACCGTACGACTGTTCGATCTCCAACTCTATTAAATAATCAACTCATCGTTATACATTCTTAAATAATTTTTATAATTCGATGTTAACATTTTGTTTCAATCGTCAATTTTACCACCATCTTCTATTTTTCTTTTTCAGTGCTTCTTCGCATAAAAACGATCGTATACTTCGATACGACTATCGATGCAACTCGTCAAACGACTCTTCATCGTACGATAAATCGTAACGAGTATGATCGCCGTTAGACGTTCGAGTCGATTACAGTAACTAATTGCAATTAACGTTGGATTTAATGCATCGGTAAATTGTGATGCGTGGATCTGGATGGACGCGAGATATCGAGAGTGCTGCGAAAAAGAAGGATCGGTAAGTGATTTATAAAGTTATTTCGGTCGGTACCAATCTCCGCGTAAATATCCACTGTCCGATCTCCTCGAAAGAGAACTGAAATGGCTACTTTTGTCGCGATCTTAATTGCCGTACGTACAAAGGATCGTTCGTTCATCAACGTCGCAGCCAGTCGTGCAGATACGATCGAAGTTCTCGCGCGTACGAGGTACTTCCAAAGAATTTTGCGTGTCCCTCTGACAGGTGTCACTGCCGTCGCGTTTCTCGTCGGAGGATAGTTAGCACGCTGTCCACGACCTCGTTTTCTTTTCTCGTATTTCGAATAAATATCTAGAATAACCGTAATGATAAGAAGGACAACCAATACGACTACCATTTATAGTAGTGATAATAGTGGGCATACTATAATAGTGTCTACTAGTAGCGTTTCTCCTCGTTTCGTCATTCCTCGTCTTTGTAATCTTACTATCTACGTCTTCCGACTTCTTTCTTCGTTTGAATAGTTAATATGGCGTTGCTGCTCGTGTGTCGTGCGTGTCTCTCTTCTCTCGACGTTCGTTTGTCGCTCTTCTTTGCTCTTTCCCTAACCACCTCGTATTTATTTATTTCTTTTTCTTTCGCCTTCTATTTTTCCTTCCGATTAAGCTTTCTCGTTCTCTCTCTCTCGAGGCAGTCCGACCATATAGTGGTGCGCGTTTTATTTTCACGATCGAGGGGCGGCAGCGCGGGGTTAAGCGCGTGCCTCAAGAAATTAATTAAACGTAGGATAATCACAGAAAAAGGGGTTTCGACGTATGGGGTATACGTTCTCGTCGGTAGTGCCGTCGCTTCACCGCAATAACTGCGGCAGGATCGTGCTGATCAGTAAGCTTCCAGTCAGCATCATCAACAGCTGGCTGTACCGATTCTCAACCCGGCTGGAACTCGCCCCGTTGTAGGTCAATTCTTCGTTCTTCACCACTTCGTTCGGGTGGTCTGAATATTCCTCTGTTGGCACAAAACAATGTTCATTATTAAACGAAACGATATTAGGTAAATTGATACGTTTGATAATTACAGGATCTTAAAGGAAGAAAGAAGAGGATGCTCCTCGATGCAGTTATCTAAGTCTAAACCGGTCGGTTATGTTGCATTTATATTCTAACACCCTATTTTTTAAATTTAACTGTATTAATTGTAACTATCTGAACCTTGCATATCTTGTGATAAAAATAAAAAATTATATTCCACAGAAAAGAAGAATCCCAAGAATACCAAATTTCCTAAATTCCTGCCCAGCCACTTGGTACAAGATATTTTATTCCAGAGCTAGAAAACGCCGATCAGTGCGGAAATTTCAACTGGGATCCAGAGTCTCTTCTACGAGTGAGTAATATTTATCATGAATTTTATACTTTGCCACTTTTGAATACTAACAGAGCCTACCAAGACATGAATGATGTAAATTTGATATAAGGCGTGCAATTTTAGGAATAATTCTGATAGAGGAAGAGCACTAGAACCGGATCTCAAGATCATTTTGTTAAAAAAAATGAATCGATATTTTCATTATTATTTCAGTTGTAATTTTTCACGTAAATTCTGACAAAGTTAAGTTTTGAGTAATTACGAAACGATCTTGTAACATTGAAAAATTAATTTCATCTTTAATAGTATCAAAGTTATATATGAAAATGAATTAAAGTCCGACTTTGGTGCACTTCCTCTATTATCGGACGATCGAATCGTCATTGCGACAAGCGGTACCAAGGCAGACCGCCTCGAGTAATTTCAGTTCGACAGCTCGAGAACACGAATTCTCGGTCGCGCCGTGGTCCAACATCGTGGCTCGTTAATGATCGTGCTGCCTATCGGTGAAATGCAAATGCGACCATCAGCGGTGCATTTTGAAGTCGAATTATCATAGGTGTCGACATAAGAAGGGCGAGCAACGAGTCGCCGGCGACAGATGGTTGTCGTGAGATCGTCGAATTGAATTCTCCTTTTTGTTCGACTGTTCTCCATCTGGCACGTGCGCGAACGAAGTGTCCCGTTTAATCCATTAAAATTTCTCTATTTGGAATTCCCTATATTCCGCTCAATTTGCACCACCACCAGCTATCTATCGAATATTGCACTTTTTCTGTCGATATCAACAGTCTAGAATCTCTCAAACCTTAGCTTTCTTCGAAAAAGTTCTTTACAAGTTGCTATCTCTGCTTATTTTCAACAGAAATGGAATAGAAATCGTTAAGAATTGTTTTTAAATTCGAAAAGAAAAACGAATTTTCCGGGCGCAAGGACGTCGACGCGTAACAAGGCGTCCAGTTTCCAAAGTTTTCGCGTGCGTCGAGGCAATGCACGCTTTTAATAATCGCTCTTTTCGATGTAATTTTACTGGAGTCATCGGACCGCCCGTAATAAGTAGAACAAGGTACGGGGGACGATAAAATTTTAAACCTCATTAAAATTTATTCGCTCGTTATTTACTTTATCCGACTTAATGCGACCGACCGATAAGCCGAATGAATTACGTAAAATGATTGTTCGGCACGCAATGGACCGTCACATTCAACTACATAACGGTAATTTAATGACTGGAACATCGGGCGACGGTCGCCTCGCGTCTTGTCTAACCCATCGTGTGGCGACGTGGTACACAGAAGAGATCCCCGCGACTATGCACACCGTCTCGAAAAGGAGAAATATCAATTACGCCGCGCTAATAACGAACCCCGACGCAACCCGGCAATTCTGCCTCCGAAAGAAAGATTTACATAAGATAACGAGCAGTAAAGTCGTCCGGGAACGAGTGGTTTATCTTAATTTTATGCAACAGTAATTTCACTACAAAGTAATAATTACCAGTCCGCCAAAAAGGAAGCAACGATTAAAGACACCTTAACCGTGCAGCGCAATCCCAAACGCACACCAACCTGTCGGCAGGGGACTCGCGATACACCGCGCGAGAAGTCCTTTATGTACACCATTCACCCGACACCGACTCGAATTTCTCTCATTACCGAGGCTTCCGTTTCCAATAATTGCACCAGACGTCGGAACAATCGAACAATCGTCCGTTGGAACGATCAGTCAAAACTATGGACGCTCTGTGCGTCGGTAGGCACGTCCAAAGATCAGTGGGAATGATAAATACGAATGTAAATATTGATGGAAAGATCACTGATTAGAAATCCGCTACTGAAATTCAGACGTTCTCAGGATAGATTGGAAGAACGTGGAAATTGGGTGTATACACGGTATATTAATAGAGAAAGAGTGTTCGCTGGTAGAAGAATTCCGTATCCCAAATTCGCGTGGTTCCGATAGTTTGTTGCTGTCCTACAATTAATGTCGAGAGGTGTACGCGTTGCGGGGAAAATCGTTGGCCGAGATAATGGTCACGAGAAGCATCGAGAAACTCGTTTCGCGGCAAAGGGAGCAGGTGGCAAGGCGGTGTGTATACGTACTGTTCTTCTTCTTCTGGCCGATCGAGGTCTTGGGCGGCAAGGAAGACGGCGGTCCATTGTGAATCGGAGGCTGATGCGGATGCACGGGGTAGACAGCCGGAGGGGGCACGTGGGGCAGGGTCGGCGCCGCCGTGGCCGGTTGATGATGATCGTGATGATGATGAATGCTGCCCCCTGGGTAGAATCGATCTCCGCCCTTGAGGACGCTCGGTGGTGGCGGGGGTGGCACTCCACTCAAAACTGCGGTGCTGGTCGAGCTGCTGCTCGGCACGGTGCTGCTGGTCACGGCTACGGCTGTAACGATACACAGAAAAATTAAGCTCCGCTTCTCCATTATTCTATTATCATTGACAGAGTTCCCATTCCGTTGCATTCGACATCATAAACTAGGATTCTCGTACTACATATGTATTAGTACCTTCTTGTTTAAAACGACAGACAGTGTATTAAAATCGTGTCCAAGGCAACTGAAATTGTTACCGAGGAAGTCGATACTTGATTAGTAATATCATTTCGTTCTCTTCTGTTTAGGTACATAATACATATCAACTATACAGGGTGTTCACCCCTGGGTAAAATTTTAATGGGTGATTCCTGAGGCCAAAATAAGACGAAAATCAAGAATTCCAATTTGTTAATTGAGGCTTCGTTAAATATTATATATTATAGTATATTTTCGGTATCAAACAGTGCAATCAGGGGCGAGATAGACCATCCCCTTCAAAATCATCGTCCATTGCAATTGAATGCATTTTCATTATCGAAGTCTACAGAAATGAAATAAATCGTGCAACTAACTTTGATTTTCTTCCCGGTACGCGATTAAATTCATTCTTGCGAACGACGGTTCGGCAACCATTGATTTAGGATAACGTCGTTTCAGGTTTCGCGAAATTTTCATCGCGAAGTCGTGAACGCAGTCGCGTCGTCGGCCATAAACGGGCTCGGCGGAACCGCCATCGATTTCAATTACCGGTGTTACAGAGCCCATTGGGTATTTTAAAGTGGCGTCTGTATCGAAACAGACGCGGTTATGATCGCGGCCGTTAAATTTTATTTAATTGCGCCGACGATCATTCGACTATACCGCGTATGACGGTCGTCCGTAATAATAGAATCGTGCATACCGTCTGTTATAACCGAAAGTACCGCGTCGTAAAAATTTGATAGGAGGGTTCTCGATCGTTTGCTGAAAAAGGCAAAAGGGTTTCTCGTTCGGCTTCGAATTTATCAACCGCAAAAACAACGATTCCGCGGCTTAAAAATAAAACGTTCGCGGAACGGTGGAAGGGATCGGTCGAGAGGATAGTCCGCGAAGAAGCGTCGCTTCCCCGCCGTGTATCCAGGGAAATTCATTTCCACGAAGACCGACGGAGAGATTCAGCATTCGCCGGTAGAATAAAATTGAAAATTAATTCCCCGTTTTTACCGGGTAATTGCCTCCGTAAACGTCTTTCGCCGCGGTCGCGCGGAGCGTCTGAAATTTTCCGCGAGATTAACATTTCTCGGGGTTCGTGGCCGGCGATAGTAATCGTAGGGCAAAGGGGGTTCGCGAGCGCGCGGTCCACCACGCAGAGCTCAGAGCCACCCGCCAGGAGAGGATTTCGAGGCCGAGAGAGTCCCGTGGAATCTTGAATGCTCGACGCCGAAGAGTTCAGAGTTCTCGGGGCAGCGAAATAGCTAGTCATTACGGCGCATGAATCGTCTCTGGCGAGTGTCGGGGGCCGCTGGTAGCGGGCAGTAAAGGAGGCGGAGGTGGTGTTGGTAGGAGGCACGGTTGGAACGAATTAGGGAGCGAACAGAGACCGGGCTAGAATGGAATAGTGGAATTTATTGTGCTCCGGGACAGTGTTAGTCCCCTAACCGCAACAAATGGTGCACGGTAAGAATTATAATTGATAGGGATTATTTAAGAGGGGTGTTGGATGTAGGAGAACCGAGAATGGAGGGGATGGTTCGGTTCACAGGACGCTGTCCGTCTGTTACGAGAGTCGTTCTCTTCTTTCGATCGCTGGATAATGAATTTATGGCACGGTCGTCTTCCGATTCGTTTCTTCCTGCGCCTCGATGGGAACGAGGATCGCGCGCGCGGAACTGACGCGAAACCGTGAAGACTTTAAACGTGATTTACACGCGGAATGAAAAGGCGGCGCGTCCTCTTCGTGGACAACGTCTATAATTTCAGATTATGATAATCGGGGGTATTAGAATGTGGGCCGTGCGCGCGAAACGACTCTTCGGAGTAGGACGCCAGGGTCCTTTGGTCCCGCGGTTTAACGTGCTACCACGTGTTGCGTATTCTTTTATCGTTCGGGCAGTTTTATGCTGAATATTAGTAACAACGTTGATCGATCTTACCTAAGACCACAATAATATGTATCAGAAGCAACGAGTACTCACAATTGTTGCGCGATGTCGCAGAGGACGAGGAGCTATCAGTCTCATTGCCGCAGCAAACCTTGAAAACGACCTTCATGTTGTTGCTGGAGCACCTTCCACCGATGCGCTTGTAAAGGTCGTCCTTGGACGAGGTGCTGATGAAGTAGTAATCGTGTCCTGGAAGGAACTCTAGGCCTCCGGGTTGAGGTGTAAACGGCCTGAAGGTGATCGTGAAGTACATCGTCTTGTTGGGGTTGTTGCAAACCGCTATAAACCGCGGATTCGGATTCGTTATCCGACATGTTTCGTACTCCTCCTTGGACACCTGCGAAAACGCAGAGAAACCGTTCTAGACTTCCGACGCAAATCGATCCGCGACGCTTCCGGTTTGTCACGAACGCTAGGGGACCTCCCATCGAGTGTATTCTTTGCATCACATCGAGCAGTCTCGCTTAGAACATTAATCGTTGATTAACCGCCGTGAAAGAGCTTCTGTCAGGGTCGTTCTCACGGTTTTTAATATTTATTCTCGAGGCTTTACTGCACAATGTATTTTTTAATCAACAAGTGAGATTTACGATTATGTTTTGTGTTTACACGATACAATTTGCACATCTCTTTCCTTTCAAACATACTTTCTGAATATTTCACTGCGTTATAATAAATATTGTAGGCGTTCTAAACATTGTTCGTGAAATTATCAAGGGATTTTCTCATCCGAGAGACTGAACCCTCTTAAGCAGCGATTACAGACGTCCATTTATCGAGGCCAATCGTCGCACAGAAATCGCTATGGAGACAATAGGAGGGTGGAGAAGTACATATCGGGGCGGTGATTAGATCTGGGCTATGATTCGCAGCCCGTGCTTGCGTCTGCTTCGTCGGACGATGGCGTAGTTTCCGATAAAAGCAAGACGAGGGGAACTTTCCACGACGCCAGCAACAATTTGATTTACGACACGCGGTGCTTTTTGCCCCCCCCCCCCTCCCCCCTCCCCCTCCCCCTCTCTCGCGATTAAACGCGGCAACGGCTCCGGCGGGTTCGATTATTCCAGGAATGCCGGGGCAACGATATTTCGTCGTGAATATTTTTAAGAGCTGGAACAGTTCCCGAACAGCGCAGCCCCTCGAGGGCAGCGCGGTGTCAGAAGTTGGCTACGAAGCGGAAGTCGTTCTTGGGGGTCCGATTCGAGCGAGTTAACGAACGAGTTTCGAGTAGCAACAGCTGTCTAAACATCCACGGAACGCCCTTTGACAATTTTTTCTTTCGTATAATGGGTCGCGGCAGTCGTGTAACTCGATTTATCTGTTGTTCCGTGCACGCGGCTCGCGGGGAGGAATAACCGTGCTCGTGACAAACTCGTACCGGAACGAGAATAGGACACTTGGCGTTACAATCCTGCACTTACGTTGTAAATAATATACTGCTCCGTCTTGTTGTCCGGCGTCCCCACTTGGTACACAGGACATATTATGTTCACCTGATCGTACTCGAACGCCGCGTTGTTCTTATTCACGTCTATTATGTGGTCAGTGTTGTCTATTCGAAATCTGAAACAGAAAGGAAAACGAATTTGTCAGGTATATTCGACTTGATCGTCTCTCTCACAGGCAGTAAAAATGTATCCAAAATAATACCCCTCTTTGATATTAAAAAAAAACGGTGTAATATTAATTTCATACACGACCATTGCGTCCATTTTTTTTGGCGCTAATAGCATAAGCGTCACAATTTAAATCGCGTTATCGTAAGCGAAGATTGACTGCCTGCGACGCTTACCAGCGAGCTTAGTAATAAATTCTACGGGTTCTCAGCTTTAATCCTATTTTCATCTAAGCGAGTTACAAAAACTATACGTTTTCTTCATCCAACGTGCTTGTGACAAAAGTACATACGTTATTCTGGGATCCACCACTCCGTTGGACTGCCAAAGGGGTCCGTTAGATTTACTTATAGATAAATCTAATAGTTCTGCAGATTCAGCTACTTGTTGTTCGGCTCGAATATTAATCGATTCATGAATATAAATAACCAGGAAATAATTTCTTTCCGTTCCGCTACGCGTGCACGAACGGATCGTTACTTTCAAAATGTTTTTTTTCTATTTCACTTTGTTTTCTTTTATTTAATATTGTACCAAACATGCGACTGCACACGCTTCCTAGTTTAATTACGATTTTATTATTTTTATATGAAGTGTGATACCGTGAAGCATCAAGCGTTCGCCATTTCTTGTTTCTTCCTTGGAAAACGGGATTTGTTTTTCTTTTCGAAGCTTCTTATGCGATCAAAATTATATAAATGGATATTTTTGATCTGGAATTACGTGCAAATTGTTGCAAAATTGTTACACCATCGAATATTTCTATATTTTACATTTTGAGCAAACGTCGAGGACATCTCTGGACGCGTAAAGCTGGCATGGCAGTCAATTTTTGTCATTTGTCCGATCATCGGGGCATGTTCCGACTACTCGTTACCCTAGATATCACCTGTCAATACGTAATGCTATTGCAATCGATGAGCCTCTTTCGCGCGGGCAAACAAATCAATAAATAAATATTTCAGATACGGCTCGGTGCCTACTGCGCAACATCTATCGTTCGAAAAATTAATTCACGAACATCGACGCGATGACTACGAAACATTAACGACCAGGTACCACGGCACGTTTTGTTCTCCGCAGGATATCTTCGCGAGCAAGCACAATAGATCGGGACCGTTTCCGCGTATTGGTGACTCGGAAACCAGGGTATCCGTGAAACATACGCGAAATTCCGACGCCCCCGGAGGTTCCTCGCAGGGAGTACAAGGTTCCCTCCGGGTCCGTCGGTAGCCAGGTCAGGAAAGGGAGAAAAAGAAACCGCGCGGACTCGCCCTCGTAGGCACCCAATGTCAGATAGGCAGGCGCCCATGGTGTCGAGACCCCACGTAAGTGTACATACGGTCTCTGCGCGTATGTACACACATGTACGCACACAGGTGAACTTGTATATACAGGTACGCCTGTATTATGTAGCAGAGCTTGCTGGATACTTGGCGAGGATGGAACGAAAGGTCGGCGAATGAGTAGAAAGGAAGGTAAAGAAGAACCAGAAGAAAGAATCAGAAGAAGAAGAAGAAGAAGAAGAAGAAGAAGAAGAAGAAGAAGAAGAAGAAGAAGAAGAAGAAGAAGGTGGAGAAGGTGGAGGACGGTTCCTATATAACCGGTTCTTTCCAACGGCGCTCACACACGCCAATACACGTCTCTCTTCTCCGCGTTGCACGGGTGTACAGTAACGTCTCCTGCTGTTCACACCGCCCTATTTCGGGTCTACGAATCGGCGCACCGACTATTTTCTTCCCGCGGACACTCCACTTGTTTCGCCCCCGTATTTATTTTCCTTTCTCCGCGTACGTACCTACACGAGCGCGAGTATATTTGTTCTGCGTTACACGAATTAGATACGACCGCGGGACGATGCCCGCCTTCGAGGGAATGTTAAGGCAACTTTGAAATACGGTTTCCCTGTTTTCCTAACGCCCGAACGGACGTGACCGTTTCTTTTCGCGACGCTTTAATTTCGGCACCAAGGTCTCGAGTAAACTCCCGCCGCCCCCTATGCGCGGCGTTATCGCGTTAAAAACGTTATCGAGAATGAATTTGGGGAAACAAAGACGAAGACAATTCAAACGTTTCGCCTTTCAACCCTCTGTAAACGGCCATTTTGGAGTACGGTAGTTTCAAAAAGTACTTTGCGTACGAAAAATTATTCCCAGAAAGCTAGAAAGATTGGTGACTTGAACAAAATCCAGATATATTGTCTTTACTGTAGTTAGGCCATATTCGAGACCAGGATCTATATACTCCTTCCATACATGTATTATTGTACGTCTCGACGTCTTCAGAAGCCCCCTCCATGTAAAAAAGAACGTCGACCATCGCCTAATTACAGCAAAGAAGATTGCTCTAACACCCAATACCTGCTACCTGGACTTCGTTCCAGTCGCCAACGACTTTTTTAATTTCCTCGTAAAGCTTCCCCGACAGGGGCTGTTTTTATCGAATCCCGAATCGGTCACACGATGCAATAGAGTATTACCAACTTTTTTCGTACCCAAAGAATCAGTATAACGTTGCGGAAGACTTACGTAACATCTATTTTAGGTTGAAATGTCTAGAAGTCTGATTCAGTGGTGGTCCAATATCGAAGGAGCGTTTGATATCGCGCTGTGGGTGTTTACGTTATTTTTTTTTAACACGTGTCGCGTCAGTACGGTCGTGGTCTAAAGAGATTCGAGCGTGGCGTACTCGTCGTTGGTGCATGGAGCCCGTAAAGCTCTCCGTGGCGGTAAAACGCGGGCGTCGAAAACGCGTCCCGACGTTTCGGAGCATTAACGGACAATCTCGTAAGTGGGCGTGTAAGGGCTCGAAAATTGGAAGGTAGGCTGGGCCTCGACCAAATTAACGTTTGGCGATAATATCCGCTCTCTCTCGGTGCCCCCATGTCGGTTCGTCGGCTCGGTACCCACCCTAAGCGCGCAACCAACGCCAACAACCTCGGGACCGAGGCACGCGCATACAACCATGAAGCCCAGGCCGTATCCTGTGGCCCCGTGTGTGCGTTACGCGTGGGTGTATAGGACATTTCAGTCGTAGCCCCGGCCATTCACGAATTTATTAGACATCGTATACGTACGATCGTGGCCCGAATTACTCGCGATAAAAGCACGGCGTGGCTCCTTTTGGTACTTTGGACCGGGCAACTCGGTTTCCACGGAGGTTGATGTACCATGGCCGTCTTGTTCCCCGGTCGTCGACGCGTTAATGGCGGCGATGCGCGGTGAATTGTGATGTATAAATTTGCTCGGAGGTTTCGTTTTGAAGGAAATGAGTCGCCGCTCCTAGTCCCTCTTTCCCCTTTCACGGTTTCGTCGGGACGAGGTAAGAACACGACGGGAAAGGGTAAAGTAGTCTTAATCGTTTCTGTCCGAATGATTCCTCGTCGCATCGTAAACTCCGGTGCCTCGTAATTCCAGGTATAAAACTTCCCGACGATTCCGTTTGACGCGATTAACGATCGGGGATACTATAAATCGTGACATTTGGCAACTTAATTCTTGTGTCGATGATCCGGGCGCCCGAGCATCTTCCACGTTTCGTTGAAAAATTTTGCAACATCGATCTGGACCTCTTTGAATAATTTCGCGTTAATTTATAGTTCCAAAATGAAAACTTAAACATCGTTTGTACGAGCCGAAATATTCTCGTATTGTTAATGGAAAAGGTTGTTGCGACCCGGCAGGTAGGCAAGCCGCGTGGCCGACAATGTATACTGATTACGCATAACACGCGTCCGACTCGTCTATTTGTTATTTTAATCCCGACTCGAATTATGCCCGCTGAAAGCCTGTTATTGCATGTTACGGTACTTAGAACGCGATCCTTTTAACTCGAGGACGAACGTTTTGGTGCTCTTACTCGCCATGGCGCATAAAGGCTGTCTTGTATTATGATCGTCGACGTGTTATTGGTAGCCTCGATGTGTGATTTAAAGGTTTCCCCGGCGGGAACGGTGTCATTTGCATATACCTACGTATTCGTAGGATCTCCGAGGACCCTTGTATTAATGCGATACGTTGCCTTGGTTCTTAACAGTTCTTTTCTGGCCTTAGGTAAATACTCGGCATGAATATGTATGGGCCGAGTCGCCGGTGACCCCTTCGAACCTGAAACCTGTGCGTCTGTGAATATCGAGGGCTTACGCGGACACATTTTTCGTCTACCCGATACAACCGATAATATTGCACGAACGTTCTCCGTTCGATGTTATCGCATCGTCGTTAGTAACTTTTTGCACTGGCACCGTTACGGTGACATACATATTATGCACAAATCGGTTCAAGTTTCGCTTATAGTATATTCTTTATTGCGAAAATTTAAATGCACCGTTTTAGTTTAGCAATAATAAGACTACGTCGTATCCAGTTTCAAGATTTATTCGTAGTAATAATAATATTTCTCGTACACTTTTCGGAGCGTCGAACACCCATGCGATTTCGGTGGTTTGAGACGTCCAGCGTTTATTCGTAATTTCCGTGTCAAATGTATAATACGTGTAGTTCGGGTCTCTTTCATCGGTCGATCGCGTCGCCGGTGCTAATTGCTTCGACGACTAAAGGGCCTGTAAAATCCGCGGGCGCCGTCGAAATTGTTCGAGGTCCAATAACTGTTCGACGTATCCTACCCCTAACCGTCTTCATTAATTCCCACTACTGTCTGGTCGACACCAATCAACTACCAAATAAAACCCACGCAAGGGGCCGCCTAATTGGAACAGCGAAAAAGTGGGCGTGTTCCGATCGGGGACCTCCATCGTTTCGGGACCCCTGGAAATTCCTGTCGATCGCTCGGCGAGACCAATTTTATACGTCACCCTTTCCTTTACCTACGTTCGCTTCGGCGGAACTTCATACGGTCAGCCTACACTTACACCCGCAGATTCTATTATATCCCGACGTATGAAACTTCATCGTTCGATCGAAGTACGTTTCTGCCTCCGACCGTGAG